TTAAAGGGGAAACTATTTAAGTTTTCTTCTTAAGGACTGAGGGTGGGGGTTGCTTTCATGTCTGCATGAGGGTGAGCCTACTTCCCCTCAGGGAGCTTCTCTTGTGTCCTTGTAAAATTGATGCTCTGATTGATCTGATTGATTTTAGCATGAAAAAAAAGATTTAATGACATTTTCCTGTCCCCTTTGCAGAAAAAACAAATCATTGTGAGGATGTCTAAAAATTTGTTTTGGCCCCGAACTCCTCAGTGGCTGCAAAAACAACAAAGATGTGAACTTCAGAGTGCGTTGCCAGAGCAACAACAGTTCTGAGGCTTCCTCTAACAAGTTGCCTGGGAATGCAGGCCTAGTTGTTACATAAGATGGGACTTTCTCTCCTTCTCTCTCACACATACTCGCAGGGCTTTTCCTGTGGCAGAATTTCACATTCAGCATGATTTATTCATAGCCGAATCGGTCCTCTGGATTTATGATTCCGCTGTGTAAATGCAAACCCATGCAATCAACCATTCTTTGCATGAATTTGTGTAGGGGGAATCATTTCTGTGGCTGTTGTTAATGTAAATAGGACTTTTAAAAAGATTGGATTACACTGAGGAAATCATTGTTTGATTAACCCTTATATTATGTTAAGGGTCAATTTGACCCGTTTCAGTTTTTGTGTTGGTAAAAGGGCTGGTTATCCTTTTTTTTTCTTCATGAAATTTGGTGACTTTTCCTCATCTGGGGTCATGAACCTGTGTGTGAAATCTGGTCACTCTGCTGTGTAGTGGGGGGTCTGTGCAGAGTTTGTATACAAAGATGATGTTGCGGGTCAATTTGACCCGGACACCATTAATGTGGGTAAGTAGCTGTTCAGATCCAAAATAAACATGTCTCTTCAGTGTACTTGTATTTTCATTGCCTCTGAGACCCAGACCAAGGTGTTTGTGAAGGGTTTGGGTCTGAGGGTCTGTGTAAAATACCCAACATCACCACACCAAAGTCGAGGCAGACTGTCATCATCCAATGTGATCAATATGACTCCCGTCATACAAGATTTGCCGTCACAAGAGTTGATTAGATTCAATCAGCATTTCAGATCTTCATATCCCCACCAATAGAGAGGATGATACTGGAAATGATACCAACTTAGAGGGGGGACATGTGTTTCAAGAGAAATGGAAGCCACAGGATCAGACTGACTTGCATGCTTACGTTAGAGTTCTGTTAGTAGCTGGAGTGTACAGGCCAAAGGGGAGTAGCAAATGCAAGTTTATGGATTGAAGACAATCCTTGTCCCCATGTTACTGTAGATGAGAGTCTTGCTCCATTCAGGGGGCACTGTCCTTTCTGACCGTACACGCCCAATAAGCCTGCCAAGAGTGGCACCAAAATATTGGCTGCCTGTGATGCAAAATCCAGCTATGCATGGAATCTGCAAGTATGCACTAGAAAAGCGACCTGGAGGAAAATCTGAGAAGAATCAGGGGATGCATGTGGTGCTGGAGATTAGTGAAGGGTTGCAAGGTCATATCATCACCTGTGACAACCTTTTGTCAATTGTTCCAAAGTAACAAGGAATGCCTTGGAGAAGAACTTCAGAAGAGAAAGTTGACCATGTTGGGAACAGTCAGATGCAATAAGCCAGAACTTCTCAGTGAAATTCAGAAGATGCAGGGCAGACCTCAGTATTTGCTTTCATTGAGAACGTGACAGTTGTCTCATACCGCCCAAAGATAAACACAAATGTTCTTGTATTGAGTACAATGGAAGCTGATGCATCTCTGGGCACAAGAGAAGCCACAAGTGATCCTGGGTTATAAATCCACCAAAGGAGGAGTTGAAAATCTGGACAAAGTCATAGCAACATACAGCTGTCAGAGCCAGTTTGAGCCAGACTCGAGCCAGGCTAGCTTAGCCCTAGTAGCAGCAGCTATCATTGAAAAGGTCAAGCTCAGGTCCCCCAACCAACACCCAGTGGACAGGTGAAAAAGAAAAGGAAAGCCAGGATGCCAGGTCTGTCCATCCCAAGAAGACAGTAAAATAAGTACCACTTGTGTGAAATGTAAGAATTACACCCGCAGAAAGTACATATTAAAATTCGAAAATGTGTTAGTGAAGAGGGAAAATCCCCCAAAAAATAGTACTTAAAGAAAGTGTTGGAATTAAAAATGTATTGTATGTCACTTTCCTAAAGGTTCATTCAATATTACATCAAATTTTATTTGTTTCACCTGTTTTTTTACTGTTTTGCAGTCATTTACATGGTGCGGGTCAAAATGACCCGCAACATAATCAATGTAATTTTTTTCTAACATAATATGAGGGTTAAGAAATCAGATCAGTATGGCAAGCCTATTTGGTAGCATTGTCATGTTGTGTGGAATTGTGAGGAATTAAAATACCAAGATGTGTCTTGTTTTAATTGTAACTGGTAAATGTGCTTAAATCCAAACTTGGGTTAAGAACCAAAAAACTTATGAGGCACAAATTTGAGTTATCCTGAGGGGAACAAAGAACCCTGATCTTGACACTGTTAAATTTTTCTCTGTCACTTATTGTTCCGCTCCCTCTTTGAGAGAGAAAGGGAGATGAGGAGGAGCGCTGAGCACAGCGTAGATAACACACTTCATCCTTAGCTGAGTCACGATAAGTATTCAGACATTCAGCCGCTTCCCCTTATCCGGCCACTATAATCTCTTTGCGGCAAAATACTTTGGTATGGGGACACTGAACTTGTCCCACTGCAGGTGAAATTGGGTGTTATGGAAGAGAAAGTGCCATTTTCATTCACTGAGACTGTCTTCAAATAGCCCAATCGTTTTTGAAGAGATAAGTAGCCGCTGGTGGACGCAGAGCTCATGTACATACCTATTGTTTTAGCTCCTTCTCTCTCTATCAGAATCATTTAGAAATTTCGTATACCTCTTACCTCCAAAGATTCTCTCATTTCTGGTGGCCACACACAACCTGTCTTCTCCGGCATGTTTCTGCTGTTTGTTTGTAGCCCACTGCGGCCTCTAGATTCTCCTTGCTCTCATCTATCCTTCCACTCTCTCAGGCAAATTTACCCCTTGCTGGGAGAAGGATGGTGGGATGGGCTTTGATTGTTATGGAGGGGGCCATTTTTAACAGTGCGTTTGGGTGTGTAGACATGATCACACACGACTTGGTGCAGCCAACCCATACATGCCATTATATATCGTATGATAAACTTGCATGACTCAGACACAGAACACACAGAATGTTGGTTTTGAAGAAAAATCTATTTTTTAATGTATTTTTAGCCGATGTTCTACAGAAATGCAGAGGAAATTAGATCTATTACCAAAGTGAAAGAAATGTTTCCTTCTCTATCAAAATGTTATCTTCTCTATCCTTGCAGGCATGTTATTTTTAACTTGGCAACGTTTGTGAAGTACAGGACTTGTACATAATTCAGAATATGAAATAAACGCTGGATAAAAATGACAAAACAATTACTACCCCACTAGAACTTTATTTCTAAAGCCCTATAAAAACAACCACAGTGGACAAAGTGCTGTACAGAAAAAAAGCACATATCAACTGTAAGAAAAAACACAAATACAATGTAAACAATTCAACAACTCAAAAAACACCCAAATGCCAGCGAGAACAATTACTAACCTAGTCCCACATACTGACCTGAATTTACACCTGGCTATTTCCATTTCCATTCTTACTATTTGTTTTTATTACAAATTTTAAAGTAAATCTTTTCAGGATTGGGTTGCAGCATCACATCATTTGCAGAAAACCTTTTTTACACCCATGATTAGAAATATAAGGTTAACTAAATTAACATATCCTGCTTGTCAGTGTTTTGTACCCTTGCCTAGAAAGTGTGTTCTCTGATCTATTTAAAAGTGTCGATGAAAGTCGTGATTTCATGTGAAAAGTGTCACCGCCAGCACATTTGCTGACGGTTGCTCTCCCCATTAGCTATGCATTGCATTAGCAAGTTGCTTCAGTTACTGCTCGTGTGCCACACTCGGGAAAAGTGTGCATGAGTTTTCTGTCTGTCCGCTGTCACCTGGATGGACAAGTGACAAGGATATCTGCCAGAGAAGTGAGCCGGGTCTTATTTTATTCAGAGGTGGATATCAGTGGTGGATATAACAAGCCCTGCAAAGCTGACAGACTCTCTACATTTGTCCGTCAACTCCTTCTGGAGCCAAATAGCTCAGACAATCGCTGATTTGCCCAGAGGGTTTAGTACGCAAGTCCCTTTCCTTTGACTTTTTACGTAAAGGCCAACGCTCTGGTGAGCTGCATTTAACCTTTTGTAGATTGATAAGGAAACGATTTAATCGATTCGTTTTTCCCCGGATAATGAGGGTTGTGGCTTTACTCAGGCCAGTTGGATGCGATAACAGATAAAGTTGTTCAAATGTTTTTCTTCTCTTTGTATGGGATTGACTTCTACAATTAAGAATTCAGAAATACAATTCTCTTACTCTTCTGTTGTCCTGTACTTCTGCCATCTGTCCAGAAGTCAGTGTAAAAATGTTCCACAATGTTCAAAATACTTTAATAATCTCTCTCTGTTGCATTGATGTGAATTTCAAAGCCTGAAGAACTGAAGCTCTTTGTAACGTCTGATGCCACACCATTTCTAAAAATAATTTTTTTTTTGCTGATGCAAAACCTGAAAGACTATCTCTCATGTGTTGCCTTAATGTCAGGGCACACACTTCCCTTCTTCTTAATCCTTTCCTAAACAGCAGCGTGGTTATGTGGTTATCCAGAACGCCAACACTGCCAAGTCTGAAGGTCCCTTCCCTCTGATCTCTCAGTCGTGTGCAGGGGCTTTATTATCTTTTAACTTTGTTTTCAACTCCTGTTAGAGTCAGAGCCAAGGGAAGAGTGGGAGCTGTCAGTGATACTCAGTGAAGATATAATGCTATTTAAATGCTAATGTGTTAAGAGGAGCAAAACGACCTTTACTCACACGCGGGCGGAGCCGAGCCCCGGCCCAAAACAGAAGCCCTTAATAAATGAGCCTCTTCCCGACTCTGTTCCTCATCCCTGCACACCTTATGGCAGGTGTGTGTTTATCACCGTTGAGCTGGGGGGGGGGCTTTCACTGCATTAGGGATCTGCACTTCAGGTCTAAAGTCAGACATGAGTGAATGATTCCAAAATGCACGCTGCACAAAGCTAAATGTGACCGTCTCCGGGTTTGTTTATTTTTTCTTTTTGTTTTTTTTGTTGGGGAAAACAACCCCATGAGGCATCGCTATACTTTCTCTTCATATTTTTTCTCACGTCTTCCTCCGGACTACCTTACTGCTACAGGTCGTGCAGATCTGTCGTCACATTTTCAAATCCGCCGTGCATCCAAGCGGTCCCTCTATCAGTTGGCACCCTTGCCAGTAAGCCAATAACGTGATGGAAGGTGCCGGTTTGGTGCAAAAACAACAAGCCCTTTTCAAACCCACAGATGTCACTCACACTTGTCTCCCTGTTTGCTGAATACATGCCAGGGTGATGCACACTCATACCCGAGTGCTGCGCAAATATTCAATAAGCCGGAATTTATTTTTTTATTTTTTTACTGTAACATACTTGTTTTATTTATTCTTTTTTTTTGTAATGTTAAATTCTGCATCAGAGGTGAAAAAAAAAGGAAAATGAGGGGCGGATGAGTCTGTCATCTATTGTATAATCTCAGGAAGTGCTGAGGCTCTGTGGGTAGATCATTTATTCAGTGCAGCTCCTGGAACACCTCAAGGGATAGTGAGCCATCAAAAAAAAAGGCCTCGGTGTAAGACAGTGACATAACATCAGACAGAAATGTAGCATTACATCAATCAATAATGCACCGCCACCCCTCTGCCACAATATCCTGCAGCGGTGAACGAGACTGAGCAAATTCGAATGAACTGGCCTCTTAGATAGTCATAAGTAATATTTTTTTGAAGTATTTTCTGCTTTGTTTATGTGCACCAAGTCTCTCATTTTTTTTACGATCCTTAAGGGAGCATACCTAACCCCCCACCAACCCAGGCTGGGAGTAGCCTGGATTAATTTTACATCAGGCTGCCAAGTCAACATCTCCATACGTTTTCAGAGTGGTAAACAACGACTATTTGTTCTCATCTCGGCAAATGGAGGACCACAGCAACACTGCAGCTCTTTCTCCCAGCCTTCGCAGTCACTTTGCCATTTACAGAACAAAACGGCAAAAAAATCCATGCGTAAATGTTTTGGTTGTGGTGACTTCAGTGAGTCTCTAACAGAAGACCGAGGTCTACCGTCAGACACAGTTTTTACATGATGAGAAAAAAATGCAGAAGCTTAGTTAGATGAAAGCTACACTTTAATAAAATGTAAAGATGTTGGTCCAACCAACATCATACAATAGTAAGTTTCTAAAACCCAGACAAATGCAACCAAATGATGCTTTTGGTATTTAACTGCAGGCATTAGCCAAGTTGCTCTGCACATACCCCCAAGATCCAACTTTTATCAAAATGAAAAAAAAAACTAATATGCAAGTACCTATTGAAACAGCTGGCTTTCCCATAAATCTGCTACCATACACATATTTCTTACTGCTTTTTTTTCTTTTTTTACCGGAAAGCTAAAAGCAGAAAGTTATAAGTAATATAATTTCATCATTTCTCAACATGTGGTCACTGAAAGCATTTTGCTTTGTCTGGCTCTGCTTTGAAAAGGTCCTTATTTTAGCAATGATCTCCCACAGAGATAATTCCAAACAGCAGAATGGCTGGAAGATATTCTTATGCAATCCGCCGCATAATGGGGTCGGAGTCGGTCAAAAACCCAATTCTCCCTCCCTCCCGTGTATCCTTGGACGAGGATGACGGTTCCAAGTACAATGACCCATTGAAGTTTAACTCAGTCATTGACGAATAGGACTCAAAAGGATAAGCATTTATTTAGTAGCCAAGAAGGTCCCGTGGTGCATTAGGTCAGTTTTATGTGTATCAGTGTATGAGAATGAGGTTCCTGGTCACATTTTTTAGATTTCAGAGAGACATCAATACATTGACGGGGTTTAAAGTGTCAAAAGTTTTGCCCAAAAGTTTTGTCCATTTTCCTCTCCCCTCCCACTGTAGCTCATAAAAACTCTCCTTCACTTTATGGGGTACATCTGGAGTGCAAGTGCATGGCTTTATGAGGCATATCATTCGCGGCAAAGTGAGCTTAGCTTTGTCTGTTTGTTTTCTATTCCACCAGTCAGGGTGCAGATAACTTTGAAATGGAGCTCGTGTGTGCTTTGCTGCCTGAACATGCAGCTTCTGGAGGAGAGCGAGGCAATGGGAAAGGATGTGCCTCACAATCCAGTTTGAAGATACGTTATAGTCACATTATTTCCTTGATAAACATTCAGTAATGATTGTGCCGGACTGCTCACAACAGAAAGATAGCAACGTGATTCCATGAAGTCACACTGAGGCAGAAAATCATTTCTATCTGATATCGCAGCTTGACTCAGTGAGAAGAAAGAAATCAGGGCCAGAGGAGACAGGAGAGTGAAGTTTAAAGATTGTGTAAGCTTTTTCTCTGATTTGGCTCCATACATTTAAATAGCGCCGGGTTGTTTGCCCTTGGTGACCGATCACGCAAATTGGTTTTTGATATTAGAATGTATGACCAACAGAGAACGGAACAGGTGGGGGGCTCATTTGGTGATCACCTTCCAAGGACTCCTATCAGGCCGCACGCCTCACAGCTCTCTCCTCAGGGCTTTGACGGATGATACCAGCACTGCAGAGTGAGAGGCTATTATTTCACTTTGCATTGGATGAATAGTGATGTGGGCTTCCATGTGTCTGCCTGTTCTGCCTGCTCCTTTCTTTTACATGTTCATTGCTTTTCTTTTCTTTTCCTCGCAAAAGTATTCCAAAAAAGGGGCGCAATAGGTCTGCAAGAAGGATTTTGTGTTTAAGATCTTTACCTTCGATATCCACATTGTTGGGGCTTTTTTTGGTCTGCGTGGTGGATAATTCCCAAATAGTATGTGAGGTCGTTTAAGGCTTTTCCTCTCCTTCATTATTTAAGGTGAAATTAGTTTCTATTGAACAGGGGAAAGCTTTGGTAATCTTCCTTTGTGTGTTGTTCTCTTCGTAGACCAGCAGTATTCATGGTCGCCCTCGCAGTACTTCGATGAGGACAGCCGCTCCCCTCCACCCAGGAACATGAAGGGTCTCTCCGGTGGCCGCCCTGCCCAGCTACAGCTCACCCCCTCAGCTCACACTTGCGGCCTGGGCGACTGCGACCCCTCCCTGGATCACCATCTCCACCATGGCGACTCACGCTCCCCTTCCTACCTGCTCAGTCCCACCGAGAGCTGCCCGCTGGAGGGCCACCACCGCTGCTCCCCACGCAGCTCCATCCACTCCGAGTGCATGATGATGCCGGTGTCCTTATCCACCACAGACCACTCGATTTCCAGCAGCACTTTCCCCCGCATGCACTACGGCAACGCCTCCCGGGACAGCGGGGGGAACACCTCCGGGGGCAGGGACGCTCGGGACGACGGGGGCTCGTCCTCGCACTCGCACGGCGGGAGCGGCAAGATGAACCGGATCCCCGCCAACCTGCTGGACCAGTTCGAAAAGCAGATGCCGCTGCACAGGGACGGCTTCCACACGCTGCAGTACCAGCGCACCTCCACCACCACCACCACGGAGCAGCGCAACGAGAGCCCCGGGCGCATCCGCCACCTGGTCCACTCCGTGCAGAAGCTCTTCACCAAGTCCCACTCGCTGGAGGGCTCCTCCAAGATGAACGGCACCAAGGGCGACTCGCACAGGGACGGCTCGCACCACAACCACCACCACAACCACCACCACAAACACAGCAAACGCAGCAAAAGCAAAGACCGCAAGTACGACGGCGGCGGCGGCGGCGGGAAGCACCGCTCCGGGGGCTGGTGGAGCTCCGACGACAACCTGGACAGCGACAGCACCTACAGGACCCAGAGCGTCATGTCCCGGCACCACGTGGACCACATCAGCCACTGCTACCCCGACAGCGTGCAGGGCCACCTGGGCCGGGACCTGTCGCTAAAGACCTCCAAGAGCAACAACGACGTCAAGTGCTCGGCCTGCGAGAGCTTAAGCATGGCGCCGGAGGGCAAGTTCATGAAGAGGAGCTCCTGGTCCACGCTAACGGTCAGCCAGGCCAAGGAGGCCTACAGGAAGTCCTCGCTCAACCTGGAGAAGCCCATGACCCCTACCGACCTCAAGCCCAACTTGAGGACCTGTAACTACCTGCAGGTGAGTTCAGTCCAGTGACTTTAACTAGCAGCTTTGACGCCATAGAGCAAACTGGCAATAATCGAATGCACCGGTCTGTGGATTGGTTTTGCATTTGTAGAAGGAGATGATGTCAATTTGGACCGTACCATGTGTGCAGAATATGAAAGCAGGGCCAAAAGTGGCTTTTTTTTTGTGTGTGCAATCTTTGAAATTTGTTTTCTTCTATGCTTTTGTTTTTATTTTTATTTTTTTTCAGTAAATTGTTTGGATTTTTGTCTTTCTGTTTGTTTGCTTTATTCTTTTGTAATGTATTTTAAATTTGTGATATGATTTTAGTTTTGGTTTTGCTGTGTTTTCTGTTCTGTGGCTGCATTCTTGAAAAATCCTACCCTGTTCTGATGTTATTGTTGTTATATTGCGGTTCTGCACCTCAGTGCCTCTATACTGACATGATTTTTTTTTTATTTAATTTCAAAGTTTCAGGTCACAGGTATCTTAGATTGATGAGAACTTTAAGCCCCGAAGCACAAAAATTAGCAACAAAACAATTGCGTCTTTTGAAAATTCCTTTTTTTCAGTCGGTTGACAGATGAAGGAAAAGCTTAATCTTCACGTCTGTAACTTTATCTCAGCTGGAAGTCTGATTGAGCTCAAAGACAGAATTTGTTTGTCGCTACTCTGAATGTTCCAATGTGAACCTGTCCTGTGGCTCAGCATGCGGCTGCCGGCAGACAGGACCCGCACGGCAGGACAAATCAATTTACTCTGCAGATGATCATTGCCAGGGGGGAAAATAGTCCCAATAAGAATGAAAGAAAAGCGATTAATGTTGATTTTTACATTGTTGGGCTGTGCATTTAGCAGAGGCTTCGACTTGGGAGAGGGTGTTTATCTCAGGACCTGTATGGTCGACATGAAAGCTCTGCAGGAAATCAATTTCGAATGAGTCAGCACTTTTTACTGAAATGATTCATGGAATACATGCCCATGTTAAAGAAGTATATATTATACGAAATATTACCTCTTAACCTCTTATTGGAAAATCAAGTGGTAACAAGATAGCTCGTCACAATATTCCCACCAATGCATAGCAATCTAATTTAAGTAAAGCCCACAGCTCAAATAAAGTGATCTTGCGATCCCACAGAAGATTCAGTGCTGGAGAGTGTGCTGTAGGGATTACAGACTGTCATAAATGGAAACCCTATCCATTACTCAAATCAGTCGACGCAGCCAAAGGAAGCACTCGGCCTAAGTTTGCACCACCAGAAAGTTCTGTCATTTTGACAGACATATTTCTTAAACTTAGCTGATAATCATTTTAGACTGAACAGAGGGGGTGCACTCATCCACTCCAATTTATTGCAATCCCAGTAAGTGAAGTAACCCCCTTTCCTTCTTCCATCTAGTTGGTCATTCAGCTGGAGCAGCGTCCAAGTCGCGGCACTATAAACACTTCTAAAAATATCCGCCGCCCCTGCTCCCTGCCGCAGGGCTATATTTAGCCCAGTGTTATCAATGTAGTCCGCACAGACTAAGACACATCTCCCCCCCCCAGAGGGGAATCAATGCCCTCCCAGGGAACTCTCAGAGAAGATGTATCAAAGGTGAAGTTTCTGCCTCTGTGCAGCACTGAAATATTCCCGGAAGCAGAAACGGGCTGGAAACAAAATAAATTAGATGGCTTTTTCTTTTAGCTTCCTATGGCGGCTGTTGTTGTTCATCACCAGCAACTGTCAGGCTGAAAGATAGAGCCGATGATCAGGAATATGACTCTGCACACACCAAAGGGTCACTTTGAGAAATATACACTTCCTGCAGCTGCTGAAACGCTGATACCCACAACTGTCTGCACCGTTACGGCTTAAAGTGTACTCAGAGAGTGTGAGCCCACCGTCTATCCATGCGTGGGTGAGTGTGTGTGTGTGTGCGTGTGTGTGTGTGTGCTGGTATTTTCTTTTTATCGCACACCAGATGGTTTGATGATGTGCTAGTCACCTTGTTTGCGTCCTTCGCCGATGACAGGGAAAGTGAAAAACTTCTGAAGTGCTGTTAAAAGTATGAGGCTGCAAACAGGGAGCCTCGCTTTACTGAGCTGTTAAACAGTTTATCTCTTTGTGCGCATTTGAGATAGTGCTCGTGTCCGTACGAGAGATCCAAGAACTGGATATTGATATTGGACGCTAGGTCCCTGACATGACAAATGTTGGGGAGTCGGGCTCGACTTTAGCCCGCACTCCCTGTCATTCAACAAATAAACTCCGGTCATTCCCGTAATTTTTGACTGTTTGCTTCACATAGATAAAGGACAGTTTAAATGAGGCTAGATTTATGAGGTCATTGTAAAAGTGTGGGTCACCTACGCTCTAAAATCTGTAATCCATGCGTCCCCCAACTTCCCCGAGCCGGAAACATAAGTTCAGGACACCACCATTTTGCTTTATTGACAGTTTTCAGCCCTTGTTAAAAAGTCAGCTGCTCTCGCGAACACGAGTCCTGCTGCTTACAGAACAACAACAAAGGGAAGATTAGCCTTTGATAGTTTTGCCGACAAGGCAGGAGATTTAATTAGCCTATTAATTGCAATGTTGGCTTGCCAGAGGTGAAGCTTGTGATACAAAGATGCTGCTGATTTGTGTACAGATGGAAACAGCAAATTAGGGGGAAACAAAACTGGCAATGGGACAACAAACATGGGAGACACACACAGGGTTGGTCGAAAATTTGACTGAAAGAGTTTCCTGTTGGAAGGCAATAAACCTCTATTTACCTTATTTCCCAAAACCCTGACCTTAAAGGGCTAATACTGTCCTCATTTGGAAGTTTGGAAGCTTGTGCTAAGCCCTAGACATCTTCCCTGTGTTTTGCTGAAGTAGCAGGAATCAAAACAAAAAATCTATGCACTCATCGATAAGTTTATAGAACTTATACTTTGGCTACAAGGGTGTTCTACTGTTTTTTTTTCTTTCTTTAGCTTTTGTAATGATTACAGAGAAGTGATGGGGAAGCTAATCAGCTACGAGGCTAATAGGGTGTTCAGCTGCCTGACCGTCTGGACGTTTTAAGTGAACGGTTCCAACTGATAATTAGATACTAACAGCACTGGAGTGAACTGAATTGGATGCAAGCAGTCGTCACGCATTGGCTCCGTCTTTGTCATAACAATGACTTATGTGCATATTCAACGAAGGCAGACGATTAAGATCTAGGAAGTTGGACTCCTTTCCGTAACCCTGGTGCTTCCTCAAACAAAGCTGTGTGGAAATCTTGGTGTTAGTCTCTGAGCTGGCTGTGATACGGCCCGGAGTGACTGTTATTGCGCGATTACAAATTGGTCCTAAAAACTATCAGAGAAGATGAAGACGTTAAACGAGTGTTTCACGTGCGTTTAATCTTCCGGGCTGAAATCTGATAATGCGAAGTGTCAGCTAATGAGAGGAGATTACCAAACAGACTTCTAAATACCAAACGTGTGGGTGTACGCGTGAAAGGGCTGGAGAGAGAGAGAAGCGAAGAGAAGTGGTTGGTCTGCGTTAGGTGTTCAGAAAGAGACGGGAACAAAAACAAAAAAGCACGTCTTACACTCTCAGCGTGCTCATGCAATCTTGTGAGAGGAAATAGGGTTGGAGACTGGGCTTGGGTTATCCATGATTGAAGCCTGAAGAGCTTCACTTTGCCCTCCGTCCTCTCTCTCTCTCTCAACCACTTCTCCATCTTTCTCCAGCGTACCCACTCTACACTATTACTCTGTCTTTGTTAACCTCGCTCTATTTCTTTGCTTAATAGCGGTGGCTTTGGTTTCTCGGTGGGCGTATAGGTAGAGCCGCAGAGTTAATCAATGAAATGCACTGCTGCACTGCTGGAGCTTTGGCTTGAAATGCCTCGCCCCGCCTCCCAGCACACGCAGTCTTCATTTGCTGCCGGCGCAGATAAAAACACTGAGAGGCAGCCGCGTAGAGTAAGCAGTCCCCGTCTGCATTATCCAGCTATAAATGAGACCAGCCAGATCGCAGAAGTTATTTTATAAGCTGACTTAGTGGTGCCAGAACCGCCAGCAAGCGTGCCAAGACTTGCAGTCATCCCCCTCGCGTGAAGAAAGCCCCCATCAAAATATATTTCCCAAAGCAAATGTCTCGATAATTGGATTGTATGAAGTTATCTAAAATAATTAGAGGCTTCGTTGCTGTGTTTAGAGATGAAAATTCTCACTTGCATTGTGAATTTTCACACAAACCAGACAGCCCTTTGGATCCTATCCGTGAGAAGCCATTGCCAATGAAAAAGTATGCAGAACAATGCATATCCATGACGTCATCAGAGCTTTCCAGAACACAGATTTTATATCGGGGCGATAAGTTTATATGTTCACCTGACAGAGCAATGCAGAATCTTTTTAAATTTAGCAGATTTTGATCTGAAAAGGATTTATTTAGTTTCCAGACACAATTCCCCAAAAGTTATAGATGCTTGTTTAAAACAGAGAATACATTTAAACTCTCTCAACAGGCTACTTGTACAAATACTTGGAGCAATGAGGCCTTACAGCAGGAAAAGTGTCATTAGAAGAGTGAGATTTACCTCCAGTATCTATGAATGTGAGGGAACAGATCTATGAGTGTCCAACACCACAATGCTGTAGAGTCTGTAAGAACATATTTCAGACTCTGCACATGGATCCCCTAACCCTAACCCTATAGCTGTTTTCTGTAGCTTCCTAAGCAGAGATTTTGTCAGATGATAATGCTCTTAAAAAGAAAAGAGAGCAGATCGTGTCTGGAAATGCTTCAAGCAACATGGAGATGACGCGCAGTCCTAAGTAGCCGCTTTTAAGGCGCAATCTCTCAGAGTTACCTGGACAAAGAAACAGAAAAATACCCTAATGAAAGCTGCTGTATTCATAACATGCACTTACACTTTACTGTTGCTTCAAAACACAAGGCTGAATATTCAGGGACGTGCACAGCCGCTATGCCCGTTTAAATCCGGCAGAATTTATGCATGCAGAGTGGGTTGATCCCAAACCGCACAATCTTGTGTTCCTGGTTTGAGACGTTTGATCTCAGATTAATTAACCAATTTTTCTGCTTGAAAAGCCTGATAGGTGGGTCTTATCACCGGGGGCTCTGCTGTTTCCGCAGAGGAACTGTGGATCTCTCTGACCAAAGCCCTTTGCTCCCACTTACACAAACCATTTTCACACACAACATGAACTAGATACGTTGGGTGATGGCTTTGGCTATTTCTTTTTTTTTTCTCCATTCACACAAAGGCATCAGAGAGGCATCACTCTGAGTACATACATAAGCGCGACTTTACAGTTCTACTTTAAATCGGCGAAATTTGTTTTTGTCATGTTGGGAAACGATGTGCAGATAAACATTTCGACTATTTCTAAAAGGGAACAGAGAAAACTTGAAAGCGTCTGAAAGTTTCCCACTGAGACTGCATCTCAGCTCCGGTTAAAATGCTCAGATGATGATTTATGTGTCTCCAGCACAGCGGTCCACACAAGCACATTGAGCTGTCCAATGCTATATTTATAATTCTTTTATCTTCACAGGGAGACACCTTACAATCTACACAGTTTATCAGGGAATTCAAATTAAACAAATCTCACCACAGCTTGCACCTGTCCTCTGGCGTTGCGTCCATTAATGAGATGTCTAAAAATATCAAACCCCTCCAAGACTTAATTAACCCATCGACTCTGTTTGGTAGCTGCTGTGTGCCTGTTGTAGGACGGGAGATGAATGACTTTTATCAGTGTGTGAGTGTGTGATTGTGTGCTAATGGGAATGTGCGTGTCCACTTTGAGTGCTTGTTTCTGATAGAAAAAAAAAAAGAGAGAAAAAAAGTGATTTTAATTAATTCATGCATGTCTAGAGTTGGTCCTTTTGCACTTGGGTGTAATTTTTACTTCCGCTTGCGTGTTCGAAATGTGTCATCTCGTGCTGGATTTACATACGCCTCTGTTGTCTGCTGTGTGGTAAAACCAGAGCCTTACGACTAAATATACTACCCCAGCTAGAGAGAGAAAGATTGGTCTCCATCAGTCACACCTTCTTTCAAGTTAAAAGCCAAATATAAATATAAAGGCTGCTTTAATTCATCACTCTTGTGGCAGTATCGTGTTAAAAAAAGCAGTATGCGTTGACAATGCTCAATTAGTTAAGATGGACTTTCCTGCAAAGTTTATTGATGTCTTTTTTTCATGTTTATCCGTGAGGTATTTGAAGGGTCATCTCTGTTTTTACATGCCTTTGTGTTACAATCCCATGTCAGACTACATTTGCATAAGAAACAGAGTAAGGTTTGTTTGTCTGATGCATTAGTGGCATTTGGACGTGTCTTATCTCCTCATGACATTTGACATGGACGCTCTCCCACCTGCCAGTTCACAATAACCTAGTAAATATTGAGTTTCTCACTGGCGGACACAGGAAAAAAACATCTTCTTTATGAGTATATATTTATCCAATGCTTTAATTATCGATATAATTAGAGGGCCATTTTAAAACAAGTTGAGACATTTGTTCTGGTCCAGAGGTACAAAATTCAACACATATGGCCCCAGCTGATATTTAACTTAATAAAGTGTAGAAGCGGTGGGGATTTGAGCCTCTGTGGGGCGGGCCTGATGCCAGGATGTTAAAGTGACAAATGTGTATTGAGGATTTCGACCGCCACGTAAAATTTAAGGAGTACTGACAATGTCATATTTTACGAGTGACCAAGCCAAGCTTCTGACAGCCACAGAGCACCAGCAGAGTACATCAGTTAAGGTGTGGAGCAGGCTGTGCTTTTTGCTCAAGGTACGAGAATCTGAAATCCCTCCTCAGCTGCTGTTCAGTCGTCTTTTCATGTTTTTTTAATTGTGGCCTGTGTCTAATGACATTCCAAGTAATCTAAACTGGTTCAACATGGAGGGTGAAGTTGGCCCAGAGACCACCGCCACCATGCTCATTACATAAAAACAGTTAAGACCACATAATGATATTCCTGTGTGTGGCGTGGTGACATATGCCATAATGGACTCCTAATGTTCCTTTGCAACATTTTCATGACTCAGAAAATGATCCTGCTCCACACAATGTGCAGTCATATTACGTTTGAAATTGATTTCATCAATAGAAAAGCATAAAAGGCGTACATTAAAATGTATTAACTTCCACTTTTACTGCCTTTGCCGTGTAGAGGATATTCCGTCTTCCTACTCGCGCCACATTGAACGTTTAAGGCTAGCTCAGAGTAGACTGTTCGGTCAGAAACTTCTCTCCATGAACACTCAAGACAGGTGGCAAATGCAAGGAAGACTTCCTGTTCTTATTTTGAACAGGATAATGGAGGTGCTTACGTGTTATATTTAATTACCTGCTGCAATGAGTGGAAGAAAATTACAGCGTGCACACTGCCCGGCCTGTTTTGATGGCAGGTGCGGCAGCTAAAACACTGAGCAATGACAGCTCATTTTCTTTGGTCTTTTCTTCTGTCCTCTGTCAGAAATACAGATTAACAGCCAAGTTAAAATTACAGCACAGTTACAGAGGATGTTAAGTAGTTCTTCTCTGCTCAGACTATGCGAAATTTAAATGGAGAGCATCAGTGGGAGCTGCATGAGAGTTTTAATGTGTTTACTCATCAAGAAAACAGCTGTGCATTACTCTAAATGTGGCAGTTACGGCTTAAGTTGAGCTGTCTGTCAAAAGCCCCTTTGTTCGATCACTTAAAAACCTTATAAAACTTTGGTTTATGGTTTTAATGCTTTCTATTTCTTTTTCAAGATGTATACGGCACTCTTGAGTTGGAAGAAAGAAATTATGGCTGTGGAAATGGGAATGTGATGTACAGCCATGGAATTTGGATTTATGTTTAATGTCAGTGTGAAGTTACAGGCACATTGTAATGGGATGCAAATGACGAATCAGAAGGAAATATGTGAAGTGATTTTCTTTCGTATAAAGCACCCTTCAGGTGTGCCGTTATGTGTTATTACTTTACCAACCAACCGAGCAGTCTAAATGCCATGTGAGAGAAAAACTACACCCTTTGTCTTAGAATTAGGTCGAAATAACCTCAGGTGAGGAATATCATGTCACAGTATGTTGCTGTTATGTTTTTTTTTTTGTTCAGAAGTAGCTTTTTTTTTAATGCTGCCCACAAGTAGCAATACGTGTATTTTAATAGAGTAGCATAGCTACTGTGAGGGAGAGTACCCATCACCATCACAGATACACAAAAACAGTGTGTGTGTGTGTCCTTGTCTCCCTCTCCACCAGGTGCCCCAGGATGAGTGGGGCGGTTATCCTGGTGGTGGAAAAGATGATGAGATCCCCTGTAGGCGAATGCGGAGTAGCAGCTATGTTAAAGCCATGGGAGACGAGGAAAGCGGAGAGTCAGACTCAAGCCCAAAGACATCACCTCAGAAGGCCGTGCGGCCAGACGCTCTGGTCAAGGCCATCATCAGACCCAGAGAGCTGTTAGACTCTCAGAGGTACGGCACACGTGAAACCGAACATCAGCACTTCATGCCATTCTGTTGTTTTCAGCTCAGATTTGGTCCCGCATGGCCTTGTTTATGTACTCAGATTGCCTTAAAACCTTCAAACCAGCTGCATGTATTCAACTCTAACACGTGCAAGATATTTATGTGATTATATAACTTGTAAGTTGTTATTTTTTTTGTATGTGAAAAAGGTTGTATTGGATCGGATGGGATTGTCCTGGGCTTTTTTCTTACTGCCACTAGAGCGTACCAATGGTGACGTTTCACAGTGAAGCGTGGATTAACTGCTTTTAGTTCCAGAGAGTGTCTGAAAACATAACAGATCAAAGGAAAACATTTTTCTGGACATCCGGAGAGTGCATGCGCTGTAAAATGTTTTGTGCGCTCCCGTTTCATCATTGACTCGCATCCTAAACATGTGACTGCTCATTCCCATCGCTAACATTTGTAGTTTCCATAGTTCATGTGCAAATTATTAAACATTTATTGAGAGATATTCATGTCAGGAAAAAGGCCTTCTTCTACAGGGGTGTGTTCCATGAAGTGGTGAGAAACTAGCGTGCTTTTGGGCCTGTACTCATGAGTACGGGCTGTGTGACTTCAATGGTTCTCTGCAAATCCAAAGCAGAAATCCTCTGTGATTTCACTCAGCTTTGATTTTACTTAAGGATGCCATAAAAAAAGTTAAAAACTTTTTAGTGAAGGGTTCTTCAAAGGGGAGTTTGAAGATGAACAGATTTCAGTGTTGCTTCTATCAAATAAACTTCATATCTGATGTAGATTTCCTGCAATTTCATGTTATTGAGTCATTTTAAACTGTAGAGTTTTGGGTCCCTCAAGGAGCCATCTCTTCTTTGTTTGTGAAAAAAAGTATACTAAAATTGGCTATCGCCACTTTATCCATTTTAGAGTGGTTTGGGGGCTGGAGCCTATCGCAGCGACCATTAGGCAAGAGCTCGGATACGTGTCGGATATGTTGCCAGTCCAACACAAGGCCAGCACAGAGACAAATGACACAAACAGATATGCCTGCTCTCACTCCCACTGTCGGCTCAGAATCACCAATTAGTTTGACGTGCATGTGTTTGGAAGGTGGGAGGAAGCTGGACCCCTCAGAGAGCCCCTCTCATGCCCACTGTGAATAAGCTAATGCCACACAGAGGGGTCCCAGCCAAGAATCAAATCTAGCTGTGAGGCTCCAACAGACTGTGAAAACAGCAATTACTGCTGGTATCCATTAATCGACTTTCATAATTTAATATCATGAGAAAAAACAATGTTTTTACCTTACTCCTCTGTTGTACATAGACTGTATTTACCAGCTAATGATTGAACTGCTTAAAGGCCTGTCACCTGAGCCAATACGCAGGACTCCATTGTTATTTCTAATTTGTAAAAAGTCTAATTATTAAAAGGTGTCCAATAAGGTCAGAGGTCAAATGAAAGTATAGGGAAGGTCTGATAATTATATAGTTATAATTAACTTGCTATCGTTGAGTTAAAAAGATAGGAATGTGTATCTAATCAAGCTTTTAAAAAACAGTTAAACCCAGCATAATTTATGTTCTCCAATTTGTTAGTTGTGGAAAATAAATATAACTGGTTGCAAGAAAACAAATTTTAACAGAAAATGTGAGTTTACAAAAGCATAATGTAAGCATATCAACATATGACATATATATTTAAATTTGTACTTTTGTGGGATGAATCAATTACTTTTCCATTCTATTCTATTCTAATCTGGTCTATCAGTACAGTGGGGATGTTGTGTAAGAGATTTTCTCCGAGGGTCGCAGCGACTTCTGCATAAATCACACAGTGTGTCTGCTCAGCCCCAGATCTGCAGATGCCAGCAGGCCACTAATTTGACATAAATTGGGAACCATTACGCAAAAACAACCTTGTGTCTGGCCCCATTGTAGAGTGTGCTCTGTGACAGGCACATGGCTACAGTATTTGATGTCAGCACAAGACAGGATAACGCCTTCTGACTACTACTGATGAGTCCCTCACTAATGTTGCCATGTCATGGTCTGTGCACTCATCAGGCTGCTGGCCCAATGTTTGTTTTCATTCAGCTTTAGATTCTGTCAAACAGAAGCCTTCTTTCCACTGAAATATGAAGAAAACATCAAATCAGCTTGTACACATCACATCTGTTAAACTGATGCTCATGAAAGCTTCCGTATACCCGCACACAAGCAGGACTCAATCCTGGATTTTTCCTGGTGTTTATGGCCTCTCTGCAGGATGTCAACACATGAAGCTGGACAATAAAGGTCCAAACACCAGCTATGACTATCAAATAGTTCAATTTAGGACCTACATGACATACAATTCAAATAATCTGCCTTGTTTATTCACGATCAAACAAGATTATGGAATGTGATCGTCATGGATCGTATTGATATGCAATCGTTTGGCTTTTTTAAAAGCTCTCTCAAGTTGTGTTGTAACGTATAAATTAAAGCCACAGTGAGGTATCCTGCTTTCCCACATCTTCAGCTCCCCCTCGTCATCCATTCTGAACAGCCAAACAGTGAGAATGCTTCGTCAGGATGGGATGTCAATTGCACTTATTGTGGTCCAGCGCCACTTTGAGCAAACAGCTTTCTCTGTGGTTACCGAGAGGCTCTGCTAAAAGCGAGATATTGACCAGCATGGCGCAAAATGTGTGATCTGTTTCCGAGCCCATTGACGGAAGCGGCCGTGTTATCGAGCCCGCAGAAGAAGGCTTGTTGATGCTTTCGTTTTGAGCCCTCAGGAGTGTCCCCGGGGGTATCATTGCTAAAGAGTACTGATACTCTTGTAATTCGCTCAAAGATTGATCCCATGATGTAGCAGTTATTGAATTTGTGAAAAACTAGATGGTTGTGTCTGATATCTGAGAAGACCTATCTCGCGGCACAATTGTTTTTCACACTCTTTTAAAAGGAGCTTCAGGTCAAACCTGCGGTTTCCAGAAGAGATTTCTGTATTTTGGGGGTTCCTCAGGTGTCCAGTTAATGTGACAGAAAATTAGGAAGGATTCATTCAATTCGGAGCAGTGTGTTTTTCAGCAGGAGCTTTTTCTTTATCGGCTTCGTTTGGACAGCTGTTGGCAGCATTTCTTAGCTAAAGATCTGAGAGGTGATGGTGTTATCTTTGTTGTTTCTTCTCAAATATCCAATCTGAACCGACAAACCCATTCGATTCCTCAGATATGATCACACCAAACCCAGAAAAGACGGTGGTGTTAGCAGCAGATCGCACAGACCCTGTTGTCACTGGCGAGTGTGGCGCTTTGCAACACAGCAATTTGCAAGCTTGTTTTTGTCCTGTCCAGCATTCTGCCACTGTTTGTCTGCCAGGAAAGTGAACACATGGATTATTTTGAATGGCACAAATGCTACTTAATCTGTTTTTTGTTGACACACTTGGTGACTGATACCTCCTAGTTAGATGAGGTGATCCCTCATCCCAAAATATCAGAAGTAGTAGCGATAACATAGAGAAAACTCCAACTTCACAATTTGTTTTGGTGCCTTAGGCAGAGATAAAAAGCTTTTTGAAAAAGAGAAAATGAACTGTGTAAAGATCTTAGGAGAGGCTGAAAAAACCTTATGTAATGACGGGTGAGGCAAATGTGTGACATGCAATCACAGAATGGGCTTCAGGTAGATGATGAGTTAGGTAATTACAATGGAATCCCGCGTTGTCGGCATATTTGCAGCCACGGTTTAATCGTCCGGCGTATCATTTCCTTCAAATGTCACTTGAGGAGGAAAGATTAAACAAGATCTTTAAGCATTTAAAACACAACCCTTATGCCCCTTTAACAACAACCTTCCATTAAATGCTTCCGTGGCCACTTAGCAGCAGTTAACCCACTTACTACTGAGACAACAGGTACAGTAACAGTGTCTACAACAGACCTGAAAGCATGTTGTTGCCCTTTAGTAAACAAACACACGGTGTCCAAATCGATTCTGAAGATTCTTTCAGTTTTTATCCAGAATCTGATGAGTTCTCTTCGACAAACTTCAAACTTTTTACATACAACTGTTTATATCTTTACATATCTGCAAGTGCCATACGACTTTATTGTCCAAGGCTGTTATGGTCAAAAGTTGAAAAGGCCACTTCTGTACCCACCTGCTGTGGGCTCTACCCGTTGCTCTTTTAAATGCACACCTCAGAGATGCCAGCGCCGCCTGACGCAGGCACTCTGATACTATTATGATTCATTGGGCTTGTTGGGATGGAATTAGATTAGATTGAAGACAGAAGTGTCACAGGTCGGATTTCCTTGGCACCCGTAGCAGTTTGACGTCCCTCCGGGTCATTCTGATGGGCTAAACACAAATTTGACAGCAGCGGCTCCTCGAAGCAAATCATGTTAAAGCGAGAACAGACTGTCAAGTTGTGTCACCTCCCTCCATCATCCCCTCGTTCAAGCGCTCTGTCACTCTCAGCCCTGAAAGGGTCTGTTCCTCTTACCAACGGAGAATAAATCACTGGAACAGCCTGGGCATTTGAAGTAAAGTTAGATGTCAGTGAATTAATGTGTTAATCAACAGTAATTCACACAATCTCTTCCCCAAACCCCCCAATTCTGATTTTGTAATCTACAGACAGCTGTGACAAAATCAGTGTAAAGTAGCTGTATGTGAAATGTTGCTGATTTTTTTTGTTTGGTATCGATATTGTTTTCTCGTGTGACTGTGATCAATTGGACTTCCCACTCTTCCTGATTTAGCATAATGTAACCGTTCATTCAGTTTGCATTGTGTTGTGTATTAGCATGTCTCCTAAGTTCCCAAAGTTAAAACAAAACTCCAAATCACTGATTTGTGGCAGATGAGGACATGCCATACATACTTGGACAGAATTTCTGCTTGCAAAGCTTTTTTTCAAAGCACATTAAAATATATATCTGAATAGGGCCCGGAACTTTGTGGCTTTTGCCAGCTTTAATATCTGATGATTTATGGCTCGGAAAAGAAACTACATTCCTATTGATGATTTGGCTCATGTTTTGAAGCAAAAAATCCAAGCAGGGTCAAATATGTGGGAGCATGGTAAGCAAAGTAAGTACATTTTCAAAACATGTACAGGATTGTTGTGATTGTTGCCTGGGTAAATTCTTAGAAAAAACAAAGCTGGAAAGCCAGTCAAAGACACCAGGATAATGAGGTTTGGGACTGAAGCCCTACTGAAATTGGCCTGAGCATATGTATCTTTGAAGCCTTTGTGGTTTGAGCCTAGTATATGTTAATGTTATGATATATGGGTATTATTCACAGCTTTGGTTGGACATTTACTGGCTGCCAAGTCTTTGAGAGCATTTAGATCAAAGTGGATAAATAGCTTTCTGGAATGTAAAATTCTTTTGATATTTTGATGTTTCAGATTTTGTCTGGGGATACTGTGGACGCAGCATAGTTTCAGCTTTTTCCTAACAAAATTAGTACACAGCTAATTGTATGAACCACCAAAAGAGAGCTCTCACAGGCTCCATTAAACCAGGAAGCATTAGATTCCCATCATCCCTCGCCTTGATATTGGCTGACAATGGAAGTGCATTAGCACCAATCAGAAACATTAGAGGAAATTTACTGTGGCATGATTTGATAAAAAGGGCCGACGCATTCTCAAAACAGCCTCCCTACACTCATCTGGTGATAACATCTTCACAGGCAGGGATGGGTGAAGTAATGCCCAATTCATCCCTTGGACTTGTGTTTTTCTGCCAGCTGTAGGATTTACAAACACTGAGTGCTCGAGAATTATTTTTGTGTGGATTTGTAATTGTTAATTATTTTTTGAGGGCAGGTTTTATTCCCTTTCAAATGTTTTGAGCATTTGTAATAGTGGGCATTGTATATGTAAATTTTACGCAACTCATAAGTTAATTTTTAGTTTGTCATTTGTGTGTGTGTGTGTGTGTGTGTGTGTGTGTGTAAATGTTATTTAGAATACATTACCTCAACTTGGCCATTTTCTCCGTCAGCTAACCTAGATAGTTACATTCCGTCTTTTTTTCTCATCACCAAAAGGCCACGCCGGTCATATTGTATCACCCTAATGTTTGCAGCATTTGGTGAACACTCCTAAGCAAACATTCAGTGTATCATAAATCCATACAGAGCTAGTTCCGTTGGACTTTCGCTGAGTGGAAGTCGCAGCCATCCACTTCCCCCTTTTGGGACTCAGTAACTCTGTTTTCTTCTCTACCCACAGCTCTTACCGCCTGGATAAAATCAACAGTGACATGCGTAACTACATCACCAATTTTGCTGCAGACTTAAGGTGAATACAGGCTCAGTGCCTCCCCCGTACCTCTCTGTTGCTGCCATGTTGCAGCGCTCGGCTCCCACGGCCAACTGGCTCGCTGCCCTGCTGACATATCCAATATGGACACCTCAAAGCACACGCAGTTAGGACCAGTCAATGAGGGGGTCACCCAGGGCAATGTGCTGATGCTACCAAAGCATGAGGCGGTGTTTAGCATAACGCGGATATATGATTCACCACCAATCAATTTGACATCAACAGGTTGATGTTTCTGCCTCTCTTTATTTACATGACCCTTAAAAACATCAGATATCTACCTGAAGTTTGCTTCAATTAAGAGATTACTCTGATGGCTTCTTGGGTTTAAAGGTTTCCTTTCAGGCTTACTATTTCATCAAATGTATTCTTTTCTCCAGGATGTTTTCAGACACTTTTCAAGTTGATGGTATTTTTATCAGTGCACTGGCCCATGCGGCAGTAGCACAAGATAGATTGGAGGGGTTTTAATCACACTGGCATTTTCCTGCCACCAAACATGAACATTTTTCTCTATAGAAAGCACAGAAACTGCTTGCTCATCCTCTCCCGCCATTAGACATAGATCTAAACACACTTTAGTCCTCCTGAAGTGACTCACTTTGTATTATTCAGTTCGCTTAAAGCAAACTTCTCCTTCCTCTTCTTCATCTTCTCTCCAGCAGATTTTTCTAACCAGTCATGGCTTTCTCTTGCCCAGTGCATTTAATTAACCCGGCTGACACTGGGATGCTCTCTCTGAAGTGCTTGCTCACTAACTAGCTTCTGATTTGCATTTCCCACATTTCCAAGCATCGATTGGATGTTTCAGCACATCAGAAATCGACCTGCTTTTCTAAGAACACCGATGACCGCATCTCTGTCGTGGTGGACGGTGCTGAAAGGAAAGGGCTTCCCCCCTTTGAAATGCGTGTCATAATTACTCTATCTTTTGTTGCCTGAGATTTGTGTTACTTTTTGTCAAACTACGGGTTTATTCGTTACACGCTAGATTTTGATTTTCTATTAACTTTCGAAGAAACTGGTGTGAGGAGTATAATCCCATTCCAGGCTTCTTTGTCTTTTCTCTCTCTGTTCAGTCAGAGCTACCACCTGCAAGCTACCAGGGACATGCACCCCAGCCTTGCCCTGGACCCCTCTACGAACTACAACTCACCCAAATTTCGGTCTAGAAACCAGAGCTATATGCGAGCTGTCAGCACACTCAGTCAGGCCAGTTGTGTTAGCCAAGTCAGCCAGGTGAGTGTACAACACTTTTACAGACTGCATGGCCCCACAACAGCTCTCTGGTTAAATTTTTACTTTGTTTACGTCACATAACCCATTTTGGTATTTGTCTCTTTGCTTCTGGTTACTGTCACACATTGCAGAAAACTTTACTTTAAAAGACCGTGTGGCATCAAAACCATTAAGTAACAACATGTATACCATTGCATCACTTTTGTGTGAGAGGCGGTGTTAATGGGAACAATTTGAATTTGTTTTTTGTTCTTAGAGACGGAATTTTATCCAGTCCTCGTGAACTTTTCGTGGTGTACCCCGCCAATCGCACCAAGACAGCTGGGATTGGCTCTCGAGTTTTTTTTTTATATCGCAGCTGTATTTCACATTAGTCTAGATTATTAGAGGACTTAAGCAAGAGCTGGTGATATATTCATCTCCTTCTTGATAGACAGGCATGAGGATTTGTTTTGAGTCCTAAAAGCCCAGCTAAACCCACACTCTAGATCACACAAGACGGATATTTTCTTTAATGATGGTGATGATTAAATCCTTTAAACTTTTAAAAAAATGATTTGTGATGAATCAGAAACATAAACACAACATGTCATGACCTTGTCTTTGTCAAATGTATATCACATTGTGTCTAATTTAAAGCCAAATAGAAGTAACCAGCTCACAGGATATCAACAAGTTATCAGTCATTTTCGAGCAACAAGCCAATAGGAATACATCACAACAGCTGTGACGTTATCAGCTGATATATTATCAGCTCTTTTAATTTAGTTCAGAAGATGTAAAATATTTGGGTTTGAAGAATGAACAAAGCACACTGAGGACTCTTGTTTCTTGCAGGTGAGTGAAACCGAAATAAACGGCCAGTTTGAGTCTGTGTGCGAGTCCGTGTTCAGTGAAGTGGAATCTCAGGCCATGGAGGCTTTGGACCTGCCTGGCTGCTTTAGAACCCGGAGCCACAGCTACCTGAGAGCCATCCAGGCCGGCTACTCCCAAGATGATGACTGCATCACCCCCGTGGCATCCACTGTCACCTCCACCATCAGGTCGACAACAGGTAAGGACTATTCCACCTAGAAGGAATTTGAATCATGCAGTAGGGTTAGCCTGAGAGAACTGACTCATTGACACAAAACCATACCACACTGACGTGTGGTATGAATATAAACACTTAATGCAGATTGATCTGTATCTTTGCATGAATCACATGAGTGTTTCATTAATTATTATATTTGTAGTTACCACTTGTGAGCTGAGCAAGTTCATCCTGCTGTATTTTGGTTACAATGCTTCATCTGCTCACCCGCTGGATGCATCAGAGAGTAAAACTATGAACCCTATTGAAAATCACATATGGACACTGTCTGAGATGAAAATCAGGTCAGATTAGAGACACAACCACCTGTACCACCAATACATTTTGTGAGCCATTACTTTCTCTGTTTTGCCATAAATTGGCTTTCACCGTGGTGGCTGACAATACAATTATCTTATATTGTTTGCTCATAAACCCAGTTTGAACATTGCTGTAAAATACCACACCACTTTTTTTGTCTCGGTTCGTTTCGGCAAACAAATAAATCATTTTTCTGCTGAAGATTGAAGATTTGTGAGAACTGAAGAACTCAATAATGAATAACATAAACCTGCAAAAGACTGCACTGTTTATAAAACTGTCACACTGATTAGTTATATGTATATCTATACATATAAATATATATATATATATATATTTCCTAATAATTCTAAGCCTACTCGGCTGACACGTGAATTTACTTCTGCTACTGGGCCTTTATTATAAATTATAGGCTGCTGGTGGGTTCAATGATTCCCTTGATTGCTGGATACTCAGAGGAACTGATACGTCCCTGTAAAGATGAAGAATGTGGGAAGAGAAGAAGAAAATGTTTCTGGACGAGAATTCTGAATGGATTCCATCTCTTCCCACAGTAGATTTCTGAACTAACCTAAGCTGTGTTATAGTAGGGAGAGTTAGAGGTGTGGACATCTGGAGATGTGCTGATGGTCAAGTCTTAAAACCCAACAATTGTTTGCTTACACTGCTTTCTCATTTATTTACTCTAATACTGCATATCAAAGGTGCTAAGTTTTGTGTGCATTTTTTGTTTTTGTCTTTTCATCAACTAGGGGAATATATTCGATTCGATTATTCGATTCAGTCGGTCAAACTGGACGTCTCCGTTTCAATAGGGTTCATACTTATACTTCCTGAATGACGAGAGAACATTTGGACGCTTTGCTCATCTTTACCTCTTTTCATTGCACAAAGTTCACTTTTCCTTAACTCAGTTAAATGGATAAGAGTGTTCAAAGGTTTTTAACACCTCATTTATGATATATATATTGTCCATTTTCTGTTATGTGCTCTTGGATCTCATTTATTTAACCTTTGTGCACTGAAAAGATGCAAAGATTGCATGCTACAAATTAGGGTTGAGAAGGCAGTGTAAACCATTATCTGAAATGAGAGCACTTTCTCAGTGTTAGTTTTCAACACTGTGTTGTAAATCTTACCATAGAATATTTTTGACTGGTGTGCTTTCAATTACAGCTTAGATGTTATTTTTACTCATGGCATTCAGTGCATGACTTGATGTTACTGCTTTTGTGGCAATAAAAAGCACATTCTCTCCAGCTGCTCACACCTGTGGTCATATTACAGCTACATATTCACATTTGTCTTCCAGACAGAAATTATGTGCAGGAAGAAACTTGTTTACCCGACCAGACCAGTATACTTGAGGAATTGGCAGACACAGCCCCTTTGACTCATGATGATCTAGGCTGCCCCATCCGAAGAGATAGACTTTACCACCAAGATAACATGGGAGCCACAGCAAAACCTGTGTCTGGACCACCTGTTTCTCCAAGCCTCTTCAGATCCCCCAGGTCTAGTGCACCAGAGCGACCGTCACCAAAAGCCATCCAGGCCAGTATTAAAGAGTCAGCCACCTTGGCAGCTGCTATCAGCATGCAGTGGAAGGAAGAGGTGTCCGCCATGCGTCGAGAGTTAGCAGAGCTCAGGAGGGATCTTTGCAAAGAGCTACGTGCTTTCAACAGCAATTTCAACACTTTTACTCAGCATTACAACACATGGTCTCCCCAAGCAGGGAATGTGGCAGCCGGAGCTGGGACAGGCTTGGGTGAAGGAGTGGGGACTGGTGCGGGGACAGGACCCAGAGCGGGGTCAGGGCTAGGGCCAGGACGAGCCACCATGGGTGATAAAGGAACGGGGAAAGCAAGAGAGAAGAAGCCCCAGATATCTAAAGTGTCTGTGGGGACTCAGGCCAGAAGCAAAGTCCTGGTCAGGCAAAGCACGGCAGACGCTGCTGTCAACTGCCCTGAAGAGGGTGAGGAAAAAAAGGGTGCTCGCCGAAGTCTGCCGAAACAGCTCTCGATGGACCCGAGCATTCTTGCTTGTCCGCAGTCAATGTACATAGAGAGTGCCATTCCTCTCTCTTTGGACCCAATACTTCCTGGCTCTGGTAGAACAGTCCAGACAGAGATATTTGACTTAACTGCTATTCCTTCAACATCTAATCCAGAGCTTAATCTAGACCAAAGAACGGCCCCTACCCAGCCAACCACCATTCAAGAAACAGTGCCACTTTCAGCAGAAAAAGTGCTCGGATGTCCTCAGGATTCATCGACAATGACACAAGAAGTGGTTAAGACACCAAAACCGAAAGACGGAGGCCCAGCCACTGACAATAATTCAAATGTTGGACAATCTCATTCTGATCAAATTAAATCCACACAGTCAGAACAAACTGAAAGAGATCAAATACAGCTGCCCTATCCAGTTCCAATAGTTACTGTGTCTCCACCAGAGGAGCATGATTATGACAATAGCTCAGATCCGGAGTCCCCTGATCTCGTCATGGTTGACAAGCCACAACCGATCACTTGTGATCCTACCGCCATATCTGTACCATTATCGGCACTGGAGAATCCAGATCCATCAGGCTCAGCAGAGGCAGAACCAAAAGTATCAAACATACCCACTGAGTCTTCATCTGCCACTATTGCTCAAGGCCCCCCCTTAGTGTGTGAAACACCTGCTCTTGATCTCGATAATCAAATGGAGTGTAATATACAAACTGCCATCCAGTGTCCGGCTATAGTGGTGTCAGAGTACATAGAGACAGAATCACCTGCAAGCCCAACGGTAGATAACACAAATCCAGATCCCATCATCACATTTCCTGATTATCCCTCCGATGATCCCTCCAGTTCAGTAGAAACCCAACCTAATTCCGAGGCAGAGTCCCAGGAGTCTGAGTGGCCCCCTCTGCCAGAACCATTAGATACCACGCCCATATATCATGCTGATCTGGTCCACTTTGACTTAGTCATGCTGACTTCCTTTGATCAAGATGACCTGGACTCAGTGTTTATGGACCCTGAACCAGAGCCTTTTGACCTGGGTGCTGACTGTTCATTTAATGCTGAAGATTACGATCCTCTTGGATACCATTCAGATTCTCAGAGTTCCCCGCTACCGACTGTTGACCCTGCCTTGACATGCTTCATGGATCCATCAGCAGAGTTAGCCTATTTAGACCCAGCCATGGAATATCAACGAGCACACGATACTCATGATGTAGCCTCATATTTAGACGAACTCCAATTTCCACAGGTCACTGTCACAATATCCCCTCCTAGTTCAGTATCCCCTGACACATCCCTAGAAATAGACTTTGGACCGACAAGCCCTGGCCCAGATTCTCCTCTTTCTGAGGTAGAGCCATCATCACCAGATGTCCAAGAACTCGAGAAGTCAGATTATGATGTAGCAGAGATAATGGAATGTATGGACGCAACCCAGGAAGCTGTGAGCCTTGCTGAGGAGATAGAAGGGGGGACCCCCAGCAGTCCAGAGAGATTATCAAGCGAGCAGGCTTTTCTGTGGGACAGATGGCAGAGGAGAGGCCAGAGGCGAGCTTCATTGCACAGGAGTGCCAGTGTGGAGCTCTGGAGTGGTAGATACGATTACAACAGTGCAGAAATCACATATGTGTCTCTCACTCTGTGAGTGCATACCTCACTTTTTTTTAGCAGACAAAATGTAGCCCCATCTCTATTTACAGCCCAAGTTTTGTAGCTGCCATTTAATGTAGACGGACATGCAGACTGAAATGTCACGTGTTCACTGGCATCAAAGTAAGGACTTCCATCTATACAATCCCACAGTAACATTCTGTGGAAAAAAAAGACATATGGGATTGCTAGATAATGCAAGACTGCATTGTATTAAATCATCAGTGGGGACAAATGCACTAAATACACCAAAAAAATACTCCATCTGATAGGAGGATGAACCTCGAATCACTGACGCAACTGTTATAAAATATCTTCCAGGACTCTTTATTGAAGTGAACTACTCTCAGTCCTCAGACTTTCAGTGGACGCTCTTGTTATGGCATCAAAATGTTTCAAGAACCTCTTTTAGAGACTCTTTTGGGAGCTCCACTGAAGACTATTAACAAGTTGGACTGGTGATGTATAATATCTTGACAATCCTTACAATGATGATGATGGAAACCTCATCTCAGTTTAAACTCTTTGTGTTTTTCGCTCTAACAGGGAGGGGAAAACACCTAGGTAGTTATCATATAACTCATATAAAAATCATGCTGTTTACTATGTGAGCTATTTATGGACTCTGTAAGGCAAAAGAAAGACGTTTTGATGCTGTGAAACGCTGTTTGCACAATTTCAAATAAAGGTGGAAGACTGTGCTGTTACAGTTGTATACAAAGTTTGGACAAATTCCATATTTTGATGATAAAAGGAAAAAATAGTCCCCTAAACCCCAGCTAAAAGGCCTTTGAATTCATCTTTTTTCCATATATTGATGCTGTTCAACTTTTTATTTAGTCATCCAAGTTCACAAAGATTTGATCAGAGCAAGAATTTCCATTCACATTAAAATTACTTCTGCAGAGTGAGGGTGGTCCAAATTTTTGCATGCAACTGTAATCTATTGCAGAAATAACTAATGGTATTCTCAAATATATTTATGAACGAGTACAAATATGGAATGTAGCATCTTTGAACACACGTTCTCCCATAATCCACATGCAAACACTTTAGTCAAATACACTACACAGATCTACTGACAGTAGATTTGTTTGGACATAACAGGCATTGCGGGGGTGATTAAACCTTTTTTATTGTAATATATCATATTAATGCTCAGGAATCAAAGAATGAGAATGTAATATCAATGGGTGACTAAATGTAATTTATGGTTGAATTCTGTCTTGTCTGTGAAAGAATTATTCATCATTGTGTGGCTATTTGTTTTTTATGTGTGACACTCAATGATGGAATTATTGTCATTAACAGTGCATGACAGATGGCCTCAGTGTTTTTGCATTTCTTGTGCTATGCCTCAATGATAGCATTTGGCTCAGTTCATTGTTTCATTCTTAAAGGAGCCTACATGCCACAGAAAGATTCAGTAGAAAAATCTGTAACCAGCAACGAATTACAGGCATTTCACAGGATATGCAGTATCTGCTCTATCTGTCCAATTAATGGGCTCTGAATGGAATCCCCAACTCGAGTCTTATTATTCTAATAAAGTGCAGTTGAACAAGACGTTTTTTTAAGTGCAACATCAGTGAACCACAAGAAGAGGATTTTTTTTCTGTGTTTTGCCTCAAATACGCAATGAGCACTTGGAGAAAGTTTGCAAAATTGGCTGAATATGAAAGCTTTTCAAAGGGATGGTAGGGGAGGTAATTAGGCTTCTGTTATGTTCATTTTACCCAATTCCACAACATTCAAGTGCAACACTCTTTTACAGTTTGGGTCTTTTCAATATTTTATACTTACATTGCAACAGTGATTTTGAAAGGTAGCGTGGTTCAGTCTGCTCTGCAGTGACATCGTCTTTCCCTGTAACTCTCAATCCAAAACTAAACTGGTTCAGGTTGAGGCCTGTTAAGGCAGACGTCCCTTTTGCTCCAAAAAGAACCCCTAGACAGGGCTTGTCTTGGCTCAGGCTCACTTTGACATTGCTAAAAAGCTAAAAGCCCTCGACACAAAGCACATTTCCTCATTTTAATTTATGCAGCTGTTTAGATTGGCTTATTATTTTAACGATTTGTAAACTTAAAAAAGATGACTTCACAATGTCTGTGAGGGTTGACTGGGCTGCTAAGCCTCCCCGCAATGCATAAAAATGCAATCGACTGTGGATTTCTGTTACATTGTGTGTTCTTTTTCATTTCCTATGTCTGCACATTGGCAGTTCATTTCTGCTATCCCTGCACACCTGGATTCAATTAACCAATTACCTCCACCTGTCCATTGTTTCTTATGTGCTTCGTCTATAAAAATACCCCCTGACGTGCTTTGTTCAGCCCCAGCAGCACCAGATCCTTATTGTTGTTTTGTTGAGGCTTGCCTCAGCCCGTTTCCGCTCGTTCCGGCTTCTTTTGTCGGACTCTCTAACTGAGCAGCACCTTGAGGTTGTTCTGAAATAAAGGTGATTATTTCCTCCGCCCGCCACACCACAAGCTACTTCCACGGGCTCGTTACAGCAAAGGTCACAACAACGGAAGCTGGCAAACAACAGTAGAACCGGCAGATTACTTATATTATAATGTGACACAGCTTATCTTTGCCAGTTTTACAAAGAAGATGAAAACGAGTTCACAGAGTTGAGGATTTCAGATAAGAACGGTTAGAAACGTGGTTGCTATGATTTTACCGAATATCTATTTAACTCAAGAAGGGGATGTCAACTGTTGGATTGTTGAGAAGAAAAAAAACCTTTACCTGTGTTTAGTTGCATCACATCACTGTATTTCGTATTATATGTTACTTGATTACATTTTTTTCTCCTGGAAATGCATCATTGTGGTTTGGTCCCTCTTTAAGCACATCCCCCTCAATGAGAATGTGACCACTTCAGTCTGCCCCCTGTGACTTGTTCACAATAAACTGTCATCTCATTGGGTGCTGACTTTTTCTGATCACTGATTCCAACAATATAAGATGGGATCAATGTTACCGACAATGCTAATAAGCACTTTACATATATAGAAATTTGACTTCATAGATTAAGATTTATAGGTTTTTGTGAATAATCATAAAATGATGTTTGGCATTCTGCCTGATTGTAGAGACTACGCTCATTTGATGAGACACCTTAGCAGACTGTAAGGACTGTATTCAGACACCCAATACGACACACAAAATACCCAGTAGATACCGCTCCAGTATCTCCAGCTGCGTGAATGCATGTCACGCAGAGAGCAAAAATGCACTTGTTTCTGGTTCAAAACCCTGTCCTTCACAACATTTTTCAGAGTGCACTCATTTTTCTGATGACCTGGTTCCTGCTTCATTTTACCAGCAGTTACTATCAGGAGCTCGATAGGGAAAATGGGTTGGGTTAGGGTTAAAAGGAACATCCTCTCTTTGGTTTCTACCCTCCAAAGACAGAAAAAAACACATTGTTATTACATTATTTTGAAGACTTGGTGGTAGAACACAATGGATATAAAAAGCATTATGCAGATTTCACTTTGTAAAGTGATGCTCGTGGCCTGCAAAGTCGTCCCGTATCAAGTTTGAGGTTTTTTCTTGTGTTATGTAATCTGTGTGCATGGGCAAACATGCCCACTCGTCTGAATATCACCCCCACTCCCTTGTTTTCAGGGATCCAGTTCTGCCTCCCCTCCACCTGCAGCATTGACTGGAGTCCCCAGCCGACCCCAGGTAAAACTGCCTGGAACAATCACTGTGCACCCCTCTAAAATGGGAGGATGAAGTAGCCAGGAAATATTTTACTTTTTATTTATAGGAATGAGCTCAACTCCCGCGTCATATTCTCTCCCCCAAAAAGGCATGCGTGGACCTTACTAAAGGCCACTGTGTGAGAAAATAAATCACCCCTGAACAGCACTGATTCAGCCTCTCTAAGAAAATTGATCCCCTTGTTGAAAATAAGTTGTTATTGTTGATTTGTTTGCGCGATCCATTCATTCGTTGGCTGTATCCATTACATTCGCTCTATTATAAAGCACCCTGCGTTTTGACTGAGACTTGAGTCCTGACAGACGTAATTGCTGAGAGTGCTCTCTCCCTGCTGTCGCTTGGCATATTTATGGCGGCGTCATTTCCTTCAACCTGCTTTTCTATCCCTTCATCTCGCGGTCCGCGTTATCAGTCAAGCCCAGACACACACACACACACAAACACACACCTATGAGCGCTGAGAGCCCCGGACTCCACTCTGATCTATCTACTTGAAAGGAGCCCAATTTGTTTTCATGAAGGCAGAGGTGAGTAACACACTGGCATGCATCTAAACAGTGACATGCAGATGCTTAGAGCCAGAGCGGGGGGGGTGGGGTGGGGGGGTCTCCATTACTTACACTCAGGCTTGACGGTGTGACTTTCATGAACAGTATAACAACATTTGAGACTTAGACCAATAAAGGACGGCCCTTCATCCCCAACTCGACAGGAAACGGTGATGAAATGGAAAGCTTTGCCAATTTTCGTCTCAGACACTTTGAAATACGTCTAAACTTTAACGAGTCATTTGAGTAATGAGTCACCCAGGCTACCATTGTTATCTGTTGTTGGCTATTGTTTGTGTTTTACTTCCCTCATTGTTTCTGTCTGCAGTGCTTGTGATAGTGCCAATAATGGGGCCCACCATTCATCTTCCTCGCCTTTCTCTTCGTGCTCCGGGTCATTTACATACCCCTTAAAAGCCTGCTGTAAAACAGACTGCTGTATTTTCCTTTACAGTGATAAGTCTAGTTGGGGAGTAAGACTCCTAACGACACAACACTCAACCTGACTTCCTTGTTGGTATTAAGCCAGTCCTGACAAACCGAGGTTTAACCGAGAGGTTAAAGAGGTGAAATCCTCATCTTTGTGTCTCACTTAAATTGGAAAGGCTGCCATATTGTTGGTGTGGATCTCTGAGAGTACAAACCCGAACTCAGTTCAGTCCTCCAACATTCGTTGGAAAAAAAAAAAAAATCTTTGCTTTTTTTTTGTTTTACAGTTTCTTGTCTCATATTCTAAATGGAATTCAGTTAGCAAAGAAAAATTGACACAGAAGAGAAAAAATGAAAATCTGTTAGTTGATAGAAACTACCTTTGTTTTTTTTGTTTTTTTACAAGTATCATGTTATCATGGCGTATTTCTTGGTGTAACCTTTGGAAAAATTTGACATGCTGGCCCAGCAAGAAATTTCCAAAGAGCAAGCTTAAAATTCAATATGTCTGTGACCTTCAGGCTATAAAGTGGCCTCGTATTAAAAGTAGGCAATATTAAGTCATAAAAATCTCTTTATAGGCTCGGGAACACGCCTAAAAATGATTATCTGTGTATATGATTCATTGTGTGTATGTATACGTGTTTTGCATATTACTGTAATACAATTCTGAAGTTCTTACTACATCTATTACACCACTAAGGGTTTGTAGAAGAGAGCCTGAACTGCACCTCCTGGAGTGCAAATTTGAACCCACTAAAACCATTTGGCACATCACAAAACGCTAAATATGACAGAGAAGATAAAGAACTGTCGAGCAGCCAGAATCCGAGACGCTCAATCCAAACCACACTGTGTAAAATGCCTTTGAGTGTACAGAGCAAACGTATACAAGCCGCGTTATCTAGATACAAGTTATACTACCAAAGCCAAGATAGGAGCAAGAGTTATGACTCCCTTTTGCGCGACTCGCTGGCTAATAATGGCTCTATTTTGGTCTTACTGCTGAATCATGCCCCTGGAATGGGTCATCTCTTTCCTCCCCTGATCTCAGTATACCCCATGATTTATGTTTATTCTCCATCATATGCACAGAAACACACACACTAACCAACCCCCTTCTCCGTACACTTTCCTCGCCGATCGTATTTCTTCTCTAATACGCCTAAATCTACATTTCCACCTGCCTTTCTTACAATTTAAGCATACGTTTCTGCCTCCACTGCTGGTGAATTTTGTGAGAGGGCAGCAGTGTGAGTCATTAAGACCCCAAAGCTTATTGCTCCTTGTACACCACAAGACTGGTTATTTATATGGGTGAGAAAAAGGCCAAAGGATGCTGAAGGGTTGAAGTGAAGCCCCGGGTTTTGAGCTTTTTTTGTATGTTCTTAGCAAAAAATAGGAAAATGTGTGCTTTTGTTCTGCAATTATAGAGTTGAGGCTACAGTGTAATTATGGTAAAATCGGGTTAGTACTGCATCACAGCTTTTTGGGGGCGTGCTTAGAGCTCTATAAAAGTCGGAAAAGATCCCATCAGGTGTCACACAGACATGGAAAATGCCCACAACCCACAGCTTAACCTTAAATCACTGTTTTTCCCGCATTCCTTCTTTATTTCTTCTGTTTTTGGTTCAGCAGCACTTGCGCAAAATTCTCAGCTTTGATCAAACTGTATGGAAAAAAAAAACACTTGTGTGATTTTGATGCTTCGGCTTGTAACTAAAACTGAGAAAGTCTCTCTCTCAAAGTCTTCCACTGAAATGAAGACAGTCAAAGCCCAGAAGGCACCCATGATCCATCCCTGAGTCCGACTCTGTGTATTAAGACCATCTTTTCATTTGCACTTGAAAGAAAGTAATCCCTCTCTCCTGTCATGAAATGGACGGAGTAAGAAGATGAGAGTTGTCAGCCTTCCTTGAGAATGATCCTCCACTCATGAGCACTGATTAATAACTCTCTGGTTTTTCCACCATCATCTCTGTCCGATGAGTCTCATATCATGAGGGGCTTTGATGTTTCCCCTCACCCTGTCACCTTGTTCATTACTGTAAAGTGATGTATATATATGCCCAGCATTTCCGACAGGTTTATCCTTTATCTGAGCAATGCAACCGATTAAGGGGGAGCAACAAGGTTTTTGTTTTTGGTCGAGAAACACAAGGCTCTAAATCAGCCTGGAACAAAGATCGATAACCTCAGAAAACCCACACGACAGAATGAGTTTGGTGTGTGGTTCTGCCTACTCTGAGGTAATTAAGCAGCATGCAAGATTAACACACATTTAAATGGAAATAAAGGCCGGTTTAGGGGATACCCACAACTGTATTGTTGATTTTTAGTTTAGACAGAAAACTTTTTAACGTTTCAGCCTCTACAGGCTGAAGCCCAGCTGCTGTGGACAGTACTGGACACCAGTCTGTGCCCATTTTCTCTGTCTGTTCCTTTCTTTTTAAAACTGCAATGCTTCACATGAATGCTCAGTGTCACCTCTCAGGTGATACTTAGCACTTCCTCCATCACGATCAACTTCCAAGCCAATCATTACCGGCAGATTTCAAACCAGTGGGCCCGTGTCATCAGCACATTTCAAACAGCAACACACAGTGAAATGCAGATTCACTCTGCACTGATACGCTTTAATCAGCATTTTAGGAACTTTTATAGCAGCGGCTTCAATGTAATGAACATTTACCCTTAAGTCTTGAGCAGTTCTTTTCTTTCATTGCTGCCAGTGAGGACAGCCTCCGCTGCTCTCAGGAAGCATAAAAACAAATAACTGAACCACACTTCTGCGCTGCAGCTCAGTCGTAAACGCGTTCGTGTGCAGCCGAAAATAGGTGCTCAATCTACATTTAGTCACCTTACTAGAAGGCTACGGTGTCTCGATGTTCGGGTAAATTATTCAAAGATTCATTTCAGAAGCTAGAATTCAATCGTTTGCATCTAATAGCAGCAACAATAATACATAATATATTAGTTTTTTCATAAAGATCTTGGAAGGTGGCTGTTAGAGATTGTATTGTTATTCCAATTCTCGCATCTGTTTATTTATATAAATATACAAAATAAAGACTTACTTTTATTTTTTATGTTATTTCCATAACTGATTGTTTTATGTTATTTTGCATCTCAACCTTTTCCAGCTATAACCTACACACCAAACTACAAGAAGACCCCCCCTCCTGTCCCACCACGGTCCACCTCCAAACCGCTCATCTCCATCACGGCCCAGAGCAGCACCGAGTCCACCCAGGACGCCTACCACGAGGGGAGGCACCCCCACGGCGGGATGTGGGCCCCCGACGGTCTGGGCCTGGGGCTGAGCCCGGGCAGGGCCCTCTACAACTCCACCGACAGCCTGGACAGCGCTAAAGCAGTGACCATCGCCATGGAGGCGGCCGGGGTCATGGCTGGGAAACGGCACCCGTCCACGGACTCCCACAGCTCGGTGCTCACCTGCGACAAGGCCATCCTGGTGTCAAAGGCTGAGGAGTACCTGAAAACACCTCGCTCGTCTATAGGGATCCAGGTTAGTGTGTGTGATGAAAACATTTCCTTCTGTGTCAAAGATCTCCCCTCGATTCGAACCAACTTTCAGTTATATAACAATGAAAAATAGCATCACACAACTACATTCAGCAGAGAAGCAGTGTTGTCCTCGCAGCAGCTAAAAATAGAACGAGTGAGTCATCTCACTGCAACCCGTTAATTAGGATTCAACTCATGCTGAAGTAGGTTTTGGTGAATGATAGTTTGCTCATTCACCCTTTTTAAGACCTTTCTCTCTTTGTTTTTTGAACTCAGCAGTGTTCTTTTTTCTCCTATTCCCATCATGTCCCACTCTCTGTGGTCTTACATGGCACTCGTTTCTCTCATTCTGTTGCTCTACCTTAGTTTCTTTTGTGGTCGGTCTCTTGTTTCAGTGGAATAGCTGCAGGTCATCTTCAGAACCAGCAGCGGTCACAGAATCTCTGGAAGTACCCTTTGTAATCTCATTAGCTTCTGATGTGTTTTATCAGCACTAAGTCAGTAAGTTTGGCACATTTTGGTTGGCGTAAATTAACATTCGCACAGCAGTCGAAAGGTGCAAAACGCACAACAAATATAACACAACAGCATGAAAAGAACAGCGAGATTAACATGTAAATGTGATAAATCACTTGAGTCAAAGCAGCCTTCAAAAAGCCAGGATTTTATAAAGAAGAGAATGAAAATGTCTTTTAGATATTTCACCACAGTTTTTTACGAGCTCCTAAGAAATTTTTGGTTTCGAAAACAAAAGGAAAACAAAAATCCCAACTAATTCTTTTATTTCTTTTTAGATTTAAATTATTTCTCCCCAGTTTTGCTGCTGACAAATGCAGCTTTCCGTCCCCATCTTTATCTACATTCCATCTGCACTTACACATTTATTTCCACGCTCTTTTTACAAAATGTCACTTGCAATCTTTTCAATAACTGAGGAAAGAAAGCAACATTTAGTCAAACTCTGTCTGAAGTGAGTCAATTTCACAGGGCAGCGTTCAAGTTTTTACTAATTAAATTAAGCGCACCTTAAAGGGTAATTGCCGTGCTTTCCTTTTCCATATGATATAAAGTATGTTTATTGGCTGGAGATTGATTCGGACCCTAAATTACATTAAGCCATTGAGTGCCAGATGTTGCCTTGGGGAGTAAGCCAGTTAATGAATGTTTCCGTCAAAGTCAATTGATCCTACATGTGCTAGTGTGTGTTTTGCTTGGAGATTTTCTCAAACAGAGAAAAGTTTTCAATCCAAGTCATCAAAATAAAATAAATAACTGAGTTATCATATATGGACGAGGCATTAAAAGATTTTAGTTTAAGTCCATGGATCTGTGTATATTACACGTATATATATATATGTGTGTGTTTTGTATATTTTGGTAAATAAGGGTTTCACACTAACCTTGGTGTTCATGTAAGCGTTATGATTCACTTACACACATGTCAAATGCTGCCTTGTTGTGTATTCATTAATTCTCCCACTCTGTCACCGATGTGTTTTCCCCAGACTGATTTAGCCAATTTTGTACTTAAACCATAAGATATCCTCCCCTGTGCGCTGGCTGTCATCCTCCCATCACACGCTCTGTGGAGACACGGTGCTTCCCTTTTTTCTCTCTAAGAAAAACTCATTTCTCTTTCACGCACGCTGAACGCACTCACAGTTTCTGTTTCCTGTTTGTGGGGGTCAGAGGCATTCATGTGAGGCAGTATAAGCAAAGAGATGAGTGTTGACTTTAAGTAGCAGAAGTGAAACGTCAAATCGTCATCGTCGCGCCTCACCAGATTTAGCAGCGGGTGACACGAAATTAAGGCGCCGTCTTTCCGGCGCAGTGACTTGGTATCACTCATTTAACTTATTCATTCCCATTTTGAACGCTGTTTGACTGAGACAGGCCACTTTTACTACTCCAGTTTGTTTTAGGAGTTGAAAGGCTGCAGTGAAGGAAGGCGTGGGATTAATGTATGTATTTTTGTGTCTGTCTGAGTGACAGGAACTGAAAATTATACAGGCTTTGAAATTGCTTTCAGTCATGTGTGTACAGTGGAAAGGTAATTTAGATTACTGGTGCCCAGAAACTGGGTTTCCTTTTAAAGAAAACCCAGTTACTTCAGATGTAAATGTTGACGTCAACCCACACCTGAAAATTGAATTCTTAAGGCGTCTAGGCAATGTGTGGCTCAGGTAATGATCCTAATTCAGGATTTAAATTCTACAGTTTAGAAGTTAATTGATTTTTCAAATAAACGGTATATAAATGACAGATTGAGGAGGCTGTGAAATTATATCTGGGTGCAGAATTTGAATTAAATTGCGTGTAAAGCTCCATTTTATACAGTGGCTATTATATAACCATCTCAACTTAAAAAGTTGGTTCTTCTCTGAAAATCTGGCAGGATTGCTGTGAACACAAAGCCTCAACACTCATACAGTTCACTCCATTGTAAGAGAACTAAACAGGCCGTCTTTGACGTTTTTGTGTTCCTGTGCTGCTTTGCGTGTCCACCAGACGTTTATGTGTTGTTAAAAGCTACTGTGGCAGACCTCTCTTTGGACTTAACAGCTATTGATTTAGCACAAAGAGCTGTAGTTGACCTCCTCATCAACTTATATAGGCAGTCATTCTGCTTCACCTAGCCCCGGTGATATTATTGACCTGAATGTTTCAGTATTCATTTGTATCCCAGAGGAGAGGGAGAGATTTTGAAATGTAATCTTTGACCTTATGGGCTCAACGTTGTGTAAACTTTTCAAAAAGTTTCCCTTGGGAGCAAATTTAAGGCGCTTTCAATGCACTTCGGGAGACATTTACATTCAGAATGGCTGATTAATTTACAGAAAAAAACATTTTAATGGCCACCATAAAGAGAATAAATCAAACATTTTAACCTCAAACAGTCATCGGATGGATGAAGTCACCAGGTGGTGTTTGTGTGTGTGTGTGTTGAATGAAAGGTGAGGTGGTTGTGTTTATCTTTTTGCTGACGCTCACAGTTTCCACACCTGTGCTGAGACTGACTGTGATTACAGATAACCTGAGCGTTTGGTGTGCGTGCGTGTGTGTGTGTATTTGCTCAGGCAATTCTTCCGCACACGTGTGCTAAAGCACCAACGGGGCATGTGAGCCTGTTTGCGCGTAAATCTCAAAACGTCCTGGATGCTTTGTCTTCGATCAGCTCTCATTCTCTTTTCACGAGCTGCACTTTGCTATGTGTCTCACACAAAGTAATGGAGGTCACCTCGGCAAGGTGCCACACACTCATTTCCTCCTCCCTACCAGTTGAAACAGTCTGACAGAATACAAAGTAGCCCTCTGAAAATGTCACTGCCTAGCTTTAATACTGACTATTCCATGCCGAAGGTAGGGTTGACATTTCTCAACAATAGAAGCACGTCCAATTGTGAACTAGTACCTTTCACTTGTGGTCATTCTGCGACATAACACTGAGCAGAAGATGTATAAATGGCAGGCGTTTTAAAGGTTGCAAATAGATGCTTTTTAGATGTTTTTCAAATAAATCAAGATGAACGACCTGACAGTATTATTTAATTTAAGGAAACACATATATAACTACATCTATAGCCATGCTTTGATTTAAATGTTAACAGCACCTTTTACCAGAACAGCACATATTAGAACTTACTGAGGGATATCTAATCCCAAAGATGCAAAGCTTGTTGAAATAGCTGAAAAATCAGTGGATTATAATCGTGTAGTACACCATAATCATGTGGTATATCGCCTTAAGCCATGGAGGTTTGTCACAATATTGTGCCAATCCATCTAGCAGATATTGAGAGACAATATTGAGAGATATTGTGTTTGATAACCTGCTTCAGTAGGGCTAGATAACATCATGGCAACACCAGAACATTAAAACACACGGCAAACATAGATTAAACACTGCCACTGAGCGGTTTCCTCCAGTACAAAGTAAAAACCGAAGGGAGATGAGTGAGATGTTTTTGAACAGTTTCATTTTATGCTAAAGTTGTTAACAAAACGACAATACAATCCTAATCATTCCAGACAGGCATGAGGAGGGCCAGGAAACCTCGGATGAGCTCTGTGAACAATAAGGCACATTGTTGCCAAGCTGAGACTTTGCATCTCTCTCAATATCCTGTCTGAACCCGCTGACTTTATTTGCAACCCATCGCTGGTGCTACACCGTTTTAAAGAATTCTCCCTAAGCACCAAAGAAGAAAGACCGAAATGACAAAAAAAAAGACAAAGAGAGACTTCAGTCAGTATAGAAAGAAGACGGTAACAATACGCTAACAGGAAATTAATGTGAATGCTTGACAATAGGAGAGGTGAAAGACAGAAATTAAACAAGCAGGAGATGAGCAGATAGAAGGCATGAATAAAAAAAATAATGGACGTGCGTAACCAAAAGGTGAACATTGACGGGTTTTCCTGAAATCCTTGAAACGAGAGGCTTGTGGGACAGGTGAATGCTGCAGTAAGGAGGATTCAATGTGTGTGGTTCCTCATCTGTCCAAAATGTGCCAAAGTCTGAGCCATACTAGTTCAGTTAATGCTCTGAATGCTTACTTAGTGGACTTTGTTATTTGTTTCTCCAAACACACCGCTTGAACTTAAAATGGACACAGTCAGGCGATAAATAGTTTGAGTTGAACCAAATAGTAAAGAAACAGCAGCAAACAAGCTGTTAGCATACGTTTGAACTCTATCAGGCTGATGGAAAAGCTCCAAGTGGTGACCTGGGAAAGGTAGTTTAGAGCCTGCCAACAGCTTTCAAAGCAAAATTATGTGCAATTTCAACTTCTCAATGTCTTTGATTGTTTTGAATAGAAACATTGACTGTTATGGGGCTTCCAAATTATCGATTGGTGGTCCGTGGTACTCTACGACAGTAATAATAATTTCCCATTTAGAAAATCTTTAAATGCATACCATTTGGCCCACCATATATAAAGTACACCATACTTTGTGCAATAAAACATATTGCTTGATAAATAATTTCTCTCAAACCTACTAAACCCTGCACCCAAAGCTTTTCATCTTGTAGCCTTTGCAGCCTCCATAAATCACACAATGTTTACTTTCTGACATGCCGCATACAGTTAAGTTCCCCTGTCCAGTCTCAACCCAATAAGCTCAGAGCACAAGGGAGCGGCAGTTCACATAATGAGAAGCACTGTTGGCCGTATCATTTCTTCACATTAGGTGGAAGCGGCCACAGACTCCGAGTCTGAAAGCAAGGGCTCTCGGGAGTACCACTCTGTCGGGATCCAGGTGGAGGATGACAAGAAAGGGTGAGTTAATGGCTCTGAGATTTTATCCCCGCCATTACAAAAAATTCGGACTTTGATGTCTGATGTGACGAGCGTGGCTGCTATTACGCGCATATTCAGCCGGGCTTTTCAACTCTTCGCTTCTCAGGCAGGGAAGGTTCAAACGCTCCAACAGCGTGACGGCGGCCGTGCAGGCCGACCTGGAGCTGGAGGGCTTCCCCACCATGGAGGACAAGGGGCTGCAGTTCGGCGGCGGCTTCCAGCGCCACTCGGAGCCCAGCACGCCCACCCAGTACGGGGCGGTGCGGACCGTCCGCACGCAGGGCCTCTTCAGCTACCGCGAGGACTACCGCGCCCCCGCCGAGCCGCCCAGTCCCCGGGAGGCCGCCAGCGAAGCCGCCTGGCAGCTAGAGCCCCCCTCCCCGCGGAAGAGCGCGGCCTCGTCCGTGGACTCCGGGAGGGCGTCCCCCTCCCTGAGGAGGGACGGGAGCTGGTTCATGCAACTGCTCCACAACGAGACCAAGAGGATGGAGGGCTGGTGTAAGGAGATGGAGGCAGAAGCCGAGGAGAACGACCTGTCAGAAGACAGTGAGTCCTTTACTCAGAGCGTTGTGTGTTATCATGAACGAGCGGCTCTTTTTGTGTGTTGTTCTGATCAGATTTGTGCGTTTCAGCTCTGGGAAAAATCCGAAGTGCAGTAGGAAGTGCTCAACTCCTCATGTCTCAGAAATTCCAGCAGTTCTACTGGCTGTGTCAGCAGAATCTGGTAAGAAACGCTCAAGCATTGGATTATCTAACCCTCTGAGCTGGATACCCTCTGATTATCCAGGATTGTTAAGAGGCTAAAAAAAAACTGGAAGGAGTGATCTTTAAAAGAAATAAATGTATGCCACCGCTGCTTTGATATCACTATCTGAATCAGGATTAACTTTGCAATGAGCACCCTTCTCTGTTAAAGGAAGGGGTCTGGTTTCTATCTCCTTTCGGTGGCACCATTTTACATGTGAGCGTTCTAAGACATCGATAACGTAAATGCTAATATCAACATTTTGAAATGGATGGGGATACAACTGTTTTTCATTGATGCAGATTTATCTTGAGAAAGGAAAAGTGTTCAATTGGAGTGCAGATACTGCGAGATCCTTGCTTTATATTTTCCTCGATCTGTTCACAACCCGTTTTATTGATCCCGGCCAGGTAGCCAGTATTTCAAATGAAGCTGGTGCAGGTTCATGTGAGGTGCTGTCTTTGCAGCATGCGGCAAAAGCTGCACATTCTGGGGAAATAAGAAATGCACAGGGATTAGGCGCAGTGATCCAAGTCTTGTCCCCAACAAGGAGACACTAATAAGCGCGTTTAGATGAAGACTTTTTCACCACAAAAAAATGACATATTTACAGCCATACGTAACAATATTCAGCTCCGACTTAGTCTTTGTTTGTTTAAAGCTCAAAAACAAAGATTTTGGAGAGACGTTTCATGTTTTAATCGGCCTGCTGCTCTTGAACAACAAAAGACCAGCTTAAAATGCATCCAAGACAGAAAGCTTGCATGGGACACTTCTTCAAGAGGAGCACCAGGATTTAATGCACAGATTGACACAGCCAGAGCTTAAAACTCTCAGCTCCTACTAAATCTGCCAGCGCCGGATATTTGAAACCATAAGACTTCTCAGACAGTTTCCAGAACATTGCATCCAAGGGTGAAATAAGGCTGATGAAATGCAGAGACAGTCACTTAGTTATGACATATGAAGTTGTATTCCCAGCTCACTGTATACAACGCACACTATTGAATTTTACAACTCGAGGGTAATTTGTTGATTTCCTTTGCTGTACAGAATATATTCATTTTAATCTTACAATACTTAGAATCCAATAAGAGCACTGAGGACTATCATTAATTGGACAGATGATGGAAATAGAAGCAACTCACTCCTGAAAACCTATTGAACCTAAATAAATTAATTTAGATGTCTTAACACTGAAGTTTTACGAATAATGATGTGCCATTTTTAAAATCTGGGAGCAAGATTTTGTACAACAGAAGCCTTTAATTGAAGGGTTGTGGCACAATGTGCTGTGTGCGTGGATAAAACACTGGTTTAGGACATTTCCATATGATTTTTTAAATCATTTTTTAACAATTTACACAGCAGCAAAATACTTTTGGAACATGTTTCTCTAATTAACAGTAGTTTCTCCTGCCTTGCTTGCCTCTCCAGCATACTTTGTTAGAGTTTCCTTCTACATGGCGCCCTTTTATCTTACAGCTGTACTGCTGCCTGGTAGTGTGATATGGTTGCAAAGAACATCTTGCATTTCTTTTTATGTGCAAAGGAGGGAAGGTCGATGGTACGGCGCTCAAAGTGATGAAAACACATTAACTTTTCTGTTTGAAAAGACTGGCTAAATGGGAAGGAAAGTGGAGCAGGAAGTGAATTTTTATATCAAATAGGAACTCATTTCTCATTAAAACCTGTGACAAGCCAGCTTTTGAGACAATGGAGAGCTCCTCAGTCAGTTTTTTTCTTTTCATTCCAGAAATCGAGTGATGAATAGGACTAACAAATGAAGTTTATCATTTCAGACCTCATTCATTAAAACATGCCAGAATTGGTCATTATCACAAATTGTCAACTGTCATTGGAACTAAAAATCTTCCAAATTTGTATTCTGGCCCATTGTCAGGAATCTGATGAGGACATGATGTGGACCTAAGCTGTAACACTTTAACCATGTGGGCTGCATGTCCACTGCTGCTCGATTGACTCTGTCCATTTACCCCTGCCCCGACTGTCCCGCAGGACCCCAGTGCTATGCCACGACCCACTTCTCAGGACCTGGCCGGGTTTTGGGATTTGCTGCAGCTCTCCGTCGACGACGTCAGCATGAAGTTCGACCAGTTGCAGCAGATCAAGAACAACAACTGGAGGCCCATACAAAGCCCAGAGAAGAAGGTGATGAGCCGCAAAGTCTGCTGTATTTCTGTAGTATTTTTAGTCCATGAATTGGTATCAGAAAAATAGAAATTCGTGATATCAGGCATCATGACAGGGGAAGGATTGTTCAACTATTTATCAGTGATTCTTTGTTCATTCTACAGCTACCAGCTCCCATACCAAAGAAGACAGTTCGACAGAGGAGTTCCATCATGAGGGAGAAATCCTTGGACCTCCCAGACAGGCACAGGCAGGAGGCCCGTCGACGCCTCATGGCAGCCAAGAGGGCGGCCTCCTTCCGGCAGAACTCAGCATCAGAGCGAGCGGACAGCATTGAGATCTATATTCCAGAGGCTCAGACTAGACTTTGAGAAAATGTAGGGTCAGGGGCCGAAACGTCTCCCTGCTCCCGCATTCTAACAACTTCAAAACTAGCCTTTTTTCTAGACTACGCTACTCTCTCCACTCCTTTATCCATCCGTTGACCGATCGCCATCCTCAGTGCCCATTGCCAAAACACTGGACTGTAGGATGTGCCTATAGCTTGTTCTCACATTGCCAAAATCAATTGCCTGACATGGGTTGGTTTGGTGTCGTCTTTGTTTGCTGGTGATCATAACACCCAGCCCGCAAGCTCTCTCACATGCTGGCTGGGCACATCTGTAGTTTTCAGCATTTGCAAAGTGCCATTTAAAAAGTGCAGCTTTGAGAACCTACCAGCAACCAGGTCTTTGAGCTGAAAACAAGTGAATACGTTTCTTTCAAGTTGCTCAAAAATGGTCAAAGTTAGTATCCCTCGAGTGTTTTTCAATCTTTTAAGATCACTTTTGTTTCTTGTGTCCTCTCTCATTTCGAGGGTTTGTCACAGGATAAACATGATCTAATTTGTTGTGAGTTCTAAACTCTGAAAAGTGCCAATGCTTGAAATACCTCAACTAAGTGCACGTGGCACTGGTCACCCACTCAAGGTTATTCAGGCAGCCCTTAATAAGCTCTGGACCGGTCAGTGTTGAAACACGCAGCTTTCTATCCAGTCTGGTTGTAGTCAAACATTCATCGTGGTCTGGATTGGTGGAGGAATGGCATCACGCAGCTCATAAACATGCAGCCTTTTAGACAACATTCCTATTTATCTCATCTCCACGTTGCTAACTTTCAGATATTTACTTGAAGCTTCAAAACATGCAAGTCTTGTGCCAACATTTTCATCGTGTTAATGCAGTAGAGAAAAAACTATGAAGGTTTGTGTAACTCTTTAGATCAAAATGTGTAGACAAATGCACTTATGCACTTATTACAATTCTCTTTATTTCCAAGGGAAATGTACATACCCAAGTTCACAATAGAACTGTTGTGTTGCGGAGTTACGAATGGGAGGATTTATTTTTGCTTCATATATGACGCTTATTTGTTTTTCTTTATTGCTTTCGACTAATTTGCATTGGTTGCATGCTCACAAAATCTCACTACTATGTTTGCATCTCTCAGGCCCTTTCAAGTTGCACTCTCAGCCACAGTTAATGAGAAATTATAGAAATAACCGCCAAAACGTAAACAAAATATCTGCATACTTCGTATTTTTATCTAAGAAATGCCTCATGGTTTTTGAATTCCCCGAAAAGTTCTAGGCTGGTGGAAGGTTCCCCTTCTTCAAACAGTAACGTAAGTGATTCCTTCTAGGAAAAGATGAGAAATAATGAACAGAAACTGGGGCAAAAGCATTCCAGAGGGATCCAAGCAGCAAGTATCAAATAACCCAAACTTTGCAGCTACCCTGCAGGAAAGAAAATGCATTAACCATCAGTTCAATAAAGGCCCACGTGTGACGTATCATGAAAACATTAAACAAATAAAAGGACTTTTTCTCCATCTCTACCATGAGGGGGTTCTGGGGGGTCAATGCTGACATGATTTAAAGCTGCTTTTCCCCTAAAGGTCACTGTAAATCAAAACAAAGCTGATCGCCATTCCTGTGATTAAATGTTTCTTCTCTGATGGATGTGGCTTCTTCCAGGACGATAATGCTCCCATCCATTTAGCTCAGATAGTTACGGGATGCTTTAACGAGTATTTCAATGATCTGAATCATATCCAATTAGCTTTAAATTCACCAGATTGTGATCGATTTGGGGCAGACATTTTAGACAAAGTACCCAATGGAGTTATATGTTTGGAGATTTATTTGCCATTCCAGTTCTGTTCCGCAGAATTTTTTTAATGAAATTTAAGGCTCTCTGAAACTGTTGCAGTGGCCCAAAAACTCAATTTTCATGCACAGAGACTCCAGCTTGATCTGGTTTAATTTTTGGGTTAACTTTTACTCAGACAGCTGAACTACATCAGAAAGCGTGAGTCCGCTGGAGCAAAATGGGGAATACATTCAGCTGGTTGACATTCAGCATCTGATTAGACACAACCTCAAAATGTCTTTTGATAAAAACTAAACCTGAGAAGATTTAAATTACACTTTTTTTCCATCTCTTTCGAAATGCTAACATGCTCTTAATCTAAATTACTTATCTGAGACGGGCGATGAGTGAGGAGCAGCTGCTGCAACCCAATTTTGTCTTACAGTGTAACAGCAGCTGAAAAACCACACATGATACTCATGAAAAGAAAAAATGTGTCATTTCTAAAGCATTTCTAATTCTAATGCTCCATTTTTAAAGATTTCCGGGTCAAATTATTTAGGGGTATACCATCTTTTTGGCCGATATCTGCACTGAACAGCAAACAATGAACAGCTCCCAAATAAGATGCTGTGAAGCATGGCTGCTTTCTTTGTGACCGACAGTTTACGGCGGTCAGTGTCCGATGGCTGCAGAGACAGGCCTTTCTGCTCATGTTTCATTTTGCACCGTCTTAGTCGCGCTTTCCCTTTTTGTGCTTATTTTATCTGCACAAGGAGGGGCAGGTCATGAGATGTTTACAAAAGACATTGAAAAAGGAGGAATATTTATGCACAACTGACTGAAATCCAGAGGAGCCGAGAGCATCGCTTTATTTTCACATGCAAGGGCTGAATATTTATCTGACTTTCATCCTTTGGGATCAGGTACCCGAATATGGCGGCCATTGCTGTAGTGTAGCAACCGGCGGAAGCTTTATCTGGTCCATCTACAGCAAGTCTCTCCACTTGTGGGATAGAATAGACGGCGAAAGGTGCTTTAATGTTCGATTTCCTCCTGTATTTGACAGGCAGTGGTCATCCCGATCAAAATGTTCATGAGGCTTTGTAGCACAGCGAGCCGCACTTCAACACACAGTCTGTGAATGCTTTCTGAACTGTAGGTCAACACTTTGTAGCCATTGTTTGGAGAAGCTCTGACACAAAGCGCCGTTTGTTTTGTTTTTTTGAAGCTTCAGTTTTTAACTCCAACCTCGTAAAGTTGATGCACTCTTTCCAGGGCAGCTCCCTCTACTCTTAACTTTCATCAGTCACCTTTCAGCAGAAATGGTGCTTCTTTCTATCAGTCCATTTCTAGTTAATAAATGCGCTGTCAACATATCAATACATTACTTTAAGATCATTTTCGAAATAATTGGTTGAGTACCAGCTCTGTTTTGGGGGGAAAAAGCAGGGAGATCGATACTATCATGGTAAAAGCCCCTTTGTTTCTCTGACACTGAATCTGATTGTGTACTTGGCGTGTGTGAGTACCCAAAATGTGTTTGTAGTGTCACATTAACATAATCAGAAAAGAGAATGTTGGATTAGGAGCCAGTTGGCTTGATTTCCCCATCATATTAAGATATCTATTAGTGGAACATCACACATTTAGTTAGTTTCAGTCCGGTTTTACTTATGACAGAAAATGTAGCCTTTGCACCATTTGGATTCAAAGTATAAGTGTATTTTCAGCTCATCTTTCATCCTAACGTATATCACACAGTGCATGCTTGTTATTCCAGAAAAGAGTTCTTACCATATAGCTCAGATGATAAACTTTCATAGGTAAAAAGTGTCACTCCACGAAAATCACAAGGTCTGCTGTAGAATGTCTATTTTTTTTAAAGCACTACCACTCTTCAATTCCAGGTAGAGCTTTTGTTAAATTGTTAGACTACAAACATACATCTACTTCGGTATATGTACGAAGAGCACACATTCATTTATTCTATTCCGTTATTCTTTTCCGTTTCACTGCAGCAGCAGAGACTTTTAACTGTATGACAGCAGGTTTCTGGAAAGTGTCTGGGTACATGATGCCAGGCTGCTGGCAGAGCGGAGACGTTCCCCTGCTGCTGCCAGAGTGGCAGGCAGACGGGGGAGACCGACTCGGCCTGACATATGCTGGCTTAGAGGAGACGAGAGCTCTGCTCCGAGCCCCGAACGGCCGTATGATGTTCGTAGCTGGAAGGCTGTTGTGTGAGGATCGCGAGGGTTGCTGTGCAGGGTAATTTTCAGCCTGCCTTTGACTTAGCAAAGCAGCTTATGTAAGATTTCGGGGTCCTTTGTGAGATCAAGAAAACACCCTTCAAGGCCCCTACGTAGCTTGTGTTGATAAATGTGCTGCTGAATAGTGGCCTGCACGAGAACTTAAGCATCAGCACTACATGTGTTTGCCTCTGTCAGTCTCTGCCGAGCAGATTTCACTAAAGGCTGCGGCTGAAACAGCAGAGGAGCTGCTGCATTATGCAAACGGAGCAAGGCTGTGAAGAAATGTTGCATATCCACAGCTTAGGCGTGTTTCAAAGCGTATCTGCTGCTCTTCCAAGAAGCGCTAATTGCAATGAGACCATCCATCAAGCCAGACTCAACTTCAAATACCAAATGGGGATCAGTGCTAGAGCTCACATAGGAGAAGAAAAACCCTCCAAAAAGATTTGTGCAAAAGAAACTCAGATTTAGACGTAAGATCCTGGGTGTGTAAAAAAAAAAAAAATCAATGCCCTTCTGTAAATGAAATACTTTTGAACTCCTCACTTTGACACATTTCGAAACCAAGAGCAGAACCTTTCAGCTGTAATAGCAGGGTAAAGGTTGCCTCCCTATGAAAATTGTTTTTTCATCCTTAAAGAGTGTTTTTCAAATCTCCAACATTCGATTACGTGAACAAGGCCACCTCTTACAAAGTGATTCTGCATTTCCTGGAAGGGTATTCTCTGCTGGATCTGTTTGGTTGATGCAATCCTGTGTGGGCTGGACAGTAGCCTACATTGTGCATTATGAGGACTCCTCAGTTTTTGTGGATAACCATGAACAGAAATGCTTTAGCGTCCTATCAAATGTCACAAAGTCAGCTATTGCGTACACATGCCATCTTTTGTTTTCACTTAGCCAGCCAACTCCAAATCATCATAATCAGTTTTATGTAGTTCCACCATTTCTGATCAACAGATGTCCACCTTTCATTTCAGCTTGTATTTTTTGGCCTCACCTTCAATGTAACAGTCTATGCTTTATCTCTAGAACCTTTGATGTGAAACAGTTCAAGGGGATTTTCTTCATATATGCGGTGTGGAAAGTACATCTTCAAAACTGATACAACACTTCCTTGAACTTGGAATGTGAACTCTATAATTACCAGATAAAATAAAAAAGGTAGTTGTTTAGTGCAAACAATTTTCATCTCTTGTATATCTTATCTATAGTGAAGATGAATATAATGCCAAATATTCATTATTTGTAAAGAAATATATATATATATAGATATATAAATATATAATATACGCTGCATTGAAACATTACTATTTTCTGCTCTCGATCCTGTTTTGTTGTCATTTTTACTTTGGTATGTTTATTTTATAAGCTGATATGATGGCATGCAAACCACAGATTCTGAATGTAGGCCTGTTTATTTATATATTTGTTTATGATTATAACACTATTCCGCTGATTTGATCTTTGGTTTGATCATCGCTTAGGTCACCCAGTGTAAATAATTCTGCAATTAAATTTTTAGAGAAAACGTTTGGACAAGTTTGTCTGTGTGATGTGTGTTTATGCAGAGTTTGGAGTTTGTTAGTTAGTTAGTGAGCCGCTACGGTGATCAATGTTAATCAATTCTTAAGGATGGATTGAATATATCTTTTATTACTCTTTTTCCAATTCATAATTATTTACAATGGTTAGTTGGATGCCACCACATGTTTATTTTTTAGTCACTCCTTTTCACTCCCTGTACACGAGCTAGCAGATGGAAGAGAGAGACTCCTTTACAACATCTCCACCACATGCAGAGCAGGCGGCCCTCGACCTGCTGAGGAAATAGAGAAGGAGGATGAAAAAAAACAAAATAACTCAAGTATCCCCACATGGCGTGAAAAGAGACGACGAGATGTGTGCAGTCTGGACTGAAGATAAGTAAATAAATTAGACTAAACCTCATGAAAAACTAAAGTTGTATGCTTAATGTGAAAGGTCATACTCCACATGAACCAAAAATGGGATTTGGCCACACGTAAAAATTGCATTACAAACAGCTAAATCCTTCAACCTAAAGCAGTACAAAACTGCCAGTGTTTGGGCTGATGACGACACGAGGTGACTCATATTCTAAAATAGGGTTGGCTTCAAGCAGAAAACATGGTCTGAATGATAACAATGGTAACATTAGTGCATGTGCTATAACAGAAAAAACATGCAGTAATTAATAAAAGCAATCAAAATTTATTTTGATTTGAAAAATACAGTCTGATAATTTTCTGTTGATATAGAAAAGGACAGACAGTCGGTCTTGGCCAGTTTTTAGTATTCAGAAATCAACTTGGAGGTGAGAGGAACAAATTATTACATTGGCAATATGACCATGTGATCTGTACATTCTCAACACACCGAAAGGTTTATTACAAATATTTCTCTTCATCATATATCATATTATACTGAAATGCTCCAACACATTGGCTGTAATTGAAGCAAATAACATGAACACATCTGGGCATTCTGCCTGCATATGTAAATGTGTAAAATACCAAATGATTGCATGATATTCCAGCGCAGAGACATGAGGTTTATATGTGGTTTTCCGATACGTTTAGAAATGCACAAACCACTGAGACTGTTGATAAAATGTAATCTGCGAGGAACAAATGGAAGAAACTTACCAAGCTTGTAGACTGTTCTAAATCACAGTAATCCAAGTTAAGGATACCCTTGCTCTGTCGAAGTAGGCTGGAAGGAAAAACATTAAAAGAAAACTTGATTGTGTATGTGTGTTGTAGTAACTACTGATATTTTAAGGAAACATATCTACAAAACAAACAATTCCTCAGTGTTTTAGTGACTGAATTTAAAGCTGCAGTTGACAAACTTCTATGAATTAGTGTGGCCAATGATGATCAAAGGTATGTGTGCAAGAGCCTGTATATATATATATAGTGCAATACTGTCCTCTGTTGGTAAAAGGCAGTATTCCTTTCTTACAAAAGTAAGGAATAGAAATGTTTTAAGAGAGAGAGACCCAGCGCGACCGTCAGTCGTCTGACTTTGCCTGTACAGAAAATCACATAGCTGGCCCCAGAATCTTGTCAGCAAATCCTAATATCGATATAAGATGATATGTCCCGTGAACAGTGAATAGTAAGCACACCCAGGGTACATGTGTCATTTTAAGTCAAGTTTAAACAATTTGCTCCTGTATCTGTGTGAGACAGTGAAACAGTAAGTCCTGAAAGAGTCCATGAGTCATTTTTAAACAATTATATCTATGATGATTGGTACTTTTCCTCTACAGTCCAGTTGCTGTTCTCAAATATAGTTCCGCGTCTGATTAACAGGGATCATTAATGCCTGATTTTTCAATGTGTGTAGCAATGGATCGCATTATTTTCCGCCTCAAATAAATGCTAAGCAAAACAGCCTTAATACGAATAATAATAAGAAAGTTTACTGCGTCCCCTGTCTGTTGGATGACGTTTCACTGAGCCCATGTCGCAAAGACTGATAACAATAACAAAACCCAGCGTCGTTACCCTGGGCTCTGCTGACCAATAGGACGTCCGGAAGTTGAGAGGGGGCGTGACTTCCTGTTTCGAAGTCATATGACCAAATTGGAGTCGTGTGATGTGAAATTTCCTGGTGTGGCCGTAAAGGGCTGAAGCACGTCGTTGTGTGGATATAAAGCATATGTTTGTGGTAAGTACACCAAATGTTGGCTGTTAGGTTGCCTTTTCTACATGTTGTTTTTATTTTATACGGTTACGCTTTAAACCATCATTTTGTGCTAAAAGTTTTCATTTGCAGTGTAACCGACTCGTTGTTGTCGGGTTTAAACTACTTTAAATGTCTGAATAGTTAAAGTCAGACGTCGTGGGTCGTGCGAAATAAAGGTGCCACGACAGTAAAGAAACTAAGCTAAACTTATCCCACTATTATTAGCCTGGTTTATGTGTCTGCGCAGAACTGGTGGCTCTTTTCAGTATGTGTGTACGTGTATTTGTTTTGTAGGTTATCCTCACGTCATGCGTGTACCACCTGGAGCACCCACTTTCATGTGAATCTCCCCAGCCAGGGTTCACTTAGCTCGGACACCATGGCTTCTGAGCAGGCCAGCCCTCCATCCCACCCCAGTCCAGAGTACTTCTCTTGGGATTATCGCCTCCAGCTTATTGGTCTGGGGTTTGGCTTCTACACAGCTATTTTCCTCCTCACCCACCTCCTGTCTCTGATTCTGTGTCGTACCTACAACTCTCTACTGAACAAAGAAAAGGTCTTCTGGAACCTCGCAGCCACCCGGGCAGTGTTTGGCATCCAGAGCTCGGTAGCTGGACTCCGGGCCCTGACCGAGAACTCCGAGTTGACCAGAGACAGGGTGAGGGGCCAGGAGGATTGGTCGTGGTTTCACGTCCTCACAGCCACCGGCTTTTTTGTTTTTGAGAACGCTGCTCTTCATGCCTCCAGCGTGATATTTAGGTCGTTTGACCTGCCTCTGGCGGTGCACCACTTCTGTGCCCTCTCGGGATTTGCAGGAGCAGTGGTCTGGGATTCCCAGGGCCACTTCCTGGCGATGGTCACCCTTCTGCTGGAGATGAGTACTCCATTCACGTGTATATCCTGGATGTTACTGAAGGTAGTCTCTCTGTTACTATATGTCATGCACCATTTCTTATTCTTGCTTTTTTCCCCCTTTTTTTATTTTTACTGTGATAAATTCTTAGAACATCCTACACAGGTGCTTGCTTCTGAATTCTGAAATCAATTGTGAAAGTGCAAGTTTCAGTTCCTTTTAGTCTTGTGGCACTTATGACTGTCAACAGATGATGTTTTGTGTTCTTAGAAAGAGGAAGTTCCTCCATTGCTACCCTAAAAATATCTTCTCCCTATTACAGACTTGACTTGCAAATATTCAACAAGTTGGGATGTAGAATTTCTCATCTTTTATGTGTGTTTCTCTGCTCTTCCTGACAGGCTGGCTGGGCATGCACTCTGTTCTGGAGAGTGAACCAGTGGGTGATGATACACATGTTCCACTGCCGCATGGTGCTCACGTATTACATGTGGTGGGTGACCGTGACGCACTGGGCAGAGATCAACGCCCACATCGCCCTGCCTCAGCGCCTCCTCTTCTTCTCTGGTCTGGCTTTGCTCACAGTTATCATCAACCCCATCTGGACACACAAAAAGACCATGCAACTGCTCAATCCCGTGGACTGGAACTTTGGCAACAAACCGGCTCCATCAAATGGCTCCACAGAGGGTCCATCTAAGGTTTCTATGAAACAACATGCCAACTGAGGTGCATCCCAGAGGACATTACCGGAATATACAGCTATTTTTTTCAAAGTGACTTTTGATGATGGGAAAATTAGTGTTTCTTTAAGTTTTAGTCTACATAGACTACAATTTAAAAAAAAAAAACAACAACACAAGCACTTTGTAGTACTCTTAATGGCCATCACAGTATGGTTTGCAATATCGACTTCCACCTGACATTATTAATAATAGTATTTTAGTTACTTTTATTAAGTAATACTTGCTATCATTAACCTCATTCAAAAATGTGTGTTTTTCCCTACTTTTTTCTAATGTGTGAAACGGGGTGAGAGCTGTTTTCTTAAGTCATTCAGTTACATCAGCTTACAAATGAAAATACTGACTTCGGATAAAAAAACTGTTGCATAATGCACAGATAGTGTGAGTCTTTGTACTCATCTAATATACAATCTCTTTATCTGGTTTTAGCAGCTTTAAGTCTTGTTACTGACACTCAGTGTTATTAGTTTAGTTAAATTAGTAATAAAATGTGCTTTAGGGTATGATATGTATAAGATGGGACGGATATTTCCTCACTCAGTGGTGAAGTAACACCAACAAGGCTGCCTTTGTCAAATAGAACACGCAAAACTGGTGGTAAATTGGATTAGCTCAAAGGAATCTGCTTCTTCATCTTAATCATCAGATCTTTTTTATACTAATTGGTTAGATCAGTTCACTCATAGTGGGTTAGGACTCTTCTTACAACAAAAGGGAAGAGTTTTTAAGCACAATAGCAGAAAAAGGCCTTAAACAGCATCTTCTTTATTGTTGGACAAAAGGTTGGGAATGGTCCGCTCCACAAAGGCTCTTCTGTCCGAAATGGAGATGCGATGTGACGAAACTGAAACAGTGTTTACAAAAAACAAAGTAACGTTTTTGAACCATGATGCTTTTCAGCATTCAGCATTTTTCTTTTTTTGAAGTGGATATTAATTTAAAAATATGTCATGTAGTAAACTCTTTTGAAGGACCTTTCAGATTTTTCACGCGGGGGTTTTATCTTGTATGGACGGTCAGCTCCTTAACAGATATCCATTGTGTTGCCATTACAGTATTTCTACTGTGTCTAACCGATACTACCATTAGTTTGGTTTTTTTTGTTTTTCTTAATCTATGTCTTGGAGATTCAAAATGGCCCTTAAGTTTTCTCTGAAAATATTACATTTTGAAACAAACATTCAGGTGAACCTGGCATTTACAATTGCTGTTTATTTTTTCATTATTATGTATAAGCCTCTGTGGGATATTGTTTTTTTCCTGGTGCGGCAAACGAGACATAATTTACTGACATAACTTTTCACTAGACTTTCAAATCTAATGAAATAGCTAATACAAAACGGAAATGTACAATATGAATGTGTCATGGGAAACATTACAGAATTACTTGGTTAAAGCTATGATGTCTTGTTAAAATTGGATTGAGTGTTTTCATATTTGCAGCCTAATCAAACATCCCCTGCAAGTCCACTCCTGAGTCCAGACCCATCAGTCCTCTGTGTGTGTGTTAGAGATTTACATCAAATAGAATTAAAAATAGCGTTTTTGTCACGCTCTGTCAGTCTGTCTGTTTTGTGCCCTCTGATCTCCACTTGCTATGTTCCTCCTGCCTGTATTCTGGAAATGAGATAATTATTATTTATTTATTATTTGGAAATCTCTTCTGAAAGTGCTCCTTGAGTGACGGGGACTTCCCTGAGGAACAGATTGAGGATGCACAAATGCATTATTTGCTTTTTATATGACCCTTGGGGTGTGGCTATTGCACATTGAAAGTTTAATTGCAAGCAGATACATTCATTTATAGAGACACTTTAAATGTGTCAGAAAGAAATAGTGAAATGCATCGTTATTTTCAAATCAGTGTGCAGTTATTATTACTTAACCAATTTCTAGTGAGAGACTAAGAAAAGAGGAGGAGTTGAGACAATCAAATGTATGAAAAGTAAAAATTGGCAAACTGGATTGTATACTGTATCTTGGTTTTGTTAATTAAATCCTCTGCCTCTAGGTGGCAGGATAAAAGCAGTGACTTTAATTTCATCAGTCAGCTTGACCACAAGTTCAGAAATATATCACGTTTAAGTAATGGTTCCTTCAGCAGCATTATGTTAGACAAATATCTTAAGGATGGCAACAATGGCACAACAAATTTAAGGACAAATCTGGAGTAAATGTACATCTCAAGTGGAAAACTTCAGTATTATAAGATATATATTATCTGGTCCTACGCATATATCAAGGAGTCACTCAACTCAAAGTTGATCTGGAATTTTTTAGGACACCTTGTTATTTTGCTGCACTGTGTCCGCTTTTTCCTGGAAAAAAATCCTTGAAAAACACAAATTGTGTGTTTGGTGGCTTTATGTTTAAGTTATGTAAGGTCAGGTTTTATAATATTTTTAATCTTATATATTTTTGTTAATATTATGAATTTTTAAATGATTAATTTTTGCAAGCACAAGATCGAAAACTATTCCACCATCATCTGAGGACAACTGTATCAGAGGGAGCCACCTCACACGTCACGTGGGTACATTGCTGGAACTCCTCTGTGCGCAGATCCATCCCACTGGAAAAGACGTAGGAATTGTGATTGGCGTTCGGTTCACCCAATCACAGTTTGGTGTAGCGAACCGTTCGGCCAATCAGCTTCTGAAAGGAGGTAACGCGTTTTCATGGATGGAGTCTGCTTACATCGAAGAGATCCAAGTAAGAAGGGCAAAAAGTGAACGTGTTTTGATGTGTTGGGAGTTATGCTGAAGTCTGAAAGTTGTGTTAAGTTCAGCCCATTCAAGGCATTTTTACAGAAGGATGAGTTAATTTTTCAATGGGAAAGTCATGAAATGGTGAGTTTAGAGATTTTTTTTAATGATTTTAACAAAGTTTTAAATCACATCAGTTATGCTAACTATTCACTTAAGTGACGAGTGAAACATTGGAAAAGGTAAAATATGTAATTATTATCTTTCCAAAATAGTGAATGAAGTGTGTTTTTCTTATTTAAGCAGTGTATTAGTACATTGTTGTAACGTGGCGCCTCAGCTAACATTGTAATGTTGCCAACACCGAGCTACCTGCCGCAAAACTTCCCCCAAATAAGGGGACCAATGTGTCTTTACCCCAAAACGAGACCTTATAACAAAGCTAAAACCTTTTCCTCTGTATGTTATTAACACTACTGCTAAAACTTGCATTGACTTGTGTCATAACACTGTGATGAATGTCTTAGTGTGAATCCCGGCATTTTACTCTTTCTTTTATTCTTTCAGAGCTGACTTATGAGCACGCGACATTTTGCAGCTTAAATCTGTGTGTGCCTTACATTCACATGTACATACGCTTGTAAAGGAAAGTATCTGATAAACCGAACACTTTACAGCAAACTAAATTCAGCAGGTCTCCCTGAGCTGCAGCTCAACGACAAATTCAAGTAGTCATGCATAGCATTCCTCAGTGAGAGCCCTCCACAGCTCCAGTCAGCTGGAAGATCAGCACTAGCAGGTACCAAAAACCATCATTTAATTCAACCGTTATCTTTAGTTGTTGCCTTTCTGAGTGGCAAGTGCCTTCAGGAAACTGTTGAGCTTTTTGTTAAGCTTTAAATGATGGTTTAAGATACAAAGATGTCTTTCTTTTTCATTTGCGTTGTCTATTGTTGCACGTTTAGTTCCCACTATGTGGTGAGTTGGAGCACTTTTAGGGTCACACGCTCATGCATGTACACAAAGATCTTTAGTGGTAATTTGTTTTGCAAATATGCTGGGTGGCCCAGCTGCAGATGCCTAATACCTCCCCCTTTTGTAAAAAAAAAAGAAATCTGATTTAGCCTGTCCAGGGATCACAAACTATTTTTTTAATGCTCAAATTCACTAGATATCAATGTAAGGCATCAGATAGACAAGGTAGACACAACACTTTATCTGTTACTCCTGTTTCCTGTGTTTGCAGTCTAGATAGTTTTAGAGATAATGCTTTATCAGACCTCCAGTCGTAAACATGGAGAGATGAATCACAGCCAAATCTCAGTATCCTCTGCTATCCTTATTATAGTCTGTGAAAACAGAGATATTTCTCAGATAAATACCAAACTGCTAATTTGTAAAGTAAATGTGACCAGGCAAAACCTCTACTTTGGCAATTGAAGCGCCGCCTGTTTACCGTGACCAAACTTTGGATGCTAGAGTACATAGCAGCTCTGCAGAGGAGCATGCCATTCGTTTTTAGAAATGCTGTTATGGAGTCACAGTCCACCCACCACTGGGCCAGTTATCCACCGAGGCAAGATGTGGATTAGCAAAATACTTTAGCAACAGCTGGGAAAGTAAAACCCACATCTAGTCTGCAGGTGGATGTGAAAAGTCACATACCACATACTTTTCTTAGCTTCTGGGGAGATGTTTACATTTTGAACTGACCCAGCATCACAGTGAAATACTCTATACATCACACAATGACTATAAACTCTTAGTTACTTATGTAAATGCATATTTTACTACACAAACAAGACGTTTTGAAATTCATTGGACAAGTTGCTCAATTCACATAAAATGCCCCTCTTTGGAGTGGCCACTTATCTGACGTTCACCACACAGTGAATAGTGTTTTACTGCTGGCATGTTGGGCTCTTAAAGCTTTAGTGTGGCTCACTGACTGGGTGGAGAACAGTTGGAGGAGTGACAGCCAAGACTGGGCAGTCTGCTTTCAATTGGACACCACATCTGAAATAATATGCAGTCCTACTGTTTCATACTAGTGGTTGATATTCTTTGTTTATTATTAAATAATATATTGTGTGAATAACTTTTGGAATGATCTTTAAGAAGCCCAAATGTAATCTTTTTCTAGTTATGCAGTAACAAGCATATGTACTTGTTATATAGGCAAATCCAAATGTGCCCTTACGTGTACAGTTAATCACGTATCTGAAATCAAATGATCAGCCCTGTGGGCCACATTATTGATGTGTATTTCGTACAAAGCATTGATATTGGTGTTTTAATTAAAACCCTCAGCTCATGGAAGGATCCAAGGCCACATAAATGCCTTTATTTTTCCAGCAAGGAACAACTCTTTAAAGAGTTGGCTATCTTGTGCCTGCTTGTTATCTTCCCCCACCCAGTGTGAGGTCAGGATGGGTGGTGTACACTTGTGGGGCGTGTTGTCATGGCTGATGGGTCCAGACTCTCCGTTCTGAGTTGGTTTGTGTGAGACTTGCTTTCTGAATGGAGATTTATGGGAAAAGCAGTCTTTTTGGAGAATGTACTTTCATGTGTTCTTCACAATGGTCTGGGTTGTTAAGGCTGCTTAGCTTAGATGACAAAAGGCAGTTTTTGGTTATTCTCACAGTGAGGTTTTAGTTGCCACATGCATGACAGATCTTCTCCCGTCTACTGGGCCTATAGACCACAAATGCAGCGCAAGCATTACAAAGATTTTATGGTTAAGCAGTCTTTATTTTTTTGGCCTAAACTACTTACTTTAATTCTCATCATGAAGAAAGAAAGAAAGAAAGAAGTCCCTCTTATGCTTTTCAGTATGCTGCGGGCAGCTTTCCTGCCCTCCTGACAAATACATTACAGTGCTCTGTTAAGCCTGTTCATCCACTCTTTGTAGCCCAGGAATCTTCTGTTTTTGGTGGAGGCATGATTACTGTAATCCTGGCAGAGGGACATAGCTCCAAATGAAAAAGCCACCTAAAGTGCAGTGAAGTCAAAGACGGATGATCACAGCCGACCACAAGTCTCCCTCTCAGACACTTCCACCTCTTCCAGGACTTTGTTTACGACTTTCAACTTATGTGTGGAATGCCAGTTGTGAGTTACTGCTCAAAAATCTCCACAGATGAATTAAAACCTTTTTCCAAAAGGAGCTATTGATGTTGGATAGTTACACACAGTTACACACAGTGCTACACACAGTCACGATAGATCTGCTGTTTTTGAAAAGCCTTATTGCAAACTGAAGACATTACAAGACATTTATAATTAAAAGCATAGAGAAGGTGCAGTTTAAGTGCAGACCTCCTTCTTATTTGACTTCATCGTATTTGTTAGGTTCAAAACATACAAAACTATCTATGGAATTCTTATTTTGACAGAAAAAAATTAGGAGGAACTTTGAACAGTTTGGTTGCTTTTTCTCTTTAATTCAACATAAATACGAGGCATAGAACAGCAGACATGTTTGGAATATATATATATATAGTGTATGCTCCATAGGTCTACTTTACACATTATGCACATGTTAGGAAACTGGTTGCATTACCAACTCCAGATGACTTCTTTCCTGTCTGCATAACACAGCTCAGCCTTCTAAGCATGTAATGACATGCTAAACTGAGCCTGTCATCAACTATAGGGATGACTTTACCTTCCAAGTCTCTTTCTCGGTCCTCGGTCATTGCTCTGAGTGTAGACTGTGATAAAGTACCTTTCAATTAAACACCTAACAAATAAGCAGGATGATTGTGAATTAATGGAGGGGGCTTTTCTCTCCCTCTTGGTAAGGGTTTGTTGTTACATGTGTTAGTGTTCACAGTGCCATAGCTGGCTGCTTAACCCAGGCCACCAGTGTTGGAAGTGTTTTTGTTGTGTTGGTCATCCAAATGGGGGAAACAGGTGCTTCACGGTGGGCAGCAAGTCACAAATGTGCTCATTCTTGTAATGATGTTTTTACTCTATTCCTGGACAGTAATTCTAAATATATATTACGAAAAAAACACAAGTCTAAGAAAATTAGACACAGATGAGATTAGCAATAATTTTTTCTTTGACTAAAAACATGTTTTGTGTCTCGTTTGACTCTCAGCCAAGAGGAGCACACCTGAACTTATTCCTGAACATATTACTCCCCGTATACTCCCTTCCTTTTTCGCCATCCAGAATCTCAAACAATGCAATGAGTCAGTAGTGATGAGTCACCCTCTAAAGCTGTGTCAGGGCTGGGCTGTTACATCTTGCTCCGAAATCTGCCTACCATGCTCCACAAAGCATCCGTTTTGTTTTATACCCTTTTTCCCTGGCTGCTCCCAGTGATGGCTTCATTATCAGTTACTGGTGATATTGTAGCTGCTCCTGTCTGTCGCTTTGAATTCCTCTCTATTGTGAACACCAGTATCTCCTCGGGCATTATGTACTCTACCTGTCTCTGGCAGTGCCAGCATTATCTATTAGTCGCTCTGTATTCTGCAGACACTGGCCCTGTATGTTCACATCCTCTGTTCTGGCTCTTTGCCCACACGAGTGGGACAGAGGACAAAAGGGCAGAGGATTTCACATTATTTGTAGACAAAACAAGCTTTGAGTCTCAGAATGAGTTATCATTCTTCTGCTGCACTCTCGTGGTGTAGGTTTGTCTTAGAAATAAACCAAGTGTGAACTCATTTCTGCTGTGGCTCAAATTAAGCTTGTGTAGAATACGGGTCATTTATGCCACAATAAGGGGTGCTTTATGCTACAGCATGATGTCATGACTCTGCCATCTGCTCATGTTAATATTCCCCAGCTGAAGAAGTCTGGAAATAGTTGAGCTTTTTTTTTAAATGGAGCTTATGACAGGAACTGTCACCTGTGGATACAAATTGTAGATTACCAAACAAACCTGGGCTGCAGAGGAATGCTGTGGCTCTCATGCCCATGCAGGTCCAAAGGTCCTCTCCTGTCTCAGCACGTTAAGGACATTTCCCCCGGCCTAAAAAGAATGGTTACTATAAATGTTACAAAGATTCTCTTTGGTTTTCCTGTTAAAACATAAGTTTGAATGTCTTCCTCAAAACATGGAACACTGTGGGGATCAGTTGATTATTTAGAAATAAACTGATATGAAAACTCAGAAGATTTACTTATTACACTACTGGTTCATCAAAATAATGGCTCAATTCATGGTTTACAAACCTTTATTAAATAATACTGTTATACGTGTTAAATTTGAAGTTTTGATCTGCTTTGCTTTGTTTGTTTTGCTTTGCTCCCTGGTTTAGACACTGATGGTTAGTCCACAGGGGGTATATCTTTTTCTATAGTAGCAAAGCCTGTTTCTACCCATGATGTTTCAAATGGCCCAAATCAACATATGAAAAGGATGTGCAGCCTTAAACACATCGTTGTTAGCATTCTTTTAGAGCACTGTAAGGGTTACTTTTGTTTTCATTCACTCCTCCATTTGTCTAAATTAAATAGGCTTCAGATTCTCATGTTGACACTCAAGGTACCAGACGGTGACCACACAGGGACCCTCCTCTGCTGTGTTTTCCTTTTTTTAAGTAACATAAACAGGGTGTTTGGACTTTCAAGGATTGTTTTTTTTTACATTTACTGAGCAGGAAATGCCTAACTTATGATGTATGGACATTTCTCTGATAGATTAGTTTGGAAATACTGTGTTAAAAGCTGTGCTTTTTTCCTTTTCCTTGACATTTATCTTTTGTCTTTTAGGAATGTGTGGCAGCATAGTTGATCCCCTGCACACAGTGGTTTGTGAAACTTGTCCAAGTGAAGAGCAGCGAGCATGGACATGGAAGACTTTCCTCCACCGCCTCCTGAAAGTAAAGACATTAATACTTCCTCATATGCATGCAACACCTTAAGTGCCATACAGCAAGTCTTGCAACATGGTCCAAGAATGGCATGTCCATTAGACCGGGTAGCTCAGCTGTTCAGAGTATGGTGCTAATAACTCAAAGGTTGTGTGTTCGATCCTTGTAGGGGCCAGAAAATTAGTTAAACCAGAGTGAGGAAAACAAGAAAATATCTCTATTTATACCCTTTTATTAGCTTTTTTTCCATTTATTTATTAGAATCTGCCTCAAAGATGAAGAATTTTCCTTTTCATTAACAGATGACTAAATTAAACAATTGGAACTTGAAAACACTTAAAATAATCATTGGTTTTTGTCTATTTTTTTTGGCATAGTATGGTTCAAATTCAACAGAGCTAATAGGACAGTTTGGGAAAACCTCAGGTGGTTATGCAAAGCAGGAAAATGTCTCTTAAAATCCAAACAACCTTAGATTGACAGCTTTGCTGTTTGTACTGTGTGTCTTATGTTTTGCTTTAGAAGCCTTGCAGTGTTGTACCAGTAGAATCCCCCGCTAACTCGTCTCAGTCATGGCAGTTCTGATCACTTCCAGGAGAGTTGCTGAAACTTGGCAGTAGGAGTAAACAACAGATTCCTCTCCTCCACCACTTTGGAGTGTGTGGGCAGAGGAACGAAGGCATAAGGAGGATAAAATGTGCTGTGCGGCTGTGAATATTAGACAATGTTCCTCAGTCCCAGACTGAATACTGCTGCAGACTTACACATGCATAAACACACACAGATGCACACACAGCCCCTGGGGATAGAGACAGGCCAGAGAAATGCTTAGTCTCCAGCTGGTCAGTCTCTTGCTTTGTTGCCCGGGGGATGCAGGAGCAGATCGTAACCCAGTGACTCATTTGACCATTATGTACCACATTGGAGATAAGTCCTTAGAACAGAATCCATATTGTTATTATGAATGGACAATTGTTCCGCCGTTTGCTCCATGTGCATTTGCATGTATATGTAGCTGTATAATTTTGTGCTTCGCACAGTCTTGATAAAAATAAAAACTTCTGAAGTGACGATAGTTTTTCACTTAGGAACAAATAGATGTCAGAAGTGCAAGTCCCCTGTTAGTTAGACCTGCGTGCGTTAAGACTGTAAAGGGATCGTCCACCATAGTCTTTAATTAAGCTACATACATGCATGTCTGTACAGCGAGCTCTCCATCACCTCTACTACAAACAGTAGATGTTTTAGTGGATGGCCAGCTGTGACTCACTTGCTGACTAAATAAATCAAATGGAGAATCCATCCTGGCTTAGAGTTGGCTCTGTTAACACGATTATGGATCCTTCTGTGGTAGCAAACTCTCCGTGCTTTATCATCCCACCTCACACCATTCATTATTGCACAGATGGAAAAAGACAGATAACATCTCAGTGTCCAGGTTTGCCCTTTGCCCCTCTCCTTTCTCGCACCATCAACCATGGCTGCAGATGGACACGGAGCCACAATACTGAGCTGGAACATTATTCACGAGCCATTTTTCTCACACTCTGGCAAGGTCGAACAGCTCCCTCCCACTGCCTGGGGGAGTCATACAGGTGATTTAGAGCTGTGTGCATTGGTGCAATGAACTTCAAAGTCCTTGTGTTTGCTGCTGGGGGTTTCTTTCAGTCAGGATTTACCTGATCACTATCAGTGAACTGCAGTGACCCGGAAGTGTACCACAACAGATGCAACAGGGATGTTAAAATGCCTGTAACTGACTTCAAACGAATTGAAGGTAATATAAGTAATGAGAATATAAAAAGGATTTTAGTAAAAATGATAAGCTTCAGTAAAGCTTTCACAGGGTCTCACAGATCAGTAACTGGATGGCGAAAGGACCTTTGGATCAGGTCAAAATGCCGAAACCCGGGATCGAACCAGGGACCTTTAGATCTTCAGTCTAACGCTCTCCCAACTGAGCTATTTCGGCGGGTGTGAGTGTGTGGAATGCCATTGATTCTGAAAACAGAATGAAATCATCCAGGCCTGGTATTTTCTGTTTTCTTTGGGCAAACAGGATATTAGACACCACACTAAGACAGAACTTTAGACAGGAAGGTAATGCTTTCAATCCTGATTGTTGTTGAATGTCCTAGCAAAGAATTTGTGGTATTTGCAGATAATACTGTGACAAAGATTAAGTTATTTAAAGTAAAGGAGACCTGGAAAATGGAGATAGAATTGTAAGTTTTGTGCTTTTTATATCCCATGAGAATTTTATATTCATAGCAACACTTAATTTAGGTAGAGTTTTTCAAATGTTTGATTTATAAAACATGAACTTTTTTCACTTTTATTTCACTCATCACATCCCTGAAAACCACATCCCAGTTTTAAATATGTACTGCCAAGATAGGAGGGCACATTAGACTTTGTTTTAAGCACATACTTTAAGCACACCATCAGAAATAAAGCTCGGGCTGTAGAGCTCACTGAGGGGAGTAACAGCTCTCTTTCCTGCTGCCCTAATTGCAGTGGAAACTGGAAAGATATTTGTTGTTCCCTTCCTGTCTCCTGCCATGTGAATGCTGTAATGTGAATGTGACGCCTCTGAAGACTAAGACTTGTATTCCTGCCCTAGTTTGGGTTTGCTATGAAGCATATCAGCAGTTTTTTGTGCTAACCCTGAAGTAATAAGCATAATGCCAGGGTAGACCTTATGCTTAATTTAAGCCTGTTTGAGGCTCTGCCTTTTAGCGGTCACTCAAATATTTATCTCCCCACGCTCTTGGTTGTGGTTACATTACAGTTTGTTGGTTAATTAACAACTTTATTGAATTATTTGTAATTCATTATCCTGTGATCTCAATGCTAACAAAAGTCAACACCTCTTTGGACCTGATATGAACATAGAAATCAAAGGTATGCATCCAATATTCACAGTTCACCTTAAATCTCTGTAACATCTGTTTGCAGTGTTGGCAGACAGTGTCGCATATGAAGATGAAGATGAGGGAGAAGCTTTTGACTTTGATGATAGTGGCGATGACTTCCCTAAGGCGCCCCCCCCTCCCCAAGCCCTCCCTGGCATGGAACAGAGCCGAGATGACCCAGTGAGCTGTCAGCCCGTGGTTCCCCCCCCGCCGGCATCTCCCTGCGCTTCCAACACAGCGCAGTCCCCACCAGACACAACTGCTGCCACCGGCCAATCCTCTTTGGGAGGTGGAACCACAACAGAAGGAGAGGGGACGTTTGCAGAAGTGGGGGTTAATGATGATGAAAAAGATTTGCCGCCACCTCCATCTCCATCTCCACCCCTTCCCCTCGCTGATGACATACAGATAAATCCTGGAGACACAGGTTTGAAAATCAAAATGTTAAAACATTTCACAGCTGGCTTAATCCTGATTTATCTTTTGGCTGGGGGACAGTCTCATATATCAGTTCATTAGGATATGGCTCATTATAAAAGTTGGCCTTGGATGTAGTGTTTTCTTGTGTTTTGGCTGCAATCAGAAATTCTTCACATTCATTTACCTCATTCTGTTTGCATTATCTGGCTCCGGTCCAGCTCTTCTGCTCAGGCTAAAGTTAGGCCAAGAAGAAGAAGGGCTCTCTGTCCCTCTCATGACACCTTGTATCACTGGCTGCCTGGTGCTGGACATCGTCTGGCTTTTATCTCTTAAAATCATGACATCCAGCGCAAGCTGGGTTAGCCCCTTCTCATTCATTCTGAAGTGTTGTAGCTCAGAGATGTCTGTGCACTCCAGCTGTTGCCCCACGAGGGAATCCATGATCAAAACAACACACTTGACCTGTATTTTAGTTATGGTTAAAAATAATACACTGATGAGTTGCTAAGGTTATATTTTCTGATTTGCATTTATGGGTTCAGTGCTCTACCTCCAGCAGCCCTCTTGTCTTGACCTGATTCTGTATCTGCCTGCAGTGGCTCATCCAGAATAGCAACTTTTCAAAAAGTGCTTTCCCCCTGAAGGTCTCAAGCCTTCAGGGGCTGCCATCTCCATTAAGTGTAATGGAGATGGCAGCAGTGAGCTTTAAAACATTTTAGAAGTGGAACACGACAGTAGATCAGTCTGTTGTAATCAGCGGACCCCACAATTTTCCATAATTTTTGAAAATGATATTAAATACATACTTGCGAATCAGAGCAAATATGATCAAACCTTCTGTCAGCTTCTGTCAGCCTGTAAGCCATGTAAATTATCACATGAGTTTTTTCAAGGATCACTGCATGTGACCTGGCATTTTTCTGTTGTTGTGGTCACTTGTAATTGGACATGAAGCTTGCACAAATTAACTGTGTCCACCCTCCCTCATCAGGCATTAAAGAGCAGATTGCATCCAGGAATGACCCTGACCCAGCACAGGCCGCCCATAAGACCTCCTCTCAGGGCAAAGTAAACCCCTACTCTGTGATTGACATCGCTCCCATCCAGCCGCAGCAGCCAGGGCAGCAGCTGGGGTCCTCCTCTTCCACTTCGTCAGCTACGGAAACAAAAGAACGAGAGGGACAAGGCCAGGATAGCCACACTGGCTCTGCTGGCATTACTTCAGGATACTCTGTGCCAGTGCCATGTGGCTATGCTACGCCTTCAGGTGTACCCCTCATCACACCAGCCTACACCACCCCAGTCATCATTCGACATCTCTCCATGGACGAAGATGGTAAAGTAAAGTCGGAAGCTGGAAGAACATTTAAAACTACTTCTATTGATAACAGCCCATCAAATATTTATGAATTCTAAGGAGTTAGAAAAGTTATTTTTCACTGCACAGAAACCTAAAGATACAATGCTTTGACACGCAAAGCTGTCTCAGCTACTTCCACCCTCCATCCTTTTTTTCCCTCTCTTGTTTTTCCTGAAGCCTTGCCACAAGGAAGTAGAGACTAAATTTAGCCCTCCCCAAAGATCTGTGTTGGCTGTGAGGATTTTCCGGTTACCCTAAAATCTCGCAGTAGCAGAGTCCATCCCTGCGGATTGGCAGGCACAGCTGCCTAATTACACTGTTATTATCTTACCAAGGTCACACATTTCTGAAAATCTGAGCTTTGTTTGCGTGAAAGACCTTTTTAAAGCTTTAACCTTTCTCCACTAGAGGGGATATGCAGCTGTAATACATAACTAAGACATTTTTATGAGTTTTTTTCTTTCAAGTGTTAAATGTTAGAGTTCTGAACTAGGTATCCATCAAGTGAGCACGTTTGCAGTTAACTATAATCCTCAGTAAATTACATTTTATGTACGGAGTCATCGGTGACATCTGGTGGCATTTCAGACAAAACCTACACCTTAGGGCGAGTTGGAAAAAACATGTTTTTTGTTCAAACATGTTGATTTATTTCTGAATATCGCTATATATTAAATCTACTTTTTTGAAAACTGAATTCATACTCTAATCTCTTAAAAACACAGTCCAAATGTTTTCTTTATTTTTGTTTCTTGAGAACTGCAAGACTTTTTTTTCCAACATTTCCCTCTTTTTTCCTCCAGTGACAGTAGTTGGGAATAGCAACACCTCCGCTGACAGGTGAGTCCTAAAACCATTTCTATACAAACCGTTACTTACATTTTATCAGTTAAATTTGTATATTTAGGGTCATGAAATAAATGTATCAAATAAATGTTTTCTTGACATGTAAGAAACTATTGAAGAATCGCACCAACCATTTGTACCTATTTTTTAATGTTTTTAAGTGTTTTCAGTGAAGAGTATGCCCCTATTACAGAGGAGGATGCTTTGGCTAAATGGGCCTCTGATCCTGCCAACACTGCGTGGATGGAAAGTAAGGAATGACATCTTTCTTTTAATAAAAACGCTCTGTTAATGATGTTGTTTCAGTTCTCTTTGCTTGTGTCGTCACACACAGCACTTGTCCTCAGACTGGTATAATCATCTTTTGCACAACTGAATTCTCAGACACTTCCTTCTCTGTTCTTTTGAGGAAGCAGGCCCTTAAACGAGCCTTCCTTTTAGATCTCTTCCACGTTCCTGATTGTTATGTTGGTAGCAGATTCGACAGACATGAATTTATTTTTGCAAGTGTTTCATATGCACAGATCCAGATGAGGTGATCTATGATGATGTGCCCAGAGAGAACTCTGACTCCAACACGGGTTGGTACTCTTTTTTCTGCTAACATTTTACAGGTTTATCACAGAATTTAGTAACTTTAGTTTCTGACTATTCTGACTTATTTACCCAAAATGCAGATAATCTGAGAAAAAAGAAAACTTTTATGTTTAAATGTATGTTGATTTTAATCTTATGTTAAATATCGCATTACAGAAATATTCCATTATGTGAAGATAATATATTTCATAAAGTGGTTTAGCTGTTGTTGAGGGCATTATGAAATCATGTTTTTTTTTTACCATCACCAGGCACCGGGCATAAAAAATTAATCATGTAATATCAGCATTTTTTTTCAACTGATCTCAGCAAATTAGGGCACATAAGAACACACTTGTTCCTGGATTTTATAAGGCTATTCTTCTTTTATGTATTCATATGCTAATGCATAATCCAATGCTGTGAAAGTTCTAGTTAACACTTTTAACATTTGATAGGAAATCCTGCACATCTCTGTAGCCTAACCACTGTGCTTTGAATTAAATTTGGTTCTCCATTTTAACAGATCCAGATGAAATGATCTATGATGATGTAGAGCTTGGGGAGGAGGGTGGCTGTAATAGTTCCCTTGATACTGGCTGGAGCTCCAGTGAGTTTGAAAGCTACGATGAAGCCAGCGATGAAGAAGGTCGCCATGAGAATGGCCTCCCCCACGCCTTCATGAGGGGCAAACCACCTCAGAGGAAGACCCATGTGTGTAAAACAAAAAACTTGCTACTTCCCAGTCAAGCTTCCTGTCAGTTACCAATTTATTGAATTGAGCTTTTTTCCCCCAAATATCTGCTTTATTGGAATGTTTACTGTTTTAATGAAAGGTTGAGACAGTTTCAGTGACATTTGCAGGTTTTGCCCTTATTGCAGTCCATTAACCAGTGTTTCATTAAAAAGCGCTAAAAATAAATGATAAAGTAAACTATGAAATCATCAGAAATGTTTGACAAAACAAATTCCCAATTATTCTAAAAACAGCAGATGAAATATGTGCTTAATGCTGCATTTCAGAAAAGCTGAAGTTGATAAAAACTCATAAAAAGGAACTAAAACAATGGATAAAACATATATATCCAACTGATAACACTGTAATGAAACAAATTTGATTTAAATAAGTTATAAAAACTGAAAAAAATGTTTAAAAAAAAATCTTAAATCATCTCACCAAGAGAGAGTTTCTGGAGAAGAACGTCAGCGAACAGACAGTCTTCAAAGCGAGTTTGCTGACACCCCGAGACGCCGCTCAGTTGCAGAACCGTAACCAGTATTGCTTGCTTTGCTTTTGTTTAGCTCTCTCAAGATTTGACACGCTTGAAAGAACACTATGAGAAAAAGATGAAAGATCTAATGGCAAATACAGTGGGAACTGTAGAGCTGCAGCAGCTAAAACAGAAACACGAGCAGAAGGTAAACTACCTGAGGCTCATCTCATTTGTCTGTGCTGGATAAAAGTAGTCCCAACCCTTTACTCTCATCCTGGCTAACTCCGCTCCTGACATCCTGTCACTCACTTGGTACCTTCATCCCGCTCTGATGTGAATGACTGGTGGTGGTGATATTGGTGATGGGTTTTATAGTTTTTTTTTCTCATTGTCTGCTACATCTCATGTCTCATTAAATGTTTGTGGATTACATTTTTTTAAGATAAGGACCTAGTGTATTCTAACAAAATTGTAGCCTGGTACACAGTGAACTGAGACACCAGTGACGCGGTTCTTTTTCAGTGTTTTGAACATAGCTGAAACTGTGGCATGCTCTCAAAAAAACTGCAGAAAAAAGGTTTTGCAGCCTTAAAATGTTTTGAAATGAGAAGTTTAATAATTTAATTGCATTATTTTACATTGGCAACACTGCGCTCATTTCATCTGAGGTTTCAGTTACTGTCACTGGTCAGCTCCCCTTTCCTTTTGTTCTGTGTTAGGTGTACATCTTTATCTCCACTCTAATACCCCCCTGTCACATGTAGCTTGGTTCAGTTGCTTTTTAGTCGTAGGTTTATAAAAATCAACTAAACTTCACAGCCACATTTCTGATTGTATTTATATATTTTATATTCTGTGTTTTGTTCTTCTTGCCAAAGATGCAAAAGATTGTGAGGGCAGCTAAGGAAGGGACCAAAGACGGGCTCGAGAAAACCAAAGCTGCAGTAAAAAAAGGACGATCATTTATCAAAACCAAGTCATTCTGTCACGGTAGGAAATCTTTCAAAGCACAGTTCAGCTCTTAAGTTTATGCGTGAAAATCACAATTATTGCAGTGTCCTGGTTGTTTTTCCTGTTTGCTTTCAGAGAGGAAATCTGCCTGCTTTGAGAGTGAGGAGAGTGAACTCTTCATTGAGGTGGACTGTTTCAACGTTGAGCCGGTGTTGTGTCCGGCACCAGAAGGTCTCTCACAGCAGCAGGTAACGAGCGTGGCTTTTGTTCTGTTACCGCGCTCCATCAAACAGACAAAACCTTACCAGCTGCCTGAAGAAATATAAGTTTGCCCTTTTATCCCTGTAGCTTGTGAGGAGATGTATACTGGAATCTATTTTGGAGAGTGAAAAGAATTATCTTGATGCTCTTAAGAGGATATTGGAGGTATGCAAATGCTTCTGCAGTAATTGTTGAATAAGTTTTGGAAATGGTGGTTATTACAGGACATATTTTCTGCTTTATCAGCAATATGAAAAGCCCCTGTCCCAGATTGAGCCCAGGCTGCTGAGCGACAGGAAGCTGAAGATGACCTTTCACCGTGTGCGTGAGATCCTGCAGTGCCACTTCCTGTTCCAGATTGCACTGGCAAGTCGTGTGGCTGAGTGGGACAGCCTGGAGATGATTGGTGATGTCTTCGTGGCATCAGTAAGCAAAGCCTTTTATTAAAAGATTCAAATTTAAGTAGTCGCACTTCACCAACCCATTTTACTTACTTGCTAACTTGCTCTTTTTATATTTATAAAATACCTTGGTAATGGTAATTATAGAATATTATTTAGAATTCTCTGTCACATGTTTATTTTAAAATGTTGTAGCATTAAACTGAATTAAATTTTGATGTATATTTAGACAGTAGTAGTCACGCTCTGTTTCTTTACAGTTTTCAAAGTCCATGGTGCTCGATGCCTACAGTGAATATGTGAACAACTTCAGCACTGCAATGGCCGTTGTAAGGAAGACGTGCGCCGCAAAACCTGGTTTCCTGGAGTTTCTCAAGGTTTGAGTAAACACATCTAAAAGGTTTTAATTGGGAAAGATACTATCATAGTTTTAATAAAAAAACAATGATAATAATACTGGTAATAAATGTTTTTTTTTTTAAAGCGCCTTTCATGTCACTCAAGGATACTTTACAGAGACCATCATCATAAAAAAATACTTGCTCATATTTGTTGATTGCTGCTAAAATTAAATGATGATGTAGTTAAAAGAAAAGTCTTCCAGCTATTTATTTTCACTACTTAAATACTGGTGGTTTTCTGTCATTTTCAAGAATGCACTAACCTGTATTTTCCTGTGCAGCATCGTCAGGAGACCAGCACTGACCGAATGACTCTTTATGGTCTGATGATGAAACCTATTCAGAGATTCCCCCAGTTTATTTTGCTCCTTCAGGTACAACAAGCTCCTTTTTTTACCAAGAAAGTGTTGTGTATATATTTTCACCAGCAGAGGGAGTGATGCATTCAGAAATAAGGTCATCTTGTTTTTCAGTGCTGACAGAAAGCGAGCTTCTCCTCTTGTTTTTAATCTGTTTCTGTTCAGAGAAAATATGGGGCATAGAGCTGATCCCTGTTTAAGTGTACATGTGCATTACAGAAGATGAATAATTGCAGATAATCTTCAAAGTAGTTTAATGTTGTACTTCATGATATCAAGAACACTTACATCCCAATAAATAATGAGTGTGTGCAATATGAACATAAAAAATGGATAGGTGGTAAAAATAATTTATTACATGCTACAAAATGTGTGGATTTATTTTGAATTCTTCATCTTCTGTCCATTTACTTGATTCATTCTCGGCCTCTGTAACCATCATCAGGACATGCTGAAGAACACACCGGTGGGTCATGCAGACCGTCTGCCCCTGCAGATGGCCTTGACTGAACTGGAGACGTTGGCTGAAAAGCTCAACGAAAAGAAGCGGGAGGCTGACCAGCGCTGTGAGATCCGCCACATCGCAAAGGCCATGAATGAACGCTACCTTAATAAGGTCAGGCTTTTTTCTTAATGGACCTATTCCTTCAGGTTTGTCTACTTGTTAGATTGGTTTAGACTGAACCGGCAATAGATTCTATTATATCTGCTGCCTGCAGTTCTGGCATCTGTGACACACGTTTATGAAATACTTACATGGGGCAATATAGTTGTTTTTCCTTTAAGCTTTACTCAGAGTCACATTTTACAGATTAGTTATACTCAATTATTAGTTTAAACAAAGAGTTTTAGGAAACATGTGGGATGCCAGAGTGAGATGGATACATAAAGATAAGAGATGAAATATTCCTTTATTAGTCCCACATAAAGACCTATTAAATCGTAATCATTCCCTCGTGAGAAAGTGCGCCCATACCTCTTCTGACTTTTTGTCCTGGTCCTGTAGCTTCTTAGTAATGGCAGCCGCTACCTGATTCGCTCAGACGACATGGTAGAGACGGTCTACAATGAGCGTGGTGAAATAATCAAAACCAAGGAGCGACGGCTCTTTCTGCTCAATGATGTCCTCATGTGTGCCACGCCCAATATCCGGTAAGACAGACCACAGCCCAGACCTGCTGTTAAACTCCTTTTAGTCTGCAATTTTTTTTCACTGTTTCTCTTGGACGCTAAAACTTCTGTTGTGTCTGTATCATTCCAAAAAGTCCTTATGAAATAAAACTTTGGGTCACATTTTTACAGGTCGCTTCTCAAATTTTAAAGAAAACTAAACAGAAACTAAATGCGACTAATCACTGTGTGTTATTGGTGTTCAGGGGATGAGTCAAAACCACAGTCAGTGTCAGACAGACTACTCACCATGGATTGCTTTTTAACCTCAACACACAGAGTATCTCATTCCAAGGATTTTCAGTTTCTGTCCTGTAATTGTAGCATGTTGCTCACCACATACTCCCTCTGGCAAATTGTTTAGGCTTGTTAAAAAATGTGTCATAGGTGGGTGACATTTTACCTCCTTTTATCCTTTGAACATAGCATGTGCTTTCTTTTTTGGGGTGTCCATTCGTTTTGTACGTTATGGGTTAAATTAAACTTTCTCTCACATGACCTTCCTCCTTCCTTTGGCTGTGTCCAGATGTCAGGATGGCAGTGGGAGTGGAAGTGGAAGTGCTCCACTCGACCAGAAGTTCCTCTTAAAATGGAGTGTGCCCTTGAGCTTTGTGGATGTGGTAGAGTTTGGATCCTGTGAGGACATGGTCGACAACACTCGCTACCCAGCCCCTCATTCGGGGGAAAAGGTGGTGATCAACGCTAAGCCAAGTATGAAACACTGTCACATTCAGTTACTTTCAATCAGTTGTCTGCTACTGTACAGTACAAGGACTTGAACATTTTTAGAGATTGAATGACAGATGCAGTTTTATAAGAATTCTAATTAAGAAAGTATTTAAGATTTTCTTCTTATTTGATTAATTTAAGGTAGAAATTGAGCTTGTCCTGTGCAAACCTTCCAATCGCTGAGTGTATTTTTCCCTCTGCAGTCCTTTGCTCTACTGGCTGCTGAGTCCAGTGACTTCATTTTTTCCACTGGGTTCTCCTCTGTCACAGACAGCTGCTTAGCCACTTTAAAAGACCCAGATCAGAGAAACAAGCTTAAAGAGACTGTATGATTTTGTGGTCACAGAATTGTAGTTTACATTACATTTTTATAGTTCATATGCTTGTGTCAGTGTAGTCTAGATATCAAAGGTTATGGCAGCTCAAGCAGATCTTGCCTTTAACCTTCATCACCAGCCATTCAGCCTTCCATCAGTCATCCATGTTTAATTAGTTCAATCTAGTTAGTTCTTGTCAGGGGTGAGCTCCCACTGTTTCCTGTAGTCCACCGATATAAGATACTTCTTTCTTTAATGTTTTTTTTCTGTCATACCCTCTTTATTTTACCCCCCTGTTCATGCATGTTTGGTGTGCTTTTCCTACGTCTTCTCCTGTCAAGTCAACTGAATCATCAGCATCTGTGCGTGCTAACAGATGGCACCAACAGGCCTGAGTAGCATCTGGTCTGACTGAGGGTTTTCTTAGGGCTGCAGCTGGCAGACAGGTTCACTGCCTCATCTTAACCTGCTGTGATGATACAAGTGTATAGCCCCTCACCTCCAAGGGCTGAGGAAGGCCATACGTTGTGTTGTGTTCTGCAAATTGCATTTAGTTAAGTTAGAGGATGTGAAAGCTGATTTTATTCATCAATATTTGTCACCGCAATACTTTAAAAAGAGATGTTCCCTCATTTGGGCTGACTGATCGTAATAACACCATGGCTTTTACTCATTTATTTTCAAAAGAGCTTTATATTTGGGAATCTTTGGGAATCCGTGTGTACGAGGACTGTACACTTTGTCAAGTAACTTCAACAAATTTGTCAGTTGTCTGTTTTCAGCCAAAAGCAGCTCAGGGAACAGCCAGCTAGACTTCACTGAAAAGACTCCCCAGCATATGATGTCACTTCTTTGTGTGCGTCTCTGTTTAGTTCATCTCTATGCAGCATAGGAAGTGGACCACCATGCTGAGTGGTCATTTCAGGTTACATTTTCCTGCTGCTCTGACCGTTAGTATGTCATTTGTTGGTGTGGTGTTTGTTCTTAGGACGTGTGTAAGTGCAGGGATGACTGGTCTGACTCTGAAGCAATCCCTGGAGTGTTTTGTTAGAAAACTCTTGGTATCTGGCACCCACACACAGAGCTATTCAGAAAAGCTGGATCCCAGTTAAAAAGGCTTTCTCAGAGCCAGATCCTAGCCTGTAGGAATGGCCTCTTAACTGATGGTAGGATTATATTCATCCCTGTGTCTTTTTTTTTTTTTAGATGATCTTGCAGGTCATGAATGGCAAAACAACACTTCTTTTTATTTAGGCTAGATAAAGGAAGATTTACTGCAAAGATATCACAAAACCCCATAACACACATCACAGTGCTTGGTGGCACACAATGAATAATTTAGGTTGAGTGCATGCCTAATGGAATTTACATCTACATTAACCCTGTTCCAAATCTTACCCCTTTATATGACAATCCTGAACATCTGTTAAGCATTTCTGTCCTATATTGCATTTATTTCGCTTTGTTTTAGCTTTTGGAGAGGCAAATGATCTATGAAACTGAAGAAAAGGTTTCTTGCACAAAGCAGTTACTTCAACTCATAGGTATAGTTGGAAAACTACTACTCCTTCAGTGGATGGACTGTTATTGTATCCACTGTCAATATTAGATTTGAAAGAAAGTCACTGACAGTTGAAAGATCAATATTAACCAAAAACCTGTCTTTCTGCTGCAAGAAGCCTTCAAGCTGTGCTCATATATAAGTGAAGGCGATGAAAAAGATTGTCTTAGCAACCTGTTAGTCTCAGAGAATTCCTACAAATCTGACATTTGGCACTGTACAAATAAGTGACGGTTCCCCTGAATGCTCACTCTGCCATACTTTCAGGAAGGCACTCGGCCGTGTTGCTATGGAGTCGAAGCACCAGGCAGACTTTGTGATAATTGGAGATAACAATGATGAGGGAGACAAAAACGAGAGCTGAGAGCATTTTAGTGCCAATGAGTCCGATACGTTTAAAGTATCTGTCCACTGCACCTTCAACTTCAATTTATTCTGCGCAGACTTTGGACCCAGAATTCAATTTGAAAATGTCTTGTTCTTGTTAAATGACCCATTTTAACTAAAGACCACAGTCATTTTTCAGTTAGCGTAGTTTGCCAGCTGACAGGCACTCTTTATGTGTTCTGTGGGCTGTTCTTCACAGTTAGAAAATGATGTTCTCATTAAAAAACATATCCACATTCACCATTTAAAAAATACCCCAAAATAAAACAAATATAAAATCGTAGCACAAGAGTGAAATGCACTGCCCCATAGATGCACAAACAGGGCTCCTTTGTTCCTTCCACAACAGAAGTAGCGGTGTGTGGTGCTAGCTGACGGCGGTTTTGAAGGTGGCTGAAGCACATGCGTTGTTCTTGACAGATGTCAGTTAACACCTGATTGGCCTGTCAACGGTCTCAGCCTGACTCCATTATTTCAGGACCACCCTCATTAACTGACGGACTTTGTTTCTTCTGCCCTAAGCAGACTAACGGTTTATTCCTCTGTGGTTTGGTCAGCTGCTGCTGTGCAGACAAGATTTCGTTTTTGGGCTGTTTTATAGCCTCGACCAATACAATAATATGCTGTACTCAGAGGTTTGTCACCTAATTAGTTTGGTTTAAAATAATGTTATTCCTTGAGGTTAAGTGGATTTGTCTGATTTTCTTTTAAATAATTATAGACAAGGAAAATAATTGTTTTTTATTTAAGAAATTATTTTTTGATCCATGAATGTAAATTTATAACATTAAACACCATAGAGGGGGAAGGGGGCTGACAGCCTGTGAGAAGTTAAATGTTCTGTACTGTTTTGATGAATACTGTAATTTAACAGATTTGTAACATTATGTTAACCATGCTCATGAATTCACTTGGGATCATTCTAAAGAATGGTAGAGAAAGGAGACAATATGTGAAAATGCATAACTCCATGGCAGAAAGAGTTAAGGAAATATCATGAATGATAGAAACTGACATGCACAAACGAGGCCTCTAACATTGAATATTAGTTTTCTTGAGAACAAGTGAGGACATGGATGAAAATTACTGCCAAGTTTGCATAGCTGTCACTGCTGCCTGTGGGAAAGCAACGGATTCTCCCTTATTGATCTTTTTCCCATTTCAAACGGCTGCTGCTCTCATTAGACTGACCTTGCTCATTGTCGCCTTTCTAACGACTTTCTGTTTGAGAACTGTTGACAGCTGAGACTTACAGGCCTCAGCAAGAAATCTTTACTGCCAGTTTCACATTCTTTATCACTTTCCAACTGAACGCTGCTTCCATTATTTTCACTGTTATCTGTCAGCCAAAATCATCTTCATTTGAACATTATTATTTCTGTAAGCATGGCTTCTTTTTTAATTTACTTTCTATGGACAAAAATTGTAGATGACACAAAGAACTAAACATTTTCTCCGTGTAGATAAACTGTACATGGGCCCGGGTCAGCTGTACCAAGATCTGCAGAACCTAATCCACGATCTCAGTTTGGTCAACCAGATCGCCAGCATGATCAGCAGCCTCAAAGGAAACTACCAGGTATTGTTTATCTGCATTAAAAACAAGCTTCAGGTCACATTTGAAGAACTCAGATCCGTTCTGAGTTAATTTACCCTCAGTGGAATTCTTGTTTGTGTGAGGTCAGGAATGTGAGAAATCAATGCTTGTTCTCCTTTTTTAATCTTATTTTGATAGTTAAAATGTGTGTTAAATTTTCTGAAGCAAAAATGGGCATTTAGAAATGATCCTACTTAAAGACTTCAGAATCCCATCCATCACGTTTCCCTTACATGTTCATCTGGATATGGATGTTATGTAGGCGTATGATATTCAAGCTGTGGAATGTGCCAGCGTGGGCAATTTGTCTTGAGGAGACTGGGAGTCTCTAAAGTCCGATTTGCACCACTCAGGCACATTCATATCATGTGTCCACACAAGAGCGCCTGAGCTGATGAAATGTACAACGTGTATAAGGTTGTGTTTCTGCTGTGCTGGTAGGTCTGTCAGAAGCAGAGTGGGAGTCTGAGTAACAGGGAGGCTCTTAGAGAGACGTGTGTCCAGATAGATGGAGGGAGGATTGGAGATTAAAGCAGGGTCAAAGGCAAAAGAAAGAGTGAGCAAGCATTAATAAATGAGTTTCCATTTCAAAACTAAATGACACAGACAGCGTTATGAAATTATGAGTTTTTTTTCCTAATCATATTAAGAGATTAAGATGTCACTGCAATGAAACTTTTATTCCAAATTTCCCATTACTTCATTTACTTATCTAAGAGAGGTAGATGGACTTTTATTTAATCATGTTACAGTTCAATTACATTTATGTACTTGTGTATAGTAAAGTATGTTATTTCTAGATAAATATCATATCTGTTGTTTTTGTTGGTTGTATGAAGATGTTATTTATGCAGAAAAAGAAAATCTACAGCTCGTATAACTCAAACCAGTATTGCACTCCATTGGCATGCTATGTGAAAACAAATTAAAAATGGGATCTGTGTACACCACAAGGCTGATGGCATTAAGCCGACAGCTGTTTCAATTTTTGTGTCCCATCATGTAGATGACAGTACAATCACCAGATCCTCTAAAGACCGATGCTAAAAATGGAGTTTGGTTATGGTTTAATGTGGAAAAACTCATGTACACATAATTCATTCAATACATCAGATTTCCCATTCCTATTTTCATTCCATCCCCCTCTTCATTTCCTTTTTATTACGTTTTCATCCACTATTTTTGTGTACAGAATGTAAATCCCACCGTGGCACAGGACTGGGTATCAGGCCTACAGAGACTGATTCTGAAAAAGGAAGAGGAGATCAGGGCGGCTGACCGGTGCAGGATCCAGCTCCAGCTGCCTGGAAAACAAGACAAGTGGGTCTTTTTTCTCTCCTGTATTTACATTAGATTGTAGCATCGTGCTGAGAGTAGTGTCTATCTCAGGATTACCCCCCCCCAAAAAAAATGTTTTGTTCATCTTTGGGTTGGCTTTATCCCCTTTTAACCTGCTTTCTTTGTCTATTCCCCCCAAAACCCTATATGCATTTGGATTTATGGAAGAGTATTAGCGCACAACCAGATATTTGGATTAACAAATTTCTCAGCCATCTTTAATCAGATGTTTGAATCAAGCAGGAAATGCACATCGGTGTTTGTATCCCAGCTGCTGCTGAACACAAATGCTCAAGTTGCACTAACATAGTCTGCACGTGGTCCCCCAAGGGGGCTTCTTGTTTTGACTCTTTCACATTCTCAATAACCATAAGTGTCTTTTGCATCTCTCTGTGTATCATCCTTACTCCATTACTCATCTCCACTGCATTTAACTGCTGAGATTATCCATGGGTATGTTTGGAAACACAGCTGCACATTTCTCATTCCTTTCCTGATCCCCCCATCTCAAAACACAACATCTCTCACCACAGGCCTGTGGCAGGAGTGCTGCCTTTCACACTTCCGAACACGCACAACAGGCACTTGAACAGTGCCTAGACGCTGTCTATCCAAGCTGCCTGTAAAAGCAATAATTGACATTGACTCTTGTCATCTCTCTCTCCTCTGTATCGACCAGTTAAGACTTATTCAGCCTTAAGACCACAATTCATCTGACGCCCAGAGTTTTTTTTCATTTGACAGTATCAGGAATAAACAAACGCCTATAGCTAAGGTCAATTTCTCAGCATTAGACCATTTCAGTGTGGTACAAAGGGCGATCAGGTCCGCCTTCTCCAAACATGCTTTCAGCAATATCAGCTCTAAGTGTATTGAGAGCTTATCAGTGAACTGCAAGAAAAAGCTATTCAGTTCGACACCAATGTGTGCATTCTTAGTAAAGCGCCAGAAACTGGTTACCACTCTGCCAGCATTCAGCCAAACACCACATAACTCTTTAATTCTGACACTCATGTGCTCAGACACCTTAGTAGTTTAAGTAAATTTCAGTCCATCAAGTCTTTTTTTAAAGGTGAATGTTTTACAGAAACCTTTTAGTTTGATTATATCCAAGATTGTTTTTTTATTTTTCTTATCACTTGTGTATTTGTTTTGTCCTCTCTCTTGGCAGGATGGGTAAACCCACATACTTCAGTGCAGTGTTCAATACACTCAGCCCAGCCATCAAACAGTCATGGATCAGTAACTTGCAGATGGCCAAGCTGGCTCTAGGTACTGAACGCTGCCTGTTTGTGCACTTCCACATGTCTCAGATTCACATGTGTTTCTCATTTTATCTGCTCACATTTGTACAGTATATTGGCTGATTTTTTTTTACTTACTCATAAATACAGTTTAGTTTTTAAAAGTTTTAGATGTTGTCTATTGTTGTAACAGTTGTTTTCTAGCAGTTTCTTATTGAAAGTATTCTTATAAATCATGAAAACTGCACAACTTCTTTAATAACTTACTACTTAAATAATTTTAATAACTTATTAAAATGATTTTAGGAGGTGTAGCGATTGTAGCCATTTCATTGGGAAAATGGGGTACTTTCTGACGTTGGCCTCACTTAAATTTGAAAACATTACATTTGCTATGTTTGTCTCTCATTACAGAGGAGGACAATCTGCAGGGCTGGGTCTTTGCAGAAGATGATGGGAATCAAATTAAAAAGCAGAAGCACCCACTCTTGCTTCGACAAATGCCTGTAGTAATGTCAAAACTACAGGAGTTCAAGGTAGGGCTGTTTTCTTAATGGAATTCTGTTTGCAGGTAGATCATAGGTGTAGATATGGCCGGTTAGCTCAGTTGGTTAGAGCGTGGTGCTAATAACGCCAAGGTCGCGGGTTCGATCCCCGTACGGGCCATCCCTTTTCAAATTTTATAGATAGATAAATGGTTATGTAGCCAACATTTTGAAGACATTAAGATCTGGTAATGTATCCTGTGATCTTATTACCTCATGGGAAAGTGATTAAAACACATCATTTTAATCTGAGTTATAATGACTATAGCATATACCATTTAAACCAGTGCTGAGTCTGAAAGAAAAAATATTCTTGCCTGTATGCATGGTGAGCTTAGATGGTGTGTTTGGTGCCACACAAACAGTACAGACTTCAGACATACTGCTCATAATTAAAGTATAAACTATTAATAAATGTTTTTCAATTGATTTGAGTTAAGAAATAATCAGGTCCTTTTCCAAATTAGTTATGTTCAATAGAATTCCCAGTCTTCACCATAATTCAATAACCAGTTCAGACTGTAACAATTCAGGAGGTCTCAACTATTATTAAACCTTAAAATATTTCTACCTGACTCTTAGCCCAGCCTAAAAACCAGAAACATCTATTTTATTTTCCCAATTACTTCTGTCCTTGTGACTATATATATGTACTCTGACCCTTTTCTTTTTCACCAACTCTCATTTTTTTTGCTATTCTATGACAGGTGGAATGTGCTGTTCACAATCCAGAGCCTCACATCAACACAGAAAGCACAGCAGACACCCCTGTTGTGGGCCATGGATGTGTATGGGTGAGACATTTTCTTTTATGTTACAGAGAAAAAACAAACATGTTATTTTACGTCTCAACGAGGCGAGAAAATAAGACTTCATCTCAGGATTTTCTTCATAGCGCCTTTAAATAGCACAACAGCTAGATGTGTAATTTTTTAGGAACACAGTCATGGACTTAACAAGTGTCTAGTTTCATATTCCCATTTCTTTGAAAACACAGTACAAAACCATTTCCATTTATTTATACTTTTAGTTTTGATAGTGAGTAGAAACATCCTGCATTTTGGCTTTTTTACAGCTGCTCAAGAAGAGTTGAGTTTTTCAGTTCCATAATTATCAGTGATGTTAAATAAAAGGATCCTTTTATTCTTTTAGGTTGCAAGTTGTACCAACCAAATGGGCCAAATAGCCATAGTGGCTATGCAGAACTCCAGCCCCAAAGTGACAGAATGTTTCAATGTGGAGTCTCGGATCCTCTGCATGGCTTTCGTCCCAACAGAGCAACCTGAGGAGAATGGGGAAAATGTCCCTGAGAGCACCCATGTTCCCCTAGGGAAGCCCAGTGAGACTCCCAGTGTCTGTTTAGGCATGGAGGAGGGCAGGTATAGATCAATACTATTATTTTATGGCATGTCGGTAACTTGCTTTTTTTATAGAAAGTTTGGAACAAATTTGACTCCTTTGTTTTTAATGATCCTTTTGAAAAAGTTTTATGTTTGTAGATTTCTGCTTTTTTCTTATTATCTTGCACTTACTTTTATTTCATTCAGCTGTGCGTATATAGTCAACCAAACTGTTTCAGCTGTCTCGAGTGAAAATACCATTTTTTATCTTTTCTATCTTTAGTGTCATTGTGTATAAGAGCAGTCAGCGGTCCAAGAAAGTACGTCTGCAGCATTTCTTCACCCCAGACAAGTCCACTGTCACCAGTCTGGTTTATAAGAAGCCCTGTCTGTACGCCGGCCTGGTCAGCGGCTCAGTGGCAGTTTATTCCAGATCACAAGGTTTGTGTTTTAGGGAGTGGGGAAACAGTTTCCACTGTGAATACTCACTCTCAATTTTTTTAAATGATGCCTTGGCAAAGTTTGTTGATACTTTTCAATAATCAGTATTAGGGCAGTTGTGAAGTGAAATAATAATTTGTATTAAACAAAAATACATTGACTGAAGTAATAAGATTTGGTCTAATAGTGAGAGCTAACAGGGGGTTACTAAAACATTCAGTTTGTCAGTACTTAAACCAGTTTAGGCTATTTGAATGAATTTGTTTTTTACCATAAAGCAATACAGTTTATACCATTTTATATTTATGAATAAAAGAGATTTTATATTATGGTAAAATATTTGCTGCTCATTGTCACATATAAACTGCTGGTGGTATAAAACCTGAAGCATGGCCACTGGCGTATAAATCACAGCCTCAGTGTGTAGTTTGAGGTCAAAGGTTTCATCTGCTGTGTTTTTAGGCACTGTTTCCATTTGCTTTGCTGTCTGGGGGAAGCCTATTTGTTAACTGTGACCTAGTTAATGTGTTTCCTCCTTTGCTCCCAAGCACAGACACTTCACTGTGGGCCACACACTTCCCACAGTTTTTCACATTCTGTGTTTGGTTCCATCTCTCATTAACTGTCACAGTAGTGCAAACAGAGGGTATCCAGCCTCTCCCTCACTCTGCATACCTCTTTTTTTCCTATTATATAAATACAATGTCAAGGAAGAGTGTTTTTTTTGTCACTGGGCATGAATATTATAGGTAAATCATAATTTTCTAATGCTACTGTTGCTAGGCGCTTGTCATTCAGCTAAAGTCAGAGAGACCCCCTCAGATGAATGACTGGCTGGGATTAGTCCAAAGTTCTTTCTTCTGCTAAGTTGCTCTGGTAGGTTTGTGTGCAATGGAGAGAAAAAGACAAAGAATTTGTATGATGGCCTGAGGATAGATAAACATGAGGAAGGTGGAAGAAACAGGGTGTGTGTAATTCCTCTGGTATGTTTTTTGAACAACTCATTACAGCTGGTTTTGGTGAATGTGTCAACTTTATTCCTTCATTTGTTACACATCAGTTACTGGACCGTGACACAGCGTATATCCACATTTACCTTTATTGTAGCTTGAAGATGGACTGTTGAATGAGTTACTTGTTATCATTCATCTTGTGTCTTGTCACTCATAGTTTATCTGTTTTAGAAAAGCCAAACTACAGAAAATGATCATGTTGAACTTTCTGGTTTTAAGCCTTCAGTTGAAGGAAGGCTCTTTAAATCACAAAGTGGCAAGCTGTCAAAAACTGAGCAGATGGAAATTCTGCTTTAATTTTAATGCATTCAGTGCTGTGTTAATAAAGCTGCATGGAAAATGCCCCTCTGTTGTTGATGAGGTGTTTTCTAAGCGGGCAGCCTAGTTCTGCCATGTTAGCCTTTTCCAAGGTACATGACTGTGTGAGAAACAGAGAAGGAAGGAGGCAATGATTCAGCAGTGTTCACACAACACAGAAAAATGGTCCGACATGAACTCTGTTTTTCCATGTGCTCCAATTCTGCATCCTCTGCATCTCCCAACATGCCTTTGAAAATAAGCCTTGTGTTTTTAAGGGTTTTTGTTTTGTTTTGTTTTGTTTCCTAAAAGTTCAAGTTTGCCATTTTACTGAATGCATCGTCAGAGCATCAGTGGGAATAAGCAGTAAACCCACAATGAAAAAGAACTGTCATATTTTGTGGGTGCATTCTGACCAAAACATTTAATGAACACAATCAGTATAAGGTGTCTCCTTTAAAAAGTGAGAGATGTGGGCAGATACATTTAGCATGGAGGGATTACGTAAGCCTTCGAGTTGGCACTACTGTGTGTTTTAAAAAATGTTTTACCTGCTACTCATTTTTTTCTTTTCCCTTCCTTTCTTGTACATCCACACACACAAAGTCATTATTACAATAACATACACAAGGCAAAGCTAATCCCATCTAACTCCTTTAGTGGAAGATTACTTCCCCAGCAATCACTGTTCCTCTGAAAAGACACCTTTCACAGTGTGGCACCTTTCCTCTCAATGGCCACCTCTGTACTTTCTATTAAACAAACATTATGGAGGCCTCACTCGCTTCCTGGCCTAAATTAACTAAAGGAATGTGGTATCTGGATGAAATGTTCTTTGTATTCAACACCTGGCCTGTAAAAGAAGTGGATGTTCTGGATTTACCATTTCAAGTGATTTTGTTTGCATTAAACTTTAATTAATTAAGATATTTCCTCTTTTTAATTACCCTCTACCTCCTGTCTTTCTGTGTTAGATGTATTTAGTATTTTCTTTTCCTCTCCGGGCTTTCTTCTCATTTTATTAACACAGTGACTGAATCTTTGAGTAAATAAAGTGCTTGCAAAAGTGTTGATATTTTTAAAGATACTGCAGGGGGTGTTTTTATTGCAGCCGAGCTGGCACTGTGTTCAGGCACATGCAGAACAGAGTGTGTAGGAGGTGTGTGTGGGTTATATCTCAGCTCTGACTAATGCTTCACAGCCCATCTATATTCATAGTGAAGCCTGTAGAAACCATCAATGGCCACTCATCGAGCATAACCAGAGTTATAAATGCAGATTACATTTACAGGTGACAGATTGAACTTTACAGGCTTGTTTATAAATTGTGCAAATCATTCTTCTCAAAGCATCAAATAAAAATGTATGATGAGTTCTTACATTGACTTTTAACGTTCATTTTTTTTTACCTGAGCTGCAGTTTTGTTTTGTTTAGTTTTTGCTTGAATTATGTCAAATTGCTCTAAATTAGACATATTGTCTAATCTCTATCTATCTCTCAGATGGCTTGTGGAGCTGTGACAAACCTAAGTTGCTGAAGCTTGGAGTCCTCCCCGTTAAGGCCATGCTGGCTGTGGAGGAACATCTATGGGCCTCATCGGGTGGACAGGTCTTCATTATCAGCACCCACACACACTGTATAGAGGTAATTACCTGCAGTCTTATGTTGTTTCACTACCTCTGAATACCATATTTCTGTCAGAGACAGGGCAGTTTAGAAGATAAACTGTATATGAAGTAAATAACCTTTAGTACATCTCCTCCTTTCTTCATACCTATCCAGTGTACTCGTATATATCCTGTGGTTCGTGTGATGAGGGAACATCTGTGCTCTAAGACTTGATCAAACTTGGAAATTTAGAAGGCAGCTTGGAAATGTTTTATTTCCAGCATAGATATTTTTCTTAGAACTGCATCCAGAGCATTTATTGTACAATAAAAATGGGTTAAGTAGATTTTACAAATAGGTTGAAAGATGGTCAGTTGGATCATTTCAGCTAAACCAGGAAATGAAAAAGAATAGAACCAGAGCAAGAAATGTATGACGAGACTTTGTGTCTCAGCAGCATTTACGGACACCGTGCTGGTGTAAAAGTGGCCTCCTTAAGAAAAACCCAAAGGCAGGGAAAACTGCCTACCCACAGCTTCCTCTGTACAGGAATATGGTATTCCATGTGTGTCCTGGCCTGCTTTTGGGAATGGGATCATCGGCGTCGTGGGTCCAGGAATAGTAACGTTGCTCTCACATGTGCTAATCAGTTTAACCTCATTAAGCTCATTATGTCAGACCACCTGCCTGTTAGCTACCTTTAGCTAACTGACTTCCACTTAAAACAGAGAGGTGATTAAAAGTCAAATGAAGAAGAGAACCGAAGAGATGAAGAAGTAGTGAGCTGGAAAAATAAACATTGATTATTTTACAGAATATTAATTACACTAGTAAAATGTGTGTAAAGGTTAAAAGTTGAGATTAAAAAAGCTAAATATGTTATTTAGTTTAGATTTATAAACCAGTTTAATCTCCTGGCCTCCTCAGTATGTCCTAAACTGACAACTTTAACAAATGACTGCCATGACTTTGGGAAAAGGGATGATTTCACACCAGTGTGTTGTCTGTACTGGCTTCTCATTTTGTTCCTGAAGCACAAACAGAGCACAGACATAACAATCATGAAAAAAGCTAGGGCGACTGGAGTCTAAACAGACTAAGACTACATTTGTGTGGAATGTGTGTTTCAAACACACATACAACAAACTTGTGACAATCCAAAGCAAAACATGCAACTCAAACACTAAAAAGTGTAATTCTACGTTAGAACGGGATAGTCTGACATGATTACCATCTATTTAAAAAGAAATGTAATGCAAGTAGTATGGATGATGTAGTTTAAGTATAAGGTACGAAAAACCTGCTTTTTAGAATACACTTAGACACACCCACTTTGTCTGAATGAATGGGCGAGTCCAAAGTTTTCTCTCATATTGTTGCTTATGATTATTCCCACATAAACAATGAAGGTATGTGTCACTTGCATTCACTTTCTTTCTGTTTCAAAATTAATGGGAAGTGTTGCAAATCTGTCCACCCTGTCCTGTCTCCCTAATCTAGAGGCAGCTGGAGGCCCACCAGGAAGAGGGCATGGTGGTGTCTCACATGGTGGTGGCCGGGGTGGGGATCTGGATCGCGTTCAGCTCTGGCTCCTCGCTGCGCCTCTTCCACACTGAGACCTTGGAACACCTGCAGGACATAAACATCGCCACTCCTGTGAACAACATACTACCTGGTAAGATAAGATAAAAAAACATAAGGCAATAAAAGGCAGACCACTATAAACTTTCAAAGCATTTGAGGAATTGCATGATGACCTTTTTCTTTTTTCTTTTCAGCAAAGCAGGCTAAATGTACTAACTTAAGCTAAATTATTGTTTATATGTCTCTCCCTTTGTTTAGTCTTTCATTTTTAGCAGGTTCAAAACTTGCATGAATGGCATCCTCCAGTGTCAGTGCCTGATCTGCCATTTTAAAGAAATGAATCTGGATCCAAATCGAGACTTAATGGATTCTTCCTTTGGTCATGCTTCCTTACTGAGGCTTTAGCAGAATATAAAGACATAAATGAAGACATATAGCAAGGATTCAAAACAAATCAAAACTTTTATCGATACATGTTTTTTTTCTGTACAATCAAAGCATGATGTTTTATTGTATGCAGGTTTTAGAGTTTTTATGACTTTGCGGACTTCCTTATCCTGATATCAGACAGAACATGAAGTCATTACAGTCAGTTTCCACTCAGTCTGAGAGGACTAAAATAGTTCCAAGATTCAGTCCCATGGATTCTGCTGGATTATCAAATGTTTTACCGTTCACCATGACTCTGTTGGCCTCCCCTACTGTCCACATCAGTCTGTAATGCGATCTGTATTTCTTACAGACACTGAAGCACTACAAATTAGGATATAAAGCCATTTCCCACAAGAATTCACACAAATCATAGTTGGCATTTCTTTCAGTTCCAATATTGTCACCATCCAGGCAAAATAAAATGCAGCCCTTTGTTTGTGGTTTGTGCACCAACAACGTTACCTCACATTTAAAGGTGCTTCTTCAATGCCTGTCGAGTATTATCTCATATCAATGTTGGTGCTTACCCAGACAGTCTTAGTTACAGCAGGTTTTCTCCCACTTTTGTCCTCTTTACAAAAACTCATCAGCCTGAATAATAAACCATTGTGTTTCTGTTCGTGTGGGTGTGTAAAAGAAGTTGTTGACCTTGATAAGTTGATTTGAAGGCAGCCTTTTAGCCTGAATCTGAATGATTGTAAAAGCAAAGAATGGACAGATCGTGTTTTTAAAAGCTTAGGAATGTAAGTGTTTGTAGTAAATGTGAGGCTAAGCTAGAAGAAAAACCAATGATTATCTGTCAAGAACTAGAACAAAAGTAACTTTGATATGACCAAGTAAATACCAAAGCTGACAGTGGTGCTACAAACCCCACGGTGAGAAAAGACTCTAATTTGGTGTCTGTAACATTAAATAAGACAGATTAAACTGAAACCCTAACTTAGGTGTGTCTGAGGTTTGTTCCCCCCCTCAGCAGTAAAGATTCAGACTCAGCATTACCAGTAAATGCAGTCATTGGGAGAACTTTTTCTATTCCTGCTTTGAAGGAGGATTTGCTTCATTTGAAGCATTCCATCATAATGGCTCACCTCTGGCCTGAGCTTGTGTAAGGCACAGCAGCTCTAAACCTGTCCTCAGCAGGCTGGGATATCAGCTCTGTCAGAAGTAAGACTAATGAGCCGCGGTTCACAAACGGCTTGTATCCGAATGGGTTTTTTATTATGGAGGGTAAATATTTGTTTTGGGCGTTTTGCAGAGCAACACGTAGCACTTTGAGGGCAGCATGAGCCCAAAGCTAACACACATGCCTCAGCTGAGGATGCTGAGCTCCAATCATATTTGGCTGAAATGACCCGAGTGGATCTTATATCAGCTATGTTGCATCACAGAGACCTAAAACATACAGGCTACAAGCGCAGTTGAAGTAGTTATGGAAAGATTACCTTTGTGTGTCTGAAGTTTGGATTTATACAATCCAGTGACAGTTGCTTTCAGCCTCCTTTTGCCCTTTTAGAGTAAAGCAGACATGTATGGTTTGTCATGCATTTTTTGAAGCAGCTGAATTCTGTGTGGAAGTTTTACACACATTTCTACACAAGCTGACCCTTTTGCCCTCCTCTTGAAATGGATTTTTACTCTGTCTCGATGCTTAAACAATTCTGAAGTTGAATTTGGTTTTTCAGTGACTGTTCGGATTCTATAGTAAAAGACTGTCTTGGTGCTTAAACATGTCTGAGTTGAATTTGGTTTTTCAGTGACTGTTTGGATTCTATAGTAAAAGACTGGCCTTCATCAGCCAGATGCCTCCACATCCTCAGCTCCATCAGCAGTACCGTTATGACTCCAGCTCTGTATCAGCGCCTCCGTGTTCACACCATTTTTCCACTGCCTCAAGATAATGATGGTTCTCAGCAATGCATGCGACACATGTTGGAATCTCTCCTCCCACTCTAAGCACAACGCAGTAATCAGCATCACCATCAGCAGTGGGTGATCCAAATGTCAGAATCTTGATCTGTCTAAATTACTAAAAGAAATCCCTGTGTTACAGATTTCCGTATCCATGGTTACATGATAACTCTTTGTGGCATGATAAAAGGCCCAGTCACACTTCTGTCTGCAAAGGAGCCAAAAACCTCCATTAGAAAATCTCTAACTGCAAGTAGAAATGTGGTTCTGATCACCTGCTCAGAATATGCTCATTCTTCTGATACTGTGGGATAATCTCACTCTGATATTCAGTGTTCAGAGTCACAAGTGGAAGCACTCTTTGTCTGGCAGATGTTAATGATAAAAGAAGTCTGCTGTGGGACCCCATCGTCCTTATTAGCTAATGGAATCCATACAACCACAAAGGAAGCTGGTTCCAGCACACATGAAAGCTTTCATCCTCCAGGGCCCTCCATTTAGAGGTCACTTCCTCTGATAACAATACTGCAAATCTGGACTTTCATTCAGCACTCACAAAGTTTTCACTCCGGTTTCACCACCAAGAAGGCCACTTTTTGTCATCTCCTGACATGTCTGCTCCGCTCCGGCGCAGCTCCGGAACAGGGCCAAACTAAAAATAGTGCCATGCTGAACAAACTCTGACAAAATCGAATCTGCCAGCGAACTGTTTGGAGACAATGACTGCCTGCAGTTAGTGTGCTGGAAGCAAATAGTTGAAGGCCTTTCATCTTCTATTCTGATGAATGTTTACGCACAGCTGCACAGTCAAAGGACCGGTGCATCTAAAGATTAAAGATGGCAAGAAATGTCATTAAGATGAGGGCAGAATTTCCAGTGAGTTCAGATGATTTTGATTAGTATGCACATTCATCCTCACGATTGGTCCAGCAGACATTATTACCACAAGAGGAAGAGAAATGGGGTGTTGTCCTCGCTGGGATGGCTATTGTTAATGGGGCTGTGATGAATGCATGAGCTGTTCAAGGTGGGGTAATCCTTCTCATGTTAATGCAGGTTGGAGCAATTGCCAGCTCCTGTTTTTGTAGACTTTCTTTATCCAAGCTGCAAACACAGCTAATCAGGATATCCAGTCTCCAACTAGACAAGGGTGCCATTTGTGACCAAGAAATTTGTGTTTTAAACAGGATAAGGAGATCACGACTTCACATGGAAATACAGTGAAATTGCTATGATTATAAATTCTAATAAACACAAAGGGATGATCCATAATTAACGCAGACTCCACCTTGGCGACGTCTCAGGGGACGGAGGCCGGCTACTTGCTGTGGTGATGGTCTTCCTTTGTCTGCGTCTCTGTGACCCAGATATGCAGCCACGCACGGCCTGATGTGAAACAAACAACGGGGGCTTAGTAAACACCTCCAGTTCTTTGTCTGGGTGCCACCATTGTTGCACACCTCCTAAAACGGTTCTCACACGTTTTTGGTGAATGAACGTCCGGTTCCACGGAGATGGACATGAAGAACCCAGTGGACAGCACGGAGCTGTAAAAACAAAGGGCATATATATCTATAGTATATATGTATGTGTGTGTGTGTGTGTGTGTGTGTGTGTATATGCGACAGTAACTGATACAGCGATTACACAATGTGCTGAACTAAGGTATTTCCACACCAGCTGAATGGCCGATATAGTGTATTATTGTAATTTCGGGGGATTTACTCCTCCGTCCTGCTGTCGAGTGTCAGTACCAAGTGCGGATCAAAGAGGTCCGGCGGTGTAGGACGAGGGCCAGATCCAGGCTGTGTTGACGTTCTATGAGGGTTTATTTTAGTTCACCCTCTGGGTGGGGAACTCCAAATATTATGAGAGGAGGAAGTTGAGCAAGGCCTCTGACCGGGAGCCCGCGCGTTGCTCCTAACTCTGGGCCCTCATTAGAAGCACATGTGGGCAAGACTCGGCGCTAAACGCCACCCGCCTGCCTATCTGGCAGGATTCTGGGAAGTGTGGCAGTGTGTGCGCCCCACGGACGGGGTCAGCTCTGTTGGGGGGGGCGGGGCGGGCAGCTAGACTGGCAGAAACGTTTCCCCAAGCCCCGGAGAATTGCTTTGAGGGAGGAAATTCGAGTGGAGCTGTTGCAGCGGTAATGACTCACGACAGTCTCGCCTCCCACATAGCAGGCCCGAGAAGAGTGTTTTCGCTAAGCCATAGATTCTCATTCCAATCGGAGGAATATGATGAAAAATGTTTGGCGCCAAACCAACTGATGCATATCGGATTCTTCGCAATGCTCCCGAGTGGGGATGGCGTCTGTGCTGAAATCCAAACTCACTTCACTCAGCCTGTCAGCAGGCCGGACTTTATTGCTGTCCTCGCTGAAAGGTGTTGTTAGCTTAACAAACCCATCTTTTACAGTCTTAAGAAGCTTCAGTGGTTTTTCTGAACGAGGGAGACATAAAAAGTTCGGGTCAGATTGTCCCGTCGTAATTGCCATAAGCTTTCTGAATAGAGGCAGAGCTGCCTCCTTAATTACAGCATCACGCTTCAGTCCTCCCGTTGCGTAACACTTTTGTGTTTGTTTATTTGACTCAAAGTCCGCCATAATGCCGCGTTTCCCTTTTGTTCAGATGCTTGAGAGGGGCCGCTTTTATCCGGGTCTCCTCTTCACGTCGCCCTGGCAACGCACAAGCTTTGTACATCGTGGCTGCACAAATGCCAACGCGCGGTAAAACAATACACCCCCCTCCCTCCCGCACACTGCCCCGTACCCACGTGTGGTGGTGGTGGTGGGGGGGGGGGACCCATTAGCTGTGCGCTTCTCCGAGGAGACGATCCGTGTGGGAGGACGTGTTTGCCAAACTCCCTCTCTCTCTGTACGCAAATGTCAACAGAGAAGGTTCCAGGCTTCAGCCATGTTGTGCGTGCTTTGCAGGGAACCAGAGGATCTCGGTGAGCAGTCTGCTGGTGTGCCACGGCCTGCTGCTGGTGGGGACCAACCTGGGGGTGACGGTGGCTCTGTCCGTGCCCAGGCTGCAGGGTATCCCCAAAGTAACAGGTACCCAAACACAGCACCTTCAAAATGAACGTGTGATGTGTGTGAGTTTTAGCTTAGTATCTGAAAAGAAAAGGGGGAAACCTTTTCATCGCTATCTCCCAGAGTGAGCTCCAGATGTGTCGAACAAGGTGTGAAAGGCTTTGACAAAAATGTGATGTTTCATCTAAATGAATCCTGATTTATCTTTCTTCTAACTTACTGCTGTTTCTGAAAAAAGTCCCATACTACTTCAGAGTGGGAGCTGTTTCTACCCACATAACGTGACTGTGTCAGGGGTTAGAAGTCGGAGTTAGTCCAGACTCATAGCTTCTACGACAGCATCATATATTGGTGACACACATTCTAACCAGAGGCTGATGGTTTTGCCTGTCCACAGGCCGGGGCATGGTCTCCTTACACGCACACAGTGGACCGGTCAAGTTCCTCACCATGGCCGCTCCGGTGTGTAACCGCCCGCCTGGTCTGCAGGCTCATCCTCCTCCTCCTCTTCCTCCTCCTCCTCCTCCTGCCTCGCTCCAGTCCGCAGAGGCCCAGGATGTGGAGAGCACGCAGCCCCCCCCAGATTCGACCCTCACCCCCGGGCAGGGACGGGGCGTGTGGCTGGGAGAGTCGGGCTGCACCAGCATGGCCCTGCAGGACTCTCTGTCCACCTCCTCCTGCGGGTCCCTGGCCCCCTCCCAGGGCTCTCTGGAGCACGGGCCCGAGGACGGCGCCCTCTACGACGTGCTCCACGACCCCGCCCACCAGCAGAGAGGCCGGCGCTCCAGCAAAGTGGACGTCAGCTCCCTGCTGGTGGTGTCCGGAGGCCTGGGCCACCGCAGGGTCAACAAGAAAACCAAACCGTCTCGCCACGAGGACACTACGTCCAGCATCATGATCTGGCAGATCCCCTTACTGAACATGTGACACATCTGCATAAGAATCTTACGTTTTTTTTTAAACTTAAAAGTGCTGCACGGCTCTCACCAGGAGGTCAGATGTTACATTTGAGAGTATTTTAAAGCAATCAAAAACAACTACATGTCTTATTTAAACCAGAACTACATCAACGAGGAGGAAGAGCTGGTAAAACAAAGAATGGACAAACGCCACTCGATCATGATGCCAGAGCACGAAGCGGCCACTGACCAGTCCAGGATAAACTTTGCCTACTGAGGATTTACTTTGAAATCACTGAAAGGCCGCTAATGGCGTTGTTGTGTAACACGGCTAACACGCGTAACCTCTGGCGAATACGTGTGAGGGAAGATCTTTGTTTGTGTGGAATCAGTTTTTAAAAAATGTGTTTACCAATATTCTGCTAACCGAAACAAGGAGGGAAAAGTAGGCCAAACACTGATGGGTGACTTAGTTTGTGAAGGATGAAAGGTTTCACTGGCTGGCCAGGTTTCCTTTCATAAAGGGAGGACAACTAGTTATCACCAAGATATTTTTTTCTATCCTAAAGCATCATTATTTCTCATGTAAGAATATTAAAAAAAAGATAAGATTTATACTTTTGTGACTCTTGTATGTATGTATTATGTACCATAATACTGTATATTAACAAATCCATAAACAATGTTTTATTGAGACAACCTGTGCACTTATTTGAACTTCAGCATCAACTTTCTGGCATTTTCTTTTTCTTATCTGAGCACTTTTTAAACAAAGTCTTCATGTTTCATCTGCTTCCAGTAGAACCCGAGGGCAACTTCGATGCATTTTTGGCAAGATTTTTGCAAAGCAACCTGTGAGAGCAGCAGAATGGGCCGTGGAGTGCTCTGAGCATTGAGTGTGCGGGGCTCCTTTCTGTTGCTCTCTCCTGCCTTCCACTCGGCTGCGATTGTGTGCAGGAATCAGCACATGCCAGGACTAGCAATGCGCCCGAGGGGCCGCAGGAACTGAGCCTGATGCCGCTCTTCCGGGATTTCTGCTTCTGTGGAACGGTGTGCGGGTCAAGACTCTCCCCGGCTGTGACGCCCACATCCACTGTTGCGCAACCCAGCTCCGCCACACCATCAGTTTTAACAAACAGGCTTTTCGGGCTGGAGTCATTCCCACCCTGGCGTCCAACGCATCTCCAAGCTGATCTCAAATAGTATCAGATCCGAGGTTTTTATGTAATGATCTCAGATAAACCTGCATTTACTATTGTACCCGGTTTGTGTGTCCAATCAGAAAACCACCAGCCTCACACCATCAAGGCAGCCAGTTAGCCTGACTGTAAATCTTTAGTTTAGCCTTTGACCCTTAGCTTTTCATAGCAGTGTGCGTGCCTATCCCTCCTCAGCCAGAGATCCCCCCCCCCCCCCCCCCCCCCCCCCCCCCCCCCCCCCCATCGTCTCACAGTTAAGCTTCCTTGCTGCTTGCCCTCTAATCTGGCTGGGCTGTCGTTCGTTTGATGCCCTTGCGTCGGCTACTCTATTTTTATGTCTTGAGGCCTGTCTTTAAGACGCATCGTTTTCCATGGAGCAAAGGTTATTATGAATCATCGTTCGGGTCGCTCCTCTGAATGTGTTGGTTTCTGACAAATGCACAAATGTCGTGCTTTCATGAATTCAAGCGAGCCTATTTTTGTTTTTATTTCCCAGCTGCCACTGTCTTATGTTTTATTTTATTACAGCAGAAAGCTGTGACCCACCATTTTTTATTATACATTTTTGACTGAACCTACCTCATATGTATAATATGAGATGTAAATTGAAACTTCCCTACACAGACAGTGGAGTTCACTATTAGCTTTTGATAACGAGTGTAATACTTGTTGTATTTGAGGATTTTCATTCATTTTATCTTCTATTATTTTAAATGTTGATATGATTACACGGCTCGGCCTTAGTCTGGCGTGCGTGCGTGCGTGAGTGCGTGTTGGCAGGCCATAGGATGTCTAACTCCCGTTACCATGGCAGGGACGGTGCGTGAAGGAATGCCGCGTTCTCCTGGATGCGTCCAGCGCGCGCACGGAGCCGCGCGCTGAAAAGGCGTAGAAGCTCACGCCGTGAGACGTGGGCGTGGTTTACCCCGATAATCACCTCCTCTCTCCTGTCATCTGTTAAAGAGAAAAAAGAGAAAAAGAAAACAAAAATCGTGAGTCCAGACAGAGCTGGGAAAGAGCATCACTTTTTTTTTTTTTCCTGAAGAAAAAGACGCGGGGGGAGGCGGTGGACGTGCGTGGGGGGGGGGGGGGAGACACGGTGAGGGCAGAGCTGAGGGAGGCGCGACCTGAACGGACTGAGAGCTCGCCTCCCGTGTCTTAACGGGTGCTGGAACTCTGGGGATCTGGGGGATCCGGCTGGGATCCGCCGTGCGCAGGAGAGGTCCGCTCCCCCCCGGGCTGACCGGCTGACCGGCTGCCTCCCCGGGACTTTCTTACGTAACTGAGCTTTGTGGACGGGAAGAAAAAAAACGTCGGTGCCGACTTGTTCGATCACGGAGAGCTACGCAGGTAGGTCAGAGTATAGGTTTTGATGGACATGCATCCGTATTTTTTTATTTCAAATGCAGATCCTGCTCCACCAAAACGCCTCCATCCCGAAATCCTCCACGTGAACGGACCGTTTTACGTCACTTTATTGCCATTTCTGTAGGACGTGAAAGGGGCTTTCAAACAGATACATAAAAATATATATAAATACGTAATCACAAAATGTTCTGTAAACATTATATTTCAAAGTATGTTCTCCATCAGAGCAACACCCGTTGCGCATGCGCCGTGACTGTGTCCAGATTACCCCACAGAAAGGACAGGCAGGGTGATTATTGCAGTAGGTCAGACAGTTTGCAGCCACTGGGAGCTGGTGTTGGGATCGCCTCTGTTCCCCCGTTAAGATGCAGATGTCGTTGTGTCTCCAGAGGAGTTTATTACGTCACTCAGTCAGAGACGGAAGCCCCGTTTTTTCTTTTTTTTTTCCTTCAGATTTCAGGATTTTCAAGATATTTGTTATTAGAGAAATGGCGCCTCTTAGAGAATCGAGACGTTTATGCAACCGGTTCCCCTTTTCTTTGTTAAACTCCCTCCTTCTTTCCCTCCCACGTAGGTGCAGAGAGAGAACAGACACAGGTTTGGTCACTCAGAATGACCACTGAGGACTCCAGCTCCCACCACCAGTGAGTTCAGTGAGATGACCGAAGCCATCCCCGTGGAGGCTGATGCTTTCTTCCCCGCTATGAACCCCGACCTCGTGACACTTACGGACAAAAACAGAAACGTGTGTCCAGGCTTTGTCCAGGGATTCCTGCAGGATGACCAGGATTTCAGCTCTCCCCCGGTATTCGAGCAGGAATATCTTCTGGATGGAAGGCTGATGGAGAATAACCACGTGGTGGATAATCAGACAGACAACAGCCCGTACATCTCCAGAGCCGATGGGCTCCACATCTCTGTCCATAAGGAATGTTCGGAGGCTGACTCCGCGTTATCCAATCACGCTGCTGACCGACAACGGAACTGCGCCAGCGCCGAGGTCCACAACGGAGCCAAAATGAAAGTGTCTTTCTGCGAAGATCCCCCCGTGTGCTCGCCGAGCCAAGCCGAGCGGGACGCCGATTGGTCCGTTCTTAAATCCGACACAGAACGCCGTGACAGCAGCCAGAAAGCCGAGAACACGCAGCCCAAAGAAGAACCAGATTTAGTCATCGAAGTGGGCGGGCAGACCATCAGTGCCCACAAGTCCGTCCTGGCAGAGAAGAGCGACTACTTCAAGGCGCGCGTGTCGCGGAACATCCTGAAAGTGAAGGGCATGAGCTACAAGACTTTGTCTACGCTGATAGACTACGTTTACACCTCTCAGATCAGCGTCAGCAAGGACAATGTGGTCGATGTCATCACGGGGGCCAAGATCCTGCAGATCCCCTGCGCCGTCCAGGCGGCCATGGACTCCATGTCCCAGCAAATCAGCGCGGAAAACTGCTACGAGATTCTGACCATCGCCAAGAAGCAGCGCCTCAGCGAGCTGAAGGAGACGGCCTACGGGTTCATGAGCGACAACTTCCTGCAGGTCCTCAAAGACCCGGCGGTCTACGGGCGTCTGACCGGCTCCGAGAGGGACCTGATCCTGAAGAGGAGGGTGGACGGGCGAAAGACCCTGATGGTTGCCGAGATAAACGACGTGTTTGATCGGGTCGGAAGCCGCCCCCCGAGTCGCTGCGGCAGCAGACCACAGAGCCCCCTGTCTTTCGGATCTCTGGAAGAAAACCGTATGATTTACTACTTCAATGAGGCGGAAAACGACTGGCGACCCTTGACTGTAATGCCCGAGGACATAAACACTAAAGGGTGCGGGATCTGCACCATGTATAACTACCTGTTTGTGGCGGGGGGGATAAAGGGCTACGGAGAAAAGGGCAAGGTCTCGGACAAAGTCTTCTGTTACAACCCCGTAACCAACCGCTGGGCCCAGGTCCGACCCCTGAACCAGGCGCGCGCCCAGCTCAAGCTGGTGTCTACGGATGGGTACCTGTACGCCATCGGAGGGGAATGCTTGTTCACGGTGGAGAGGTATGACCCCCGGATGGACCGCTGGACGACGGTGGCCCCGCTGCCCAAGGGAGCCTTCGCGGTGGCCCACGAAGCCACCACCTGCAGCGGGGAGCTCTACGTTTCGGGGGGCTCCCTCTTCTACCGCCTCCTCAAGTACGACCCCAAGAGGGACGAGTGGCAGGAGTGCCCGTACAACAACAGCCGCAAGAAGTCCGCCGACATGGTGGCGCTCAGGAGCTTCATCTACCGCTTCGACGTGAACCGCGATCAGGGGATCAACGTCTTCAAGTACAACACCATCGTGAAGATGTGGCACGACTGCGCCTCGCAGAGGCCGGGCAGCCACCAGCCCTTCCGCTGCGCCGTCATCGGGAACTGCATCTACTGCGTCAACAAGAGCCAGACGCTCCAGTTCGTGGTGGAGGAGGAGGACGCCTTCTTCGTGGAGGAGCCGCTGAGGGCGCCTGTGGAGGCCAAGGGAGTTCTTTTTCCTTTCGTCCTCAGTTTGCCGGAGAAACACGAAAAAGTCGCAAAGCCCGCCTGCGATTCCGAATAACACGATCATCGCCATCAAGCAAAACGGCAATAAGACCTTTATGTCCACTTTTAAATGTCCGCTTTTTATCTCAGTGTGTCATTGCTCGCTTGCAATGGAATGTGTGTATTTGCATGGCTATTCAGTGCATCTACAGCCTTAAAAAGAAACAGAAACCCTTTTTAATGTTGAATAAAGGAAACAGTATTCGTCTGTGACTGTAGATAATGACATGATGAAAGTGATTTTTTTTGTGTTCACTTTTGTTCGGTGCACTTTCTGTAGTTGCAGATAGACTAAAAGTCATTTAGAATATATCAGCTAGCTGACTGGTGACTTTGGGAACAGAAACGGTGTCGGTGAGCTTTTTGAACGATGCTACGCAGGCTCTATGCAAACCAGGTGGAAGAGACAGGCAGGTCTGTTGTAATGCTGCGTTCTGTAGTGGTTACTGTGGGTTAAACTGACTGAAACAAAGCTTATTTGCCCTACCCAGTGTTTGATTTAATCTGCAATCAATAAAAGCAAACCTCAGAAGTAATCTTCCAACCGCACTAATATCCTCTGTAAGGCCGTTTATGACCTGTAAGGAAGAAAGAGCTCTTTTCATTTGAGCCAGACTCCATACATTTATCTAAAAGAAATAACACGATGAGAAAAATGCACAATATAAATATATTTGTACGTTGATAACTTAGATTTTTTTTCTTTCCATGCACGCTAACAGGTTAACAGATCCTACACGAAGCACATTTGCCAAAGATCACCATTTATTCTTTTTAAAGCTGTTTAAAACCTTTTAATTTTACTTCCCTCCTGTTGTTTACCAAAAGGAATTTTCTTACAAATCAAGCCTAAAGCAATTTGCCTTTTTTCTTTGTCAGAGAAGGAGTCTACTAACCTATTTCTTCAAAACACGTAACGATCCTCCACTCACCTTCCCTCCTGGTCATGTGACAGAGTTCTCAGGTCAAAGGTTGAATCAAATTGAACAGTGCTACACCACAGTCTGTCCATTCCCTTCCATGACTCCACAAACAAAGACACCACCTTTGTCCTTTTTACACTAATAAGCCATATTCTTCTTACATCCACAGACATTGATACAAATTTTCCCAGATATGTTTCTTTCTTTCATTTTTTAGATCAATTACTTTGTTTCTCTGCTGCTGTGGCAAAGCTGGGAGTTTTGTATGGGGGCTCATGCAGATATATGCTTACAACTTTGATAATGTTTGTAGATGTGTTGGTCTGAGTGGAGCTAAACGGATGTGGTTTTGATATTTGGCTGGCTGAAATCTGTATTTTTGTGAGATTTTTGTATGGATTTGAGCTGTTCCGGATCTGCTGCTGTAAAGAGTGGTAAAGTAAGACATCGGTTTCCTGTGCGTGGTATTTGGAGTGGGCTATCAAATAAGCTGTTGGATAATGTTTATCAGACAAATTGAAGTGCTTCAAATAAAATATTTTGTGTCTGAAAAGAATCCTTTTTTTCTTTCTTTCACTGCTGCTTCCTCTCGGCTGATTTACCTAAATAACGTTGCCACCTTGTGGACAACCTGTAACAATACTCAATTGCCTGATACTAAATGATAATAAAAGCACATTAACTGCTACTTATTACAAAGACACAATCTCCATTAATTAACCATCATTTATTTAATGCATTAAAAATATACCTTTGTGGTAAATCAATATAAATATTTTTGTAACTTCTTTGTTCACAGTTAAATTGAAATTATATGACGCAGTGCCGATTGATCATAATAAGAACATGAAGTTATTTTCTAAAATACTGAAGTAATATTTCTCATAATCTGAGCCCTCATAAAAATCCAAATTCTGATGAGAGATTAAACTGTGGCGAGGTCTCCATCTGGTGTGTGTTTTCTGATAAAAAGCAGAAAAAAGGCTAATCCAACCCTTTAAGTGAAAAGTAAAAATGAACAAAAACAAAAAATTTCAAATTAGGTTGGCCCTGTTTTATATGATTTTTGAAAAGTTGGTGGGTGAACAGAAAAAGATAATTTGTCAATTAATTTTCTATACCAGTGAGAGGAGACAGCCTCTGAGGGGCTCTATTACAAACACCTAAACACCAGTACGACCATTCACACACACACACACACATCTGCACCGTTCTGGAAGCTCTGAGTGGGTCTCAAACACATGTGGAAACAGCCTGGAAAGTTGATTTAGGCCATCTCTCCAAATCACTCCATTAACAAATGTTTCCTTCAGCTTCCTCTAAATCCATCAAGTAGCGTGGCCTCTTGATGGATACGACTAAATAAATATTCTCAAAAGGTTAATTGAGTATACATTAAAAATTGAATGCATTCTTGACTTTGTTTAAATCAGTGCAACATAAAAACTGATGTGCCTCAGTTAAACTGCCCAGAGTGCCGTTAAGATTTATTATGTCCACTTTTCACATAAACTGAATGCGCCTTCATTATAACACACACACACGCACGGGGTCAGTTTATAATCACCAATTACCCGCACACGCGTGTTTTTAACTGCTGCAGGAAGCCGGAGCGCACAGAGAAATACCGACACAACGAGGTGACTCCATGCAGCCCTAAAAAGACTCAGTGTTCACTAATGAAAACACCCAGTGGAACAGCCGGGAGTTCATTAGACGGACTTCCAACAGGTCAGTGGCACTGAGAGAGGCTCACACACACGTCTGCTGAGTCATTTTCAATTATTTCCCATCTTAAAATTGCATTGAGATCATTGAATTTGAGCACATACGGTAGATAACATCATCTCAATATTCCGAGCCAGCCTGTATGTGAATCAGTCCTTAATGGTTTTGATCTGGAAGTCTTTAAGCTTTGTAAAGAGCAAAATCTGACCACTGCTGAAGGCCTGTGAGCGTTTCATCCCACAGTTGAAGCTCAAACATGGAATCAAAAGAGCATTTAAAGCTGATCTGGACATTCTGCTGCCTCCTCTGGACCTCAGCTCCCATCAGAAGCTTCGACACAGAGTCACAAAATGGAATAACTATCCTGTGATCTGACAAATCGATGACTGAAATTAAATCATGGACCCGTGTCCTCCGGGTGAAAAATGAGCTGAGAAACCACTGATAAATACTGATAAACAATATACCGCAATATGCTCAGCTGCTGAACTGGACAACCTGCATTGCAGACATGTTTGACTCTGAAACCATTTCTGCCACCAGGAAAAGAGTCAGGGAGCGAATAAACAGCAGATTTAAGAACAACAAATGTATCTTTCAGAATCAGGAAATTGTTAAAGGTAAATGAATGCATGCTGCATGTTGTGTTTTCAATTTTGAAAATGGATTCGTCCCTGGACTGATGTTACAGTCACACTAAAATCAAAATGAAGAGATCAAAACAGGGAATATAAAACATTTCCTCACACAGTTTGCACAATGAAAAACAGAAAAACATATAAAAATGTCCATCAGTGCTGTTTAACCCTTTTTCTTCAGTCATATCCTTAAAAGAATGATAAGAAGTCACTTTTTCTTTTGGCAACAGACACTGAGAAGATTTGTTTATTTATGCAATCCATGTTAGCCTGGAGGGGAGCAGAAAGCAACAAACTGATGCCTCTATGGTGAGTCTAATGCTCATTTAATGTTCTTTGTAGACACGTTTAAATGTTTTTCTGTGCACTGAAGGGAGCATGACAGAAGGAGGTAAGATTCTGTCTTCTCTTTTTTTCCCCCGCACCTTCAGGCAACAGCAGAGAAGTTTGCAAAGCTTCGAAATTGCACAGACTTTTGTTGTGCGCATTCCTGTTGTGCAGCTGTGCATGTGCAGGGTTCACACCCAGATTTCTGTCAGACAGGGATGTGTCTCACCCAAACGGATTTCCTCTTCTACCGCTTGCCTTCAGAGAGTCAAACGTTCCTAAACTACATCTTTGTGAACATGTGTATTCATATTTAGTGCTTATATGGCCCTCATTTCTCCCCTGTAACACTTGTGTGACAGGAAATGACACCGACAACAACCTGAGAAGAGTGCAACATCATTTTAAACTGTTTTATTGTGTCTTTCCTTTGTATATGTACACATATATATGTATATATATTCTGTATATGTGGGTTCTCATCATGGAAAATAAAACCAAAATGTGAACTGAACCAAAAGCTCAATAGCATGGCGGAATAGAGAACATTATGTGAACAGCTTTGAATGTTTTTGCTCAGTGAAAATGTTTTTCCTCATGCTGATTTTCATCTTTTTATTGGCCTGTCTCACATAGACTGCATATTCCCCCTCTACCAAAGGCTTCTTCTACAGGTTTTAGAGGTGTCCCTGCTTCTACAGACCTGATTCACATCAACACAAGATAAACAGTCCTGTTCAGAGCTGAAACACCTTTAGAAATAGATCAGTTTTATCTGTATCAGGTGTGTGGAAGCAGGGAAACCTCTAAAACCTGCAGGACAGAGGCTCTTGAGGCCTGGAGCTGCCTTCCCTCTGTTAGAGAGATTGTGTTGCACTCAAGAAGAGCTCACCTCCTGTGTTTCTTTTTTTAATTCCTGCAGTCGCCACTTGGGGGCAGTGTGCACACACAAAACGGATGTACTTCTGCTCCCATCCTTGTCCATCCTTCTATGTTCGCATCTTCTGTTTGTACTGAAATGCATTCTGCCACAGCAGGTCAACGTGGATTCAGAGTTTGGAAAAGATAGAGTGGACATTTTATCAGTAACAAACACTGTTTACAAAAGCAATTTTTCCAATGACAGTAAACAGGAAGTCACTCCGATCATGCCAGTGTGTCATGAATTCAGATCTGAGAAGGATATTATTAGACTTTAGCATGAAGCTTCCAGAGTTTGTACAGTAGTTTTCCTTTTAATTCTTAATAAGAATTAAGTAATAAGCTATTTTGCTTAAGGAAATACTTCATAGAGGATTAATATAACTGCACCTAAGGTATCGATAGAAGAAAGAAAATGTCACGCTCTGTAATTGTCCTGGCAAGTTGCACATGCTTTAGCTCAGTCCCATTCGGTGACC